ATTAAGCTTCCTATTAAGCTAAACGCCTAGGAGCCTTATTACCTCCGCCGCCGGTACCGAAGTAGTATTAAGGGGAAGCGGGGTAGGTAGGGGTTAGCGTGACTTCGTAAAAGGGATATAGATATACTTAGCCGGTTCGAACTATACTCCGCTCGCTATCTCCTAGTCTAGGTATATCCGCTACGCGGTAATAAGGTAGTACTATATTTATACCTTTATCCTATTAAAGGCGATAATTTTCGTATTATTAGTAAAACCTATTACTGTTATTTTAAGGACCCTTTTTAGTTCTTTGTATAGGGTAAAGATATAGAAGATAAAGAGGATAGGAAAGATCGGGGAGCCTTATAGTACCCTCCCCCCCCCCTTAGAGGTACTACGGGGGGACTATTTTATTATTAAGTAATAGCTAGGCTATACGGTCTTAAAGAAAGCTACTAATTAGGGTAATAAGCTATTAAGGGAAGCCTTTACTTTTAAGTACCTTAAGGAGGCGAGGGTAGGGGATAGTATCGAATACTCCTTTAATATCTAGTTAGAGTATCGAAGCGGTACCGCTATAAGCCTAACTCGCCTTTACGGCCTCTATAACTTTTTATACTACTATCTTTATACTTCGCCTTATCCGGTTACTTATTTATCCCTCCGGGAGGAGCTAATACTCCTCCGCTACGGTAGCGATCCGGTCGGCTAGTATCCCCTTAAGGACCTTACCTATTATACTTAGAAGTAATATCGGTTATTAGCCCTTTACTATCACGTAATCGGCTGGTAGCCGACCTTCTTTTTTAAGGATTATTATAGTAGCGTAGCGGTACCTTTTTAGGTAATAGTTTATTTTAAGGCACGCTATAAAGATAGCACTAAGTCTTTAGTATAGGGGGGGTTTATACGCTTTTAGGAGCCATACTAAGAGTCTATTGAGTCCTAGTACTGCCTAAGGTTTAGTCTTTTTAAGGCGCCCCTATATATCCGCTATAGTAATATCGCGGCGGATATCCTATCCCGGGGAGAATTCCGCGCCTAGGGGCCTAAGGGCGGTAAGGAGGGGGCTAGGAAAAACTTCCGGTTAAGGATTTCGGCTTTCTCTATGTGTATAATTACCGGGTTATTATTATCGTCTTAGTATAGTAGTAACACCGATAAGGGGTTTAGCGGAGCTCCCTTTTTAATTTATACCTATTTTTATAGTTATTAGAGGAGGCTATTATCCTTCCTGGTTAAGTAGAGTAGGTGCTATTAGTATAGCCGCTTCGCTACCCCTACGGCCTTATCTTAGTACCTCTCTGCTTCCTAGAACTCGTCCTATCGGTCCCGGGACTTCCTAGATATATATCTATAATAAAGACGCCTTATTTCCTAGGTAAGGGCGGTTAGCTCCGCATTCTACTAAGGGGTGGATAGGCGTCTAGGGGTGCCCCCTGCGGCGGCGCGGCGTGGCCTTATCGGCTAAGGTCGTAAGGTCCTTTATTACGTTATCTAATACTAAGTTAATATCTTCTAGTATTATAAGGGGGCCGGTCTACTATAACTATATAGCGGTAAGCTAAGGGACCTATAAAGGGTTAGTCTTTTTAGACCTAGCGGGGCCTAGCTAGGTTCCGTGGTAGTATTATCGCGGTAATCGGTATAGTATCCGTCTTTATAAGGATTTAGGCTATCTATAAGTAGTAGTCTAACCTGATAACGGTCTTATCCGGGCCGCTAAAATCGTAGCGGAGCCCTTATATTACTTATATAAGGTTAATAGTACTAGTATGCCGGTCTAGGCAGTACTATATAGTTATTCCGGGGGAGGGGGTTATTAGGTCTAGGTTCTACCGGGTCGTAAAGGTAAGCAGGGTATCGGCTTAGGGGTAATACCGCGGTGGCTATAATTATAAGGGGTAGTATAGGTTAAAGTCCTCTATAAGGACGTATCGGCCCCGTAGCGGTATTATATTGAATATATCTTATAAGGGTATATTCTAGGGAATCCTGGCTAACTAGTAATTCTCTAAGTAAATCGATTAGATTATAAGGGTATTATCTCCGGTTCCGAATATAACTGCGTAAGTATTATAGTAGGCCCGCTATATCCACGTATATAGCGGGTATCTTTTATAGATATATAAGAGGGTATAGCCTCCTCCTTAGATTAGCCGGTATACCCCTATAGTATTAAATAAACCTCCTTTAGGGGTAAAATAACCAAATAACCGTTTTTACGGTTAGGTATAGATAGTAGATATCCGTAGGATTTCGGGTATAATAACTTTTGCCTCCTAGAACTATACGTCTTTTAATACATTTCTACGCGTTCTTATAACTTTAGTATAAATACTTTAAACCACTTAATCTAACTATTCTTATTATATTTACTCTATTACGATAGTATACCCCTATAAAGGGGGGTTTTCTATAGTACGCTATAAGCGTATTAATATTTTTATAATACCCTATTTATTATAATAGAGGTCGCCCCGTAAATCCTAGAATTATTAGATTCTATAATACTAGCTATATAAAGATATATACCTAGATAGGGTATATTAAATCCTAGACCCTTTAAGTTTTAAAGTATAGGCTAGCTAAAGATATATCTAGATAGGGTATATTCGTTAAATAGGCTATATTTATATAAAAAGAAGCCGGGTTACTAAGCTATATATATTATAACTATTATTATTTATACTTATAATTTATAATAATAGTAGTAAAGCTTCTTAATCTATATAAATAAAATAGATTATAGCGTTTACTTTAATTAAGTTATTAGAATAAAGCTATTATAGTAATATAAAACTAATTACTATAATAAATATAAATCCTATATAATAGGTAGTAAGGGACTTATTTTACAATAGTAATTACTATTCTGTTTTTATATCATTATTTATACTTCTAAGCGTAGGTATAGAGCTTAATCTATATTAACTTACTTTTAATATCTATAATAAGGTGAATAGCTAAAAAGCGTATTATATATATTTATATAAGAAGGTTGATACTATAAGTAAAGTATATGTATATATATATATAGATATAAGTCTTTTATAAGTTTATATATATCTAAATCGACTTTGATATATAATATAAAGTTTTATTATCTATATAAGATTCTTTTGAATACTAAGCTATTTTTTAACTTTATATGGATATATTTAGAATATTAAAACCCTTTAATATATAGATTAAAAATATTTTAACTAATATATTAGAACTAATTATCTATAGGTTTATAAGTATTTCTAGGAGATATTATTATACTATATATACTATATTATATTTAAATATTTCTTATAATTTAAGATACTATTGCTATAAGTTTAGTATATTTTAATATACTATTAAGCTTATATTATTATATATAATTAAGTTATCTACAGAGTTTATAAATTCTTTTTATTAAGAATTTTAATTATTATAATAAAAAGTTCATTTCGTCGTAGCTTTTATTATTTACCAGCAAAAACAAAAAGGAAAATTATTATTCAGAGTCCTCTAAGGTAGGCGTACGGGGGCGCGGCTAAGAAATAGAACGGCCGGCCTCTAGCTAAAGACGAAGGCTATGCGCCTTCTATTCAGCGGCGCCTAAGCCGCTATCTGGATAGCGGAAGCTTCCCTATACCAAGCACCTATCATCCCTCTAGTAAAGGGGGTAATTCTCCCTCTACTGGAGACGGTAAAAACTATAAAGCTAGCCCAGGGTATATCCAGCTACCTCCTTCATTTAATCGTGGTCGTACTTTAGGAATATTAGTAAAGGATATAGGCAGGTAAGGTCGGTAAAATATATAGTACCGTCGCCCTTCACGGGGGCGAATAGGAGTATACTAGTACGACGATAGGCTATACTCTTAGTTAGTGTCTAAATAGTAACTTCCTTATTGTAAGCTAGAGTATACAGACGTCGGTAAAATTCTAGTATTATAGTTAGTATAACCACTAATATATTAAGCCACTACTCTAGTCCAATATACATGTAGCCTCCTGGTTATTGGCTGAAGATAATACACCCTTTACCGCCGCCGCCGAAGTCAGAGCATGAGACTGTTTAAGATGCTTCTTCAGCAAACTGGTAATCGAGTAGGTAGTCGACTATTTAAGTGTCAGGAACTATTCAATTATATCGGAAAACCATAATAGAATACTCATAATATAGCATAGACGGCCATCTTCCACCTTATAGCGATAGTAGAGCTCTCTAGCAGTAACCTTTACTTAACCCTCCTAGATACTATTAGAATAGATCCTAAATAGATCCCGAATTAAATCTAAATAGTAACTTATATCGTTCGTTTCGTAACCAGGTAAGCCTAGGCGACGACCTTACTTATTATTCAGGTACCACTAGTACTCGGCTATCTACGAGTACTTTTTCGCTATGATTAACGACTAGAATGATAGCGAAGATAAATAATAAAAGACTTAATAATAGAGTATGCTAGTTATAAATGAATCTGATAATATTATGATCGCTGACTTATTTGTTATTATAAAGCGTAAATACTAAAAAGTAAACACGATCTGGTGGTGTTATAATTAAGTTATAGAAGCTATTAGGATTTATTTAGGCAGTGATTATTATTACTCGGCTCCTGCCCTAATATATCACGTGACCTGGGTATTATAATAGGTCCTGTATATCACGTGACCTGGGTATTATATCCTGAATAGGTCCGGAAATAGTCCTGAAATAGTCCAGTTTCAATTCCCTATAGTAACTATTACGGCAGCGATTCACTTCCGTCCCGTTAACCTCACCAGACCATTACTGTTAGCTTAGCGTGTAATGGTCGGGCGAGACGTAAAGGCCATAGCAATAGTCAGGTTAGGTCAGTTCTACGCTAGCAGGGGGGCAATGGTCGGGTGAGCAGGGGGGGGCAATGGTCAGTTGAGCTGTAACCTCCCTGATTACGTACCGTGATCTTTACCGCATTTTTACCGAAGTCACGCGTAAATTCAGAAGCTATTTCCCGTACGGGCCAGCAAGTGGTCAACGCAGGAACAGCTGTCACGTCAGACAGGGGCATGTGGCCCGTGCTGCTAATTATCCCCTTTGGTCGCGACAACGCGGTAATACTGAAAGAAATCCACCGCCAACCGAGTCCGAACGCCTGTCTCCATCTGCTCATAGCGTACCATTTCAGCACATTCTGTCTTTTCCCCTTGCAGGCCTTTTCCCATCGATTCCGCTGTGGTATTTCCGACCTCCATCCGACTGTCGTAGCGCCAACGAATCCACAGCCCCCGACTATCGCCGCCATATAAAGCTTGGGAGTTCTCCCGCCATGGGCTTGAGGAGTGGGCATCATGCAATCACGTCGAGATGAGATCCTTGCAAAAAGGGCAAAGCTCGCAGAGCTTAAGCGGCAGAGAGAACTTCGAGCGAGCCAAACGACAGGTGGTCGCCCTAGCATAGGCAGTCCAGGCGAGGTTCGTTTTGTTTTGCGATGTCATGTCGTTGGCCTAGGCGTTCTTGTTCCCCCCCCCCCCTGACGACACCCCTGACGACACCAATAGATAGTCGCACCGACGCCGGGTCGCAACAGTCGCCACGATATAGAAGCTCTTATCAATACCTTGGTCGGTGAAAGCAGACCGGGCTCGACCACGGGAGGCGCAGGATCGCCCGGCCCAAGAGGAAGCCGACCAAACAGCGTGCTGAGCGCAGGCGAACTCAGCAATGAGACATCAGAGTATGCCATTGCCTCGGCTGCCGGTCAAACAGTCGCAGCGCCTCCAGCGCCTCCAGCGCCACCACTCATTATGACAACGATACCCTCGACGACCGTCTTCCAATGCCCGCCGTCACCCGTCAAAGAAGTCTTCTCCTATAGCAAGGCCGTGCAGACAACAGGGGAATGGGCAACACCGAACAGGACCCGTGCGCACTCCCTTTCCGACAGCGAAGATCTTCCCGGCGTAACATCGACGCCGAACAAGAGGCAGAGCCGGAGGGAACGAGACCGAGAAGAGGAGCTACGGCAGAACATCCGGAAAGAAGTCGAGGAGGAACTCAAGGCGGCACGAGAAGGGCCGAAGGACGGCGCGGCTCAGCCGGAGTCACAATCGGTGAACTACCCCTTGCGAAAATTGACCGACGAGGAACTAGATGCCGTCACCGCCTCGGACGAATTCTCGGGCTTTCTCGACAAGGCCACCAAAGTGATCGAGCGAGCACTCGACCAGGAATATGACGTTCTTACCGACTACGCCCTGCAGGGCCAGGACGTGGAGGACGAAGATGAGGACAGTGGAAACACTGGTGGTAAGGGACGACACAGGGTAAAGGAGGTGGCCCAATTCTTCGACGAACGGTGGACCAAGAAGCGAATGATCAGCTCCATCGATTTCTCTCCTCATTTCCCCGAGTTGATGCTGGCGTCCTATACCAAGAATCCCACAGCACCGCACGAGCCGGACGGGCTTGTCCTGGTCTGGAGTCTCGGCCTCCACGACAGGCCCGAGTTTGTCTTCCACGCCCAATCCGACGTTCTCACCGCCAAGTTCTCACCCCACCATCGCAACCTCATCGTGGGCGGGTCCTACAGCGGGCAAGTTCTCTTGTGGGATACAAGGGTCAAATCGGGCGCTCCCGTCCAGAAGACCCCTCTCACCGGGTACGGACACACGCATCCCATCTACTCTGTCGACATTGTCGGTACACAAAACGCGAACAACATCATTTCCTGTTCAACGGATGGAGTTGTGTGTGGCTGGAGCATGGAGGTGTTCGCGCAGCCCCAGGAGCTCCTCGAGCTCAAGGCACCGCCGGCGTACAAGATTGAGGACGTCAGCCCGACTTCCATGGCGTTCCCGCAAGCCGACCCGACGTTTTTCCTCGTGGGCAGCGAGGAGGGTTCGATCTTCCCGTGCCACAGGTACGACAGGGCGGGCGCCAAGGCGGGGATCGACACGCGGTTCAGCTATAAGGGCCACACGGCGCCGGTCATGTCGGTCGATTTCCACCCGGCGCGCGGGCCCGTCGACCTGGGCGACCTGGTCCTTTCCTCGTCGCTGGACTGGAGCGTCCGGCTATGGAAGGTGCGGGCGCCCGCGGCGACGTCGACGGCCGGCAACGAGGGCGCCGTGTCGCCCCTGCTCGACTTTGTCCGCGAGGACGTCGTCTACGATGCGAAGTGGTCGCCTATCAAACCGGGCGTTTTCGCCCTCGTGGATGGGGCCGGGTGGCTGGAGTTGTGGGACATCACGGTCGAGACGGAAGAACCGGTTGCGCGGATATCGCCGAGCGCTCGCAAGGACGGGAGGGCCATGCTCTCCAAGAGCCTGAATAAGCTGGCGTGGGAACCTACCGAGGGCAAACGCCTGGCTACTGGTGGCATCGACGGAACTCTGACGGTCTTCGAGGTTGCTTCCGGGTTGGGAGGGCGAGATGACCTCAAGGCGGAGGAATGGACCAACGTCAAGAAGCTTGTGAATAGGGTCGAGGCTGTTGGCGTCAATGGGGCAATGATGGTGTAATGGTTCGATGTGTGGCTAGTGGTCGGCTTCTTTGGCGCTGTGGCTTTTTCTTTCCTTTGGCCGGGCAGAGTCCTCGTTAGGTAGGTCACAGGCACGATAGTGGGAGTTGCGTGTAACATCCTCTACCAAGTCTCGTAGACTGCCGAGGGTGCCGCATTGCCTGTTAGGCCTCATTTGCAAATTACCAGGCCAAGGTCGAGATGCCAATTGTACCTGTATTTCAGGAAGTTGGAAAGCGACGTCTTTGCATTCCGTATACCCCAATCATATGGAATTACTTGTCTTCTGGTGTATAAATGTTTCTTTTTCCTGCCTCGAACAACAATTGTCGCGACTTTGTCTCGTCATTCCACGCTCTACCTAGGTTGGTAAATAATAAGGTACGAGGTACCTTAGGCATAGCGATCTGGTACCGACGAGACCTTATCAGTTACGGCGTCCAATGGTCGAAGTCGAGTGATTGATTAGTCATCCTTCTAATTAAAAGGCCGGTTCATTTGCTTTTTTACTCCCGTTGGTTTCTCCTTCGTACTTCCTTTCCTCTCGCCATTACTACTCCTTCCGGATATTTGGCTGAACTGTCAATCACGAATATGTGTGATTGCTTGTCAGTTGCTATACTGGTCCCATGAGACTCGCTAATCTTATACAGGTATGTATTCTCTTTGGTCCAAACCAGCGCACACACACATACACACACGCACACAATGCACCAAGCAAACATGATGAACAGCCATAAGAATTCTGCAATGCTGAAACGGCCCCTGCAGGGGTCAAACTGTGGATAAAATCTTTACTTTCGCGTTTTTCTGAATTGCTCCGCTTGCCCTCCTCCCCCCGAGTAGGCGTCCGACGTCAAGACGCATGCCATCGATTTCGTGGTCTATTCCCGCTAACATACACCAAGGCCATACATATATATATAGGACGTGCATTTGTCGCCCTCATGGGGCATATTCAAGTGTTGATGGGGTGGCCGTCCGGGTACCGGGCTCCAGCCACCTCAAACTTGGCCAAGGTAGCATCGATCTCGGCCATCTCTTCGTCCGTGAGATCAACCAGCTTGGCGTTCTCAACGACGCGGTCGACGGTAGTGCTCCCAGGAATGGGGATGATGGTGGGCATGCCGGGGCGGCGGGAGAGGGAGTTGAGCCAGCCGAGGGCCAGCTGGGCCGGGGTGCAGCCCTTCTTCGCAGCAAGGTCCTCGACCTGACGGATGAGCCGGAGGTTGGTCTCGAAGTTCTCGGGCTGGAAGCGGGGCAGGTGGTGGCGGACGTCGGCGGTGGGGATGTCGGCGGCGGTCTTGAAGCGGCCGGTGAGCATGCCGCGGCCGAGCGGAGAGTAGGCGATGAGGGGGATGCCGAGCTCAGCGCAGGCGGCGGCGACGCCGTTGGACACCACGTCGGTCGAGAAGAGGCTCAGCTCGACCTCGACGCCGGCGATGGTGGTGATCTTGGCGGCTTCGCGGATGGTCGCGGCCGAGACCTCGGACAGGCAGATGCCGCCGACCTTGCCCGTCTTGATGTACTCCTCCTCGATGACGCCGAAGGTGGTCTCGAGGGGCACGTTGGGGTCCCGGCGGGCGCACTCGAAGACGTCGATCTTCTTGCGGCCGCCCAGCTTCTCGAGGGTGAAGTCCAGGGACCGTCGGATGTTCTCCGGGGAGCCGTCCGGGACCAAGTCGGGCCGCAGGCCTCCCTTCATGCTGACAACGACCCTGTCGGCGTCCTCGGGGTACTTTTCGAAGTAGCGGTTGAGCAGGGTCATGCTGTTGACTTCCGGGGTTCCGTAGAACTCGCCGGCGTTCCAGAAGTTCATGCCGTTGTCGAGGGCGGCCCGCATGGTCTCGAAGGCTTGTTCATCGGGAACGGGGTCGGAACGCCACGTAAAATTCATGAGGCCGAAGCCACGAGGACCGATTTCTTGTCCGGCAATTTGAGGCATGGTGAATGAGTCTCAGGTGGGGCCAGGTAAGTAAGTACAACGATAACGTAGAGCAAGGTATACACGGTATACCTACCTAGATAGGATGTCGCAGGATGTGTCTCACAGACAATGCTCTTGTTCTCTTTGAAGTGAAAGGCAACTAGCGAGGCGGCGGAGGCTATTAGCTGTAGTAGATCGATACCTCAAGAGAGGACAGAAGGATTTGGAATGGCAGACTTCTGGGGTCGTCCTGGTTGAAGAATGTAATTACGGACCACGGTGTTACAGAAAAGTTGTCCGGGCTGTGGGCTGTCTTGGTGGTCCTACAACGTACAACTCCACCATTTTCATCTCCGGTGCGGAGTACCAAGTACATAAACATATCCTGTCATTGCCGCCTCTGCCCACCTATCGCAGCAGAGTCAACTGCTTACCTTATAAACTCCGTACCAGGACATCACACAATGGACACCTAAGCTGAGGTAGTGGGAGAAGAGCATTTGTATGGAGTACGTTCCGGACTTATAACTGGCTTTTGCTTTGAAACCGAGATTCGGGAAAACCCATGTTCAAGGTACCTAGGTGAGGGACACGATGGCAGTGTACATGGAGACTGTGACGATACGGGCTGTGGAGTGCATGTACCACGTACGTTGTACAGTTACTACCTAAGGTACCTGTAGTTTACTCATCGCCGACGTAATAAATAAGGTAAGTATAGTACGATACTCTACCTGTCTTCCTCCGGACCCAAGACGCGATTTCGTACGTCCAGTCTTCCAAATGTATAATACTCGGTCTCTCGTCCCCTCCCCCCCTTTTTTTCCCTTATTCTTTCTTTTCGTGTCGATTCAGAATCTACCATTCGGCCAGGCATCCCTCCCTTCTCAGCTCATTTCGTCACATCCCTACGGCCTGGACCTCTCAGATATCAAGGAGATTGCCCACGACCTTCTCAGGACCCCTGTCCTTACGCCCGTCCGTGCCGGCTGTGATCTTGTCCATGTGCAGTATTCCCAGCTTCTCCAATCTCTCCACTCTCTCCATCTCACGGGTTTCCTTTCCCTTCGCTTTCTCCATTTCTCTCTCCTCTATCCGTCGGCTCTGGCTCTCTCGCTCTCGCTCCCCATCTCGTTGCTGCAGCCGAGCCTGCAGTTGTCTTTTCCTCTCGAAAAGGTCACCTGCGGTGTTGACCCCGCCTCTTCCGACCATGGCCGCCGCCATGCGCATATCCACCGGCACGCCCATCTTCGCTCCCATTCCGCCTCCTCCTAACCCGTTCCCTGGCATGTAATGAGACCCCGGCGGCTGGTGACTCTGCCCCACGCTTCCCCTCTGCGCTCCCGGCGTATTCATCCCGGTCGCGAACCATTCATCCAGCGTCAGCCGCATGGCCGACTGGAACCACGGGGGCAGTTCCTTCATACCCAGCTCCTGCAGGCCCTCGAGTGTCGTGGGCATCGTGTGTTGGAATCGGCAGTACAACCCATACCAGCACGTCCCGTGATGGCACCAATGCCGACATAAGAGTCTGCTGCCCTGCCCGTTGTTGCTGCTGTTGTTGCTGCTATTCTTGTTGTTGTTGTTATTAGTGTTGCTGCTATTATTGCTGCTGGTATTGCCGTCATGGTCGCTACCGTTGCTGCAGTGGTTGTGGTTTTGGCTCGTGCTATTGCTGGTTTTGCCGTTGTACCTGCTGCTCTTCCACCTCTCGGCGCTGGTCTGTGGCGGCATGCGGGACCCCTCTGCGTCCGTCATGGCTTGGGCTTGGAGCATGCGGTCGGCTGGATGCTGTTGGGATACGGGAGTAACGGTAGGTAAATCACGCGCCGGAGAACATGGCGACGAGGAGGGAGAGGGAGATGGATCTGAAGACGAAAAAGAAGAAGAACGGAAGCTGTCACGTTTTTCGCTCGCCGCCTTTGGCTGAGTTGGCTCACGAAGATGTGTCGTGGTCGCCTTCTCGACACCGGCTCTGGTGGTATTATCACTGCTATCTGCAGTCTCGCCCAAAGAAGCGGAAAGACGGCACGGGGCAGTCGGGGAAACTCCGTCGTCGTCCGAGACGATGCGCAGCTTGTAGACCGCACCGTCTGCCGTGCTCGGAATGGTTCCAAGGTTGGCCATCCCCGCTACGTGTCTCGGAGAAAGGTGACGCGGAAGACCGACGATCTGAATATGGTCGGGAAGCAAATCAAGTGGGATGAGGGGAACTATGTGTCCCGGTGCTGTAGGAGAGGTAGGGGCACGGAGGAGGAAGCACTTGGGATGGAGGGAAACCGGGAGACGGGGAAAGGCGTCATCGCTCGAGCTGACGGTGCCGATCGTGACGGCGGCCTGTGACGCCATTGCCATTTTGCCGGTGTTTTTGCTGCTGATATCTCGGCCCTGGGTTGTAGGTGCCGCCAGTTGGGCTTGGGCTTGCGAGGTACTGGTACTGGAGGTGGCGAGCTTATGTTGGTTTGGTGCCATTGCGTCTGGGCGAGATGCAACTGGATCTGTCCCGGTGGGCGTAGAACCTAGCACACCCATAGTTGCTTTGTATGGGCTGTGCTTGGAGTTCGCAATGCCCTTCCGAACGTTGAGCTCGTCATGTGCGGACGAGGAATTCATGTGTCGGTTTTGAGAAGAGCGAGACTGGGCGATGAGTGACGGTTTAAGAAGGAAATCGTCCCGAGAAATGGACGTGCAATAGTAAGATATCTTAGCACAAAATGTAGAGTGAACATGTATCTCGAAGCTATGTCAGGGAATAGGAGACTGATGAGAAAGCAATGGTTCCTGCTCCCACCTAGACCTAGCCCACGAACATGAAGAGTAGAGCCTTTATATAGACGGGCCAGAGGTGGGGTGCGTTTTAATTACGCGCTGTACAGCATATAATTCGTTTTGTGGGAAGATTTGGACAAACATGCCAAACGCCAATCGCATACTGACAACCAGCTTCCACAGGTTTTGTCGTGTCCGGGGTGTGCCGTCTGATTATACAAGCAAGCATGTGTTCATAAACTATGATAACTATGATAATCACTGGATCAAACTAGGGCGGCGTCAGTACCAAGTATAAAAATTAAAAATAAAGAATAAAAAAGAGAGGAAAGGAAAGGAAAAGGAAATGGTGGCATGTTGGTATGTTTCTATATTGGAGTGTTGGCATGCTGGTATGCTGGCATGTTGGATTATCCTGGTCTAGCGGACCTCAACACGGATGGTTGCCTCTATGCCATCAACGCAAAAACCAAGCTGCCGTGGTCCCTCCACAAGCTCCACCTCTCTCTTGACCCAGCGACCCGTCTTGTTGGCCTCAACCTGTTCCCCATTCCCGAAAGGCTCTTCACCCCCGGCAGAAGGGGCGGTGGTCTTCTCCCGCTCCTTCCCTTCCGGTGCTTCGCCAGTGTCGCTGTCTTCACCATCGCTGCTGTCGACCTCTTCATCGAAACCACCCACAGGGTCCCACTCGCCCGTTTCCCAGACCAGCCTGACGGAAAGCGGCGGAAGGCCAAAAAGCTTGCCCACGACGCCCTGCACGGCGTACATGTCAAACGAACGCGGAATCTCCGTCGTCTTGGCTACTGCAACATCACCCCCACTTCCGTCACCACCACTACCACCCGCGGCGAGACGGAACCGCACCTTGACGAGCCGAGCTTCGAGGAAAGCCGGGTTGACCTCGTCCCGACGCACGACGGCCGGCTCGCCGTGTTTCTCGCACAGTGCGGCGTACTGGGGATGCCGGGCGATGACCGCCGCCTCCTCCGATTCCGGGACGGAGGAGAGCTGCTTCGCGATGCGGGAGAGATAGAAAAGCTCCGCGTTGGTGCGGTCTTGCATTGTGATGGGTCCGAAGTTGAGGGATTTGAGGGCCGGTATGCGGGCGGTGGTGATCATGTGAGCTTCGTCTGTGCCCTTGGTCTGTGAGAAACCTGCTGAAGTGGACTTTAGCCCTATTTCCTGGTCGAGATCGGGATTGTCGTAGATGGGGTTATGAGCGATGCGGAGGGCGGTGAGGCCAGGGATCGAGGTTGTGAGGGCGTCGATGAAAGACCATGTAGAGATAGCATTATAGGAAACGTCGAGGTATATGAGAGAAGAGGAGAAGACGGGAGGAGAAATGTCGCTGGATGGGCAAATGCTGGAGATGGAGTTGCCTTTGAGGTGAAGGCTGCGGAGGGACGACAGGGAAGTGAGGGACGATAGATCTGATAGAGAGGTGAAGTCGTTGAACTCGAGCGTTAGTGTTGTGAGGGTCGTGGTCAGCGTGCCCAGGTCGACAGGCGGCAAAGAGAGAAGCTGATCAAAGCTTGCGTTAAGAACAGCTAGAGACGAGAAACAGGTAGCAACCTGACACAGGTGTTCCCACGGGAGAAGGGTCCCTTCTAGTTCGAGCTCCTTGACACCCGAGAAGGCATCCTTGAAATCTGAAAACGACTCCTGATCTTTGCGTAGACGCTGGAACCGGTTGCCGCTGTGAAGAGAATCAGCAGCTCGTCTTACTTTTACAGTTCCAAAATGAAAGGGAATATTAAAGTGAAAGAAAAGGGGGGTTTTTAGCATGCGTACTTGAGCCTCAAACTGCGCAGTTCTGGGAGCTCGCGACATATTCGCACCACGGTACTGAACGACTCGAAGAGATTCCTGCCGAGGTCCAGTTCGGAAACAAGGGGACTCGTCTCCTTAATCCCCTTCTCGCCATCATCAGGCAACATATCCCAAGCAATGCGCATGCCATCGAGAATGACAATCTTCAGCTCATCAAGCCTCGCGAGCTGGCGTCGGATCTTATCGAAGCCGACTTCCTCGGCAACCTTCTTCCCGAAGAAGACAAACTCGACGTCCGCATTACGATAGGGGTTCCGCTGGGCCGTCGCATCTCCCTGGTCCCCCGCCTCGTGGCCATACTTTTCCTGTAGCGCTGCGACGAAGCTTTGCGGCCTATCCGCCGTCCTGGTTGGGCGGACGAACGAGGCAGCTGTGGGTGATTTGGAGACGCCTTGGAGGCTGTTGTCAGCCGAGAGATGTCGGGGAAAAAAGAAGAAGAAAAAAAAAGAAGAAGAAGAAACCCCCTAGATCTTAAGTAGTGGAAAATGGAAAATGGAATGTGCTCATGCATTTGAAGTAGCGAACGTTTTTGTGCTGGCCGTCGTGCCGCCCCCGGGACGCATCGTCCCATTCTACGCCCAGCCAAGTGCCGCTGGTGCCTGCGACCTCGCCGATGTAGCGGATGGTGCAGAGGGCGCCATCGTACGAGAGCCGCTGACCCAGATAGTGAGTTTCGGGCATATCAATTCCGCATCGAGTAAGAAAATGGTAGACTTAAAATGAGTGGTGATAGTTGTGAGTTGGACGTTGGATGTACGGGGAAGGCAAGTGGAGGTTATTGATGTACCTTATGTACCTGCGATACAAGTTTTGGTGGTGAGAATTGACGGAGAGAATAAATCGTTAGTGCATCGGCAGAAAGTAGGCCTTGTCTGCTAACAGCAGTGGGCCCATACCCCATACCCCATACCCCATATCAACCATACCTCAGAAAACACATCACGCAAATGGCATGGTATACAACACGAGAAGGGATATTCAGCAGGTCTCTTCGATTGGCACATGCTGGTATGGCATTTTCATTTCATTGCAATACAATGTAACATGGCATTTTTGGAACACGCTCTCCCTTTACAACTTCGCCTTGCCGTCACCCACAACCTTCATCAAAGCCCGCCCGTTGCTCAGACATACCTTGCCGCCCTCCACCTTGACCTGGAAACGGATCTCCTCCCAGCCGTCCTTGATCTCACCAGTCCTCCATGCATCTGTCACGAGCTTATCACCGGGAAGGACAGGGCTTGCAAACCGCGCCTGATACTCCTTGATGTTGGCCGGGTCGCTGCCGCCCAGGGCCTTGAGCAGGCCATGAGCCGTCGCGTTCCACGAGTACAAGCCGTGCATGATGGCGCCGCCAAAGCCCATCTTCTTGCCGGGCTCGGGGGTGGCGTGCAGGGGGTTGTAGTCGCCGTTGAGGCGGTACAAGAGGGCGGACTGGGCGTTGGTCTCCTGGACGAAGGTGACGTCGGGCTTGCGGTCCTTGGGGGGAGGGTAGTTCTCCGTGGCGGGGCCCTTGGGGCCGCCCCAGTTGCCCTGGCCGATGTAGAAAGCGGAGCCGATGACGCGCGAGTAGACCTCGTTGGTGGCGGCGTCGACCACGTCCTCCTGGATCTCGACGATGCTACCGGGACGGCCCTTGTCGTAGACGCCGACGACCTTGGTGCGGACCTCGAACTTGTGGCCGGCCGATGTGGGAGGGAGGGGCTTGAAGAACTCAATCTTGCGCTGGCCGTCGACCACGCGGCGCGAGTCGAACGCCGGAACACCAGGGATCTGGACCGCCTGCTGCGCGGCGTAGAAGTCGACTACTTCCTGGCTGGTGCCCTTGAACGCTGTGCAAAGGGGGGAAACACCCAAATGTCAGCCCTAGGCTCCCCTTCCGAGACAAACTGAAGATATCAAACGACTGCGGCGGCGCTTACGAAGAATAAGGGAGTATGTCGGGAAGACCTTGAAGTCGGGATGGAGTTCCTGTAGTGTGGAATTGACAAGTCAGTCTCAGATACTATCGCCACCGCACTAGGCGGGGGTGGACTCTGGAGGAGGGTCTTCCCCAGAAACGGGAGGAAAAGGGGGGACGGAACGTGTAAGAACGAAGGACGAAGGACGAGGAACGGGAAGAACGAACATAGAGGAAATGAAGCTCGTCAGCAGTGCAGCCAATGGTGTTGGCAAACAGCAGCACATCACGCTTCACCCAGGAAATCTCCTTGGGAGGGTATTCGAACCCGACGCCTGGTCCAGCTGTTCCGGCCATGGTTGCTAAGAGACGGGGCTGCAATTGACAGCAAAAAACTCAAGGAGAGTAGAGGATATTCGGTGGGAAGGAATTGAAGAAATAGAGGCCAGGGAACAGAGTGTTGTCAAGAAGTTTAGAAGAAGAGAGTAACACCCGCGGTACGAAGTACAGCGAAGTACGAAATAGTTCAGTCAACTATTATTAGTATGGCCACGATTTCGACCCAGCTGTCGAACATTCAACCTGGGGTTCGGCATCTGCGTTCGGCAGCTCCATGATGCGCCGAGCAACCCCAGAGCTTCCTCCGACATGATGCCGAGGTCCAACTGTGGGGTAATTACTTTGTATCAGTACCTTAAACTCGCCGGTAAGTTTTCAGATGATCGCTTTTACCCCTCGTCATTAGTCATCAACAGCATCTGGACTACCTATATTGTATCACGTGATTTGCTCTCTCTCTACATCTCAACTTCTCGTCTTTGAGTATCCGTACAACCTGACGAACCTGCCCCTTGTTTTATTGAGACTCGGGTGTCTATATGATATTCACTACATGCGCCATGCAGGTCATGTCTCCTCTCTTCCCATGGGCCTTTGGCCACAAGAAATTGATCTTCTTCACTAAATCGGAGGCATCTCAACGCGGTCTTCCGGCATCCTGAAAGCCAGAATTGATTGCCCCTGAGAGGTCATAAAGGTGATGGAGACGCCGTTATATTGCCCACCAGGCTCCTTGGGACTCCCTCAACATTTATTATCTTTCTCTCTTTCATACGCCTATCAGTCTTTCAGGCACATATCTTGGAAGATTGTTGCCTCTCTGTTCAATCAACTCTGCCATCTTCCTAGGCCGCATTAAGTCATGACAGAAATTCATAGGCCATAGAGGTAGAATGGCAGCCTTACACCAGGTAGCTAAAGCGCTTTGTGAATCTAGGCACGGATTGTCGTGAATCCGGGAAGGATTAAGATCTCTGTCGCCCTGCCGACCATTGTTACCTCGCCCATTCTAACGACTCATCAAAGATCCAACATGTGACCTCCTAACTGCCATATCACTGTACGGATCCAGCCTTCCCTGACAGATTTTCTGTACCTCTCGGTAGTCTTTTTTTCCCAATCACTTTGTTCTTTCTTTCCCTATCCTGTGATGCTGCATTTCATTCCCTACCCAACCACAGGCAGTTTCTCTCACCTGAAATCAAACATCACACAAGAATACACATCAAACTGCAGAAAAGGCCCCTGCAGTCTCAGGTTTGCCTTGTGGTTACCAGGCTCTAGTGGTAGTAAGTACTTCTCTGGATCCCATGAGATCTATTCTACACAGAACGCATTCTTTCCAAATAACCTTGCCCTTTTTGCCAAACCCATTCTGATTTCGTCCCCAACCATCGGTTCTAGAAGCAGGAAAGAGACCATGGGCAAGAAGTCTCCGAAGAAAGACAGATTCGTGGTCTCCAAGGCTGAGGCGGCTGCCATTCTAGGCAAGCACCTCGGCAATGTTGGCAGCGGTCAGGATGCCTCTACACCTTCGATTGAGGTCAAACGTCTGCGCAAGCGCGAGCGCATGGAGCTCAATCGTGAGACGACCGAGCTTGTCGAATCGCGGAATGCGCTGGCCTCGGAACTGGCCAACTGGGCCGACCGTTCTGCTTTCACCCCCCCTTCCCTCATGAGCCAGTCTGCCGAGCTTCATCTCCGTGAGATGCGGCACCTGCAGAAGCTGACGAAGAAGCTGGGCGAGGCCGAATTGTTCTACCGCATTCATCCTGGCAGCAAGGAAAATAACGCCTGGGACTTCATTCGTAATCTGGCTGCCCAGTTCAGAACCCATCTGGGACCCCGTTTAGGTGACGGCCTTAGCCATGATGAGAAGACCACCTGCACTTCTGGTCCGGAATCCGATCTCGGTAAGCGACAACATATCAGATGAAGAATGAAATAATAATAGAAAACAAGGGTATGGCCTGGACATTACACTGACTCTTTCTTAGATGACCTGGGTATCAACGAGGCTGGCTTGGCCGAGAATGATGGTCAGACTCCCATCAAGAATCAAGACGCGAAACGGAAGCGAATGAATGACTCTGAGGTCCCATCTAAGAAGTCGAAGCTGGTATCGAATGCGTCGGCGTCGACTCCTGAAATGGACGAGCATCCCAGCGCTCATGTACAGAGCGAGATCTCCAGCCCCATGACCACCGAGCCTTCCATCCCCCAAGATATCGACAGTTCCAATCTCGGAGCTGGTGCCGCCGGCAACTCCGAGATTGAAGACGCCGGAGATGGCTCTCACGAGGAGCAGAAGGCGACGAAAAAGAAGAAGAAGAAACATGGCAAGAAGGAGCGAAAGGCCCGCAAGAAAAAATCCAAGAAAAAGAAGGCCACAGCGATTCTCAATACCGCTGGTGGTTCCCGGGAAGTTGGCTCAGATGTCGAGATGAAAGGCGCTGATAATGATCATCGCGACGGAGATCAAGAAAATGATAAGATGGCCAAGGGCCAGGGTGATAATGAACAGCTGAAGGTATGGAAACCCTTGACCATCCAGGCATCTCTCTGAAGGTGGCAGCTAATCCTAACATCTCGGTGAAGAGCGGACACGAGGAGTCCAGGACCGAGAACGGCAGCACCGCTTCTTCAGTGGGCTTCCAACGAAAGTCTATGACAGCTATTCCTGTTCCCGACTACGGAAGAAGCTCCCCATTCACCGCCTCCACTCCTGTTAAGCTTCCCCCTTGGATCAAGGACCCCAGCGCCTTCAGCGGTGGTAATCGACGTTGGGATCCATACCCCCGGCCCTACCACGCCCCTCTCTTCTCGAGCAAGGTACGCGGCCGGCAAGCCGAGACGATTATAGAACCCAGCACTCCTTCCGGTTCTCCGACGCGAAACGAGGATAAACATGTGGCCAAAACCGGCGGCAAGAGCTCCGTGACCATGGCCATCGGGCCCATCGACGATCTGCACATTGACAACGGGGAGATGACGTCTCCCATCGAAACGCACGTCAAGAACAGGAAGAAGGGCGGCCGCCCCAAGGGAAGCAAGGCCAATGGCAAGGACGCGGGTATGAGCACCCCGCAAGGCGCATATGCGACCGCCGAAGGTCTCGTCCGGCCCCTGACGCCTTCGACCCGCGTCATCGATAAATTTGCCATCGACAGCCAGGATGCGGAGCGCAAGCGGGCTAAGCTGCAGGGTTTGCTCCGCCGCGACTACGAGGTGCTCTCGCAGGAGAGGAAGGAGTGGTTTCGTGCCATGAACCTCGATATCCGTTAAATGGGTAAGTTTTCTGGGAAAAGAAGAAGACAAGAGAAGAAAAAAAGGGAAAAAAAAGGGGGGACGGGAGATTGGATGGGACGTTCTAGTCTTGTGCCAAAGACTGCAAAAGACAGCCCCCACAAGGAGATATGATATGGTCTTTTCTTCTGTCTTTGGTATGGCATGGCCGGTTCCTGCGAGGCACAGAGACAAAAGAGGGAAAAGGGCCCCGGTCCTCCCCAATTTGTAGCCTAGCTCTCTGTGCATCCCGCTCCAGGAGGGTAGCCGATTACCATAATAATACAATTAATACAATGAGTGTGTCCTGGGTTGTTGTTCGACCAAACGATGTCCTCGATTTTGTGCTGCACTTCCATTCTTTGCAATGATCCCCTCCGCCTCTTCGATTGCGACGCCTGGGGTTGCATATTCAGAGTGGCAGACGGTAATATCGGCGTGCATTCACAGTCCGACTGACGGGGCAAGATCACCGGCGTACATGCAACACGCAGTACTGACCTTTTTCTGTCCACCAAATATTAGCCCGAGAATTCCTCGACCGCCCGGTTTCGCACATCGGTACTGAGAGCAAGAAGGATCTCGGATCTTCAAGGTCAACTGTCAGGGTGAAGGATACTGATCACCCGGGATCCGGACTTCGGCACCTGGAGAGAGGGAAAGCCCCTGAGCTGAGTGACAGTCACATGTACGCAGTCTTGAGGAAGCAGTGCACACAATGGACCCCGCACCAGATCTTACACCGACATCTGAGCCATACATGCAGTAAGTAATAGGCTCGAGCCATGATAGACCAAGCCGACCCCCCCTGGGAGGTCACCTGGCAACCCCTTGCGCCTTTGCCCTCCCACAACAGAGTCCTGGGCAAATAAAACAAGGGGCATCTCTTTGAGGGACCGTCCAACCGAGACACTCAATTCCGGGGGTGTTACAGTATTAAGAGTCCTTATGGGATGCGTGCGTAAAGAGCTGTTTAGACGACAACCCCGTGAGACGACCACGGCATAGGTATCATTCTCTGCGCCTAGGCACAGTTTTTTTTTTTTCGATCACAACCACTGCCGGATTTCGTGGCCTAAACAGCTAGCTCGTGGGCAGGATCGGCGTTTGTTCAAACCGGATTAAGGGGTAAAGTCCGGAAGAGAAACAAAAGATCAGCTTTTGTACACACGCAAATGCAGAGGAAGTGAAAGAGTGGCAAAACCGGGCATCATGTGGCCTGGGATGAAAACATTACCGGAGTCCTGCCGTGTAGAGGTTAGTAGGCTCGTGCTGGTTGTTTGTCCGTGGAATTGGCATTGCCGAATAGAGTGTCTGCTGCTGGAAAGCTGGAAATGTGCACGTGAGGTGCAAACGACGTTTATTGTCCTGGTGATAGGGCTTCTGTACTCCGTACCTAGTTCACTTGTAAGAGTATAGTCGACGAGACGTTGAACGCTACCTCGACCACCCTTGTGGCCCAGAAAACAAAGGGTGACATGGTTAAATTGGGATTGGATTGGGACCGTGGAGACCTGGTTCGACATGAAAGTCAATACGGTATTGGACGGGCGGGAATGACGAAACGAACAGAATTTGGCGTAGAATCTTGAGTACGGGGTACGGTGTGAGAGACAAGCAAGAGCCATGACATTGACATTGGACTGGCCGCACTGGCGGGATGCCGCAGTTCGAAGTCCGAGTTACTCATAAGGTACCTAATAGATAGCGGGCGGGTAGAGTGGAAATACAAGCAACGCCGCCTTGCCGTTGCCACCGGATCGTCGGTTGGACGAGAGTCGACCGGAGCCATCAGGCCGGCAGATTAGCGGATGGCGAAGAAAGAAACGCCAGGGGAGGGGGGAAGGCGAGGAGGTTCACCGAATGTTTAATCAGGACATGGGGCGTCTGATAGGCGGGTTACGTAACCCGCACAGGGCTAGCCATTAGGGCTTATAGTATCTCCACCACTGTAGCTATCTAGGCAGCTCTCTTCTAACAATGAACAACCTCACAACCGTACAGCGCGTTGTTTTACGTCTCGAGTTGCACTGGGACCTGACCCGTGGCGGGACGACGCTGGGACTACAGTCATCCCACGGAGTGGTGAGATAGTGGTGCTATAATGTGCCAGACGGCATCGAGCTAAGGAAACCTAGGTAAGGTAGGTAAGTGCTCAGTCGCAAGAAGGCATTGTGATCATCCCTCCAGATGCCCAAGGGTTGTTGGCCCACGTCCTCAATGGATGCGTACATAGACGATACAGGTAGCGTGCTCCTGACCTCGCAGATGCATGATCACATATACCCTCACGGGCCATGTTAAGATGCAGTAAAATGCATGCTTGCATATGCAGGAAGCCAGCGTAATGTTCTTAGTTGATCGCGGCAATGGAGCAGGCCAATCGATAGGGTCGGACTGAAGGAAGAGGGTGTAGAGCGAACGGAGCCCGCTAAAACCATATATGGCTGATGGTGAGGTTGACAGATGCCTATCTCCCTAAGTAGACGATGACGATGGCTGATTTAGCTTGGGGTCGACGTCGTTGATCATCTCGAAAGGAAGAGAAGAAGTTCGAAGGCAGTCTAAACTGGCCGGACCGGTTTCACGACGTACCAAGTACAAACTGATCCATACTGAGTAGCAGTAGCACGGGTTGCATCTTGATACGTTTTTATTTATTTATCCATTTTCTTTTCTTTCTTTTTGCGGTAAGTGATGTTTCGCACAAAGAAGTTTTGTTGCTTACGGAGGTAGTTTCCGAGTCTTATATTATGTTAAAGATAAGACTGGCCAATATGGAGAACGAAACCCAAGGGAAAGCGATCTGCCTCGCAGAGAAGGTCTGGACCCCGAGATCCAAGACTTGATAGGGGTTGGAATGGCTGAGAACGGAGTCCGGACTACGGATATACCTGGGTGAATAGTGTATGGCGTAGCACGTTCCGTCGAAGCGAACCCAGCGCCAGATGCAGAACAAGTGAGGAGAACAAGATTCAACATCATGCACGGAGAAGAAACTGCAGGTGGCAGATCTCATCTACCAATGGATTGCAGCCACCCGATGAAGAGGGGGGGTGCCGGTGCCGGAAGTATGGAGTAAACCATGATGTAGGAAATGCTACGCCAAAAGCACGATTAGTGTAATACCTAATCCCGTGAGTAAACCCGGGGTACTGGGTAGACTGGACCTTGGGGGAGCTATTCGGGTCTTTGTCCCCCGGTGCGGGCGCTGTCCTGCTAGCTGTGGGCACCATGGCTTGAGGGTGAGAGTCGCTTGGCCATTAAGCTTGGCCGGTGACTACCTTATCCATACCGTCAACTGGTAGATCGATGGCATAATTAGTTTCTGACGGTGCATGATAAGATGAGAAATACAGCCATGTCATGCTGGCTGCAGCAGCCGTCATGAGGGAGCTGTCGGGATCGTCAGGAGCCCCAGCGGCGTGAACCAGGTACTCCCCATAGAAGCGAGGCGAATGTAATTGACGAACAACCAAGGTTTTTATCGCCTCTCTTAGGAGTATGACCGGCCTGAAAGTTGTGGGGCAATTATGAATAAGACACACGTACGAAGTATGCTCTTTGTGCCAGGGAGTTACAGGAGGTTGAGGGGCACAAAGCAAGTCATGCCCCTGAATGTGCCAAGGGGCATTGGGGGAGTTGCGAAGTCGAAAGAAATAAAGACTGACTGGTTACCTGCATGTCGATGTGCCGGGGAGGGCAAGGGAGGGCAAGATAGAAGCAATAATGAGCATGGTAAGAGGAGGTGGAAGCTGATAAAAGTGCGCGTCGTATGCAACATGGCTTGACCGGGACGGGAGGGGTCATTCGGTCTTGGTGCGACTCAGAAAAATAGATGCTTGGGTGAGACTTCGAATTCGTTTCTCGTACGATTACGGAGACTGTGACCCTTCCCCTGTGTATGTCTTCGTTAAGAAAATTCGAGCTCATGATTTATTGAGTAAGAAAATCGAAACAAAAGCTTCGTCGTGGGATCAAAAAATAAAATAAAATAAAACGAATAATAATAATACAGATTATATTTATAGGCAGTCGCAGGCAGTCCCTCCTTCTTTATTTAACCTGAGCCGAAACGATGTTGTTTCGACTGGCCGGCTTTAGGTATATGTACGCTATACCGTATATAGATTAGGCCCGTGATGCATGTATCGCTACCGGGCTTGTCCGAGAACTGGCACCTGACGATTGGCGATTGGCTTTTCTTTGCATCACTATCTTATGGCGCTCTTCCCCGCTCACCACTGTGCTACTCAGTCTGAAGTACAGGTTGAACCGGTGTAATTACCTCTTACCATACCTATGTAACTCGCTTTGCAAATGTACCGACTCTGCACTGTAATTACGGAGTAGTTTTAGGTACCACACTCACTATTGCTGCGACTCAATGACTTTGTACCATCTCCTGCTGACATCTTCCGGAAGTCCTCTCCGTTGTCGCCCCCAGCCACGGTCCGTCACATTGACTGTGTAGTCCAACCACCTGTCTGATCCTCCTCCTACCCATCACCATAAAGGAAGAAGAGGCTTCACTGCTCCAAAGTTCCAACCTGCGTCTCTCCCTATCTCCCATTGAAACGAGCCTCCCAGCCCTAAGCGTTACCTCGCTACGGTAGCCTTGGGTTACTCAATTGCGTCTTGGCCCTCGCGCTGTATTTACGGAATACAACACCACAATCGACCCTGGAGCAATAAAGGACTGCATAACTTTTTTCTTCTTCTCCTCTTCCTCTTTTTCCCGCCTTTCCACCGGAGCCGATCGTGTCTTCGCGTCCACTGGGGTATTTTGGTTGTCCACCCCGCGTCACTGCAGCGACTGAGCCTCCTGGGTCTCTCTCATTTCTTTTGCCAGTGCCGTCGCTCGCCCAAAGTTTCGAACCAGCACGCCCAATTGCCAAGGGCTGCCGGCCCTCTCGGTTGCTGGGTTTTACCACCGCGTCCAAGGCCAAACACTTTTCCCGAGTTTGATTGCCTTCTCAGAGTGTCACCTTTCCCAATTGCGTTCCGAATCCCGCTGAGGCGGCCGACCGTTAACAACTCCGCGAGTTGACGAAACCGCCAATACAGACCTGGCCAGGTCGACGACATAGAGGGAAACGCTTTCCACGTTGCTCCGATATGTCTACGATCATTGCCAACCTGTAGCTCTGGCCGACTGCCAGGTTCCTGGCTTGAAATAATCCAGCTCAGTCTGAGTCACATCGACCCTCAATCTACTTGATCGTCGTCGTGATTCCGAACCGCCTTCGACTGCTCTCAGCTCTCTCTCTCTCTCCCCCTCTTTCTCTCTCTCTCTCGCGCTCGCGCGAACCCTGCCTTCAGTCCGACAATACGCTACCTCCATCCGACCTCCCACCTCGAGACCTTCCCGAACCGCCGTGCCGGTCTGATCCAAACCGATGCTACCGATACCAACGGGGATTCTGCCCGTTCTTTTCTCAACACAATGGACCAAAATCCCAACGCCGTACTCTCTCCACCGGCCGTGACGAGCCTTCGGGCACAGGCGGCTGGCCCGATGGAGCGTTCTTTTACCCAGGACATCCAAGAAGAGTGCGAGGAACTTCGCGAAGCTGCCGAACAAACTCTGAATGTAATCCTCGACGTCAACCTCGACGGCACCATACGATGGGTCAGTCCTTCATGGACCGACGTACTCGGCACCCCGACCAACGCCGTCCAAGGCACTGCAATCGCCGATCTCATCGTTAGCGAGAATAAGAATATATTCTCTAAGGTGGTGGATACTATGAGATCCGACGATTCTCGAAGCCAACGTATCCGGTTCGCTGTCCATTTAGGACCTCTGTCCAAGCTGCTATCCCTCGAACGGCTTCAGAACCCTGATGCTGAGCCTGAACAGCCGGAGACTATTGAACTCGAAGCCCAAGGTATTATGGTCTACGATATCGTTTCGGGAGGCGAGAGTCATGTAAGCATCAACCCTGAAACCCTCAATGCCGCCAATTTTGTCTTGCGTCCCATCTTTCCTCGTACTAAGCCATGCCTCGCAGACGATGTGGATGGTTCGACCCTGGATCGCTCCCCGAGAGATCAAAATCGACCTCCCCCTGGTGATTGTTGATGCCCTAGGGTCAGGCGCCGAAGTCCTTGCCAGTTACCTCACCCAGCTCGCTGAGTCCGGTATCGAAGATCCTGAGAATCACCCACCCCCGCTACCCGTGCTCTGTCGTATCTGCGAACGTCAAATATCGCCCTGGTGGTTCGAGAAACACACCGACCTGTGCCTGCAAGAACACAGAGCCGAGATGGACGTACAGATGGCACAGGAAAATCTTATCGAGCATCGACATGCCATTGTCAGAGTCTTGGATGCCCTCGAGGCCCGGAGGAGCCGTTCCCTCACTGGGGACCAGCCGCCTCTGCCGGTTGCCGAGTACAAGGGTCTACCCATTGGCCCGCCTCCCTCCAGCCAATCGTCCCCAGCAAACTCGGTATCTCAGTCCAGGGATCGATCCGGTGGCTTCGGTCACGCGAGGGCCCGTTCCTTCGCCATTCGCCGGCCCCAGGCCCGAATCGTGGAACTTTTGATGGATCTGTGTGACACTGCCATAGAAATCAGTACGCCAGCCATCAAAGAGTCCGCCTCGCAAACCCCCGGGGAGCCTCGAGCAGAGTCACCCCAGTCCGAATCACGTATCGCCCAGGTCATGCAATGGCAGTCGCCAGGCAGCAACACGCTCGAGCAGGAACAAGGCCTCGCCCTTCTCTGTACCGACACGGAAAAGGCCGCCAAAGCCAAAGTTGAGGCGATCTTCAGGCACCGCAAGATCATCGAGTACGCCGAACGTATTCGCATCGAGTTTGCTGTCCTGGTTCAATCCTGCATCGACGAAGCCATGCATAAGGCAGCTCGTATTGCCGCTGGGCGGTTGAGTGACTCGACGGAGGACGAGGAGGAGGAGGACGGGGATGCAGACACCGAGGACCTCACGCCGGCCCCGCGGGAGGGGACTCCGTTCCTGGACAACGCGGCAGGAAACCCGTCCGCCCTTGCAGCCGCCCTAGAGAACGCAGCCCTTGACGACGGCATAACTCGGACACGTCCAATGTCCTTCATAGGTTCCGCCCGGTCAGACAGCCCGCGAGAACGTTCTGTAACGGCGAAGTCTAATCTCGGAAGCGTTGGACATGTCAGCAGTTCGCGCGAATCAAGGCGAGAGTCCCTGCTCTGCGAGAGCGACACGGGCGACAGCGAAGGCAGCCTGCGTTCGTCGTCGTTGACCTCACGCCAGCCACGAACCGAATCCCCCATGTCTGAATTCGGCGATCTCCGCCGCGCTGCGAGCTCCCGCCAACATCACCGTCGAAGTCTCGTCCTGCCAGGTACCGCGTCGCCTCGGCGGCAGGAATCGCCGTCGCGCGGGACTCAACCGTCTTCGCCTTTGCGAATCCATAAACCTCGCCATTTCGTTTACGGCCACGACGGCGTGGTTTCTCCCGAGCCGTCCCCCATGCTGCCCACCAGCGAGTTTGGTTCGCCGGCCGTGGCACCGCATCATCATCGCCGCCAGTCGTCGACGGCCATGTCCGAGTTCGTCATGCGTCCCCCACCGTCACCAAGGCTGAGCGCCCATAATCCGCCCCCGCAAGCTCGGCCTGCGCCTCCTTCGATCAAGGATTTCGAGATCATCAAGCCGATCAGCAAAGGCGCGTTCGGGAGCGTGTACTTGTCGAAGAAGAAGTCAACTGGGGAATATTTCGCCATCAAGGTCTTGAAGAAGGCAGACATGGTGGCCAAGAATCAGGTCAGCAACGTCAAGGCTGAACGTGCCATCATGATGTGGCAGGGCCAGAGTGACTTCGTCGCCAAGCTGTACTGGACTTTCTCAAGCAAGGACTATCTCTACTTGGTCATGGAGTATCTCAATGGGGGTGACTGCGCGTCGCTGATCAAGGTGCTTGGGGGTCTCCCTGAGCACTGGGCCATGAAATATCTCGGCGAGGTAATACTGGGTGTAGAGCATCTTCACAGCCGCGACATCATTCATCGTGATCTTAAACCCGACAACCTCCTGATTGACCAGAAGGGCCATTTAAAACTGACCGACTTTGGTCTGTCGCGAATGGGTCTTGTTGGACGACAGAAGCGGGCGCTTAATAGCGAAAATCCCGAATCCACCCCGGATCTTCTCAAGCAGGGGCCGTTTGCCCGCTCGGCGTCAATGGCCTCGTCTCGTTCGACGTCCATGGATCTCCACGGCCACTCGCCGTCACCGAACCTCACTCCGCAAATGTCACCCGAGGTGGGGGCCAACCACGGATTGTCGTCGTACTTCGTCCTCGGAGGTCTTTCGCACGAACCCCGTCGCATCTCGGGCTCCGATCGTCGCAGTGAAAGTGGTGGCAGCGACGCCCTCGCGCACATGCTGCATAACTTCTCGCTGAACGATCCCGAACCGGCGGCATCCCAGCCACATGGTGCCAAGTGTGCGGATGAGCATAACGAGAGCAACGTCACGTCTCCTGAGGTACCAGGTCTTCCGCATCAGTCAAGCAGCCTATCACAGATGTCACAGTCGAGTGCTGAACTGCTTGGGAAGAACACGCCGCCGCAGAACGGTAGCATGATGCCCCCGGCCATGGCCCTATTCGACCCGGAGGACACGAACCGACGTTTTGTGGGCACGCCTGACTACCTAGCACCGGAGACGATCAAGGGTGAGAAGCAGGACGAAACAAGCGACTGGTGGTCAGTGGGCTGCATCATGTTCGAGTTCTTGTACGGTTACCCACCCTTTCACGCCAGCGAGGCCGAGCTTGTCTTTGAGAACATTCTTGCCCGTAAGATCCAGTGGCCCGACGAGGCCGATTGCGAACCCATCTCCGAGGAAGCCAAGGATCTCATCAACAAACTACTCTGCATGGAACCGCAGATGAGGCTGGGGGCGGCCCGCGATGACAAGTACGCCTCGGGAGGAGAGGAAATTCGAAATCACCCGTGGTTCAGCGGCATCAATTGGGAAACTTTGGTGCAGGACGAGGCGCAGTTCGTTCCGCAAACAGACGATCCCGAGAATACGGAGTATTTCGATAGCCGCGGAGCAGTGTTGCAGTCGTTCGCCGAGGAGATGGAAGACCAAACATCACCGCCGTCCTCCGCAGCAGGTTCCGACTATCCGGCCCGGCCGCATGATGCGCTTTCCCGCGTCAGGTCCCAGGTCAACTCGATCAAGCGCAACCTGATGCCGCTTCACATCCCGCCTCATGTGCGGGACTTGAAGAGTAGGCGTCTGAGCGAGCCCGTGCCTGCGGATGACTTTGGCTCCTTTGCGTTCAAGAACCTTCCTGTTCTAGAAAAAGCCAACAAGGACGTGATTCAGAAGCTTCGCGCCGAGGCGCTGGCGACCCAGAACAAGCAGGCCTCCATCAGCTCCGGAGGTGGACCCATCACCTCTCCTGGCCCGGCACTGGAGGGGAGCCCCGTTATGTCCGTTCCAGTTCAGCGGACAATCTCCCACGCCAAGGCCCACAACAGGCCACAATCTCCTTCTGGGCTGGGTCATCACGCCAACTCGTCTCCCAGTCGGGCCTCCCAGCCTTCCTCCCCTCTCCTGGTGTCGTTTGTTGCCGGACAGGGAAGCGAGGGACGACGCAAGACATCCAGCAATGCGTCAAGTTTCTCTCAGCCGCCGTCCAGTGCTTCCTTGCAGCCCAATCCTGGGCTGGACGTGCCCAAGGTGCCCCCTAGCCTGCAAAAGGCGGCCACTTCGGTGTCGGTGTCGGCCTCTCCGGTCAAAGGACGCGGCCAAGCTCCGCCTCCGCTGGCCTTGTCGCCTCAGAAGCTGGTGGCGACACCGCGGCAGGCGAGCACTTCGTCCACCGGCCGGTCTCGTTCCCTCACGGTCGGATCGCAGTCTCAGGAAGGCAGTCCGATAACGTCAGACCTCCTCGCCCACCACCGGAATCGTCGGAGTCAAGTATTCGACATGTCGCCGTCATCTTCCGACAATGAGAGCGAGAAGCACAACGCGCTGCTCCGGGTGCAACGTCGACGGCAGAGCTCTCGACGGCTGTCCCAGATTGCGCTCGACGACGGACCCATGTTCCGGCCGCTGGATGTGTTGATCTGCGAGGACCACCCGGTTTCCCGGATGGTGATGGAAAAGCTGCTGGAGAAGCTACGTTGCCGTACCATATCAGTGCCTAACGGGTCGGAAGCGGTTCGGTATTCGCTGAGCGACATCAAGTTCGACATCATCTTCCTCGCATACCGACTCCCTCAGATCAGCGGGGCCGATGTGGCGAGGATGATCCGCGAGACGAAGAATGCCAACTCGAACACGCCCATCGTGGCGATCACGGCCTACCTCAAGGAGCTGCAGGCTCCACATTATTTCGATTCCCTCATCGAGAAGCCCATTTCGAGCTCGAAGCTCTCGGAGGTGCTCAAGAACCTTTGTCAGTGGAAGCCGCAGTCGCCCGGGCCGACCAACCCACTCTTTCTGCCTCATCCCGTCCCGTCGGGCCTCCGGCAGGCGAGCCTGCGAGCGGACGACAGCCCAACGTCGAGCTCATCGGTGTTCCCTGGGCGGGCCAGCAGCAGCGTGGTCACGTCGAGCCGGGAAGATTCGATTGGGTCCAGCCTTTTTGGGGATTCCGAGTCGGCGGTATCGACAGACGATGTCCCTCCCGTGGTGGTCTCTCGCAGAGGCACGAGCGAATGGGAGGATGGAGGCGGCCTGGGGATCCGGGAGGAGGACGAGGAAGGGAGGGAGGAGGAGGAGGAGGAGGGGGAGGAGGTCGTGTACAATGCGGTGGGCGAATTGCCGAAGACCGTGCCACCCTTGGCCTTAATTTCGCAGCAGCCGGCGGCGAGCGTGACGGACCACGCGACGACTAGAAAATACACGGCACCACGGCTGGGCGAGAAGGGCAAGGCGAAAAGGGAGCCGGCAGCACGGCGAATGGCAGAGAGCACCGACTCGGCGGATGACGAAGACGAGGAGCTCGGGCTTGTGCACGACCAGCCGAGACAGGGGCAGAGCAACAGCAGTGGGAGCAGCGACAGCGGCAGCAGCGTCAAATCGTTCCGGGTCAAGCCGCTTTTGCCCAGCTCGAAGCTCGGGATCGAGATGATGCGGGCGGACAGCCACGACGGCGGGTTTATCGCCTCGTCGGAAAGCACAACGGAGCCGGTGACGCAGGTGGTTACACCGTGTAAGGAGGATGGGCCGGCACTTCTTTTCGGGGCCGCGGAGGAAACGGGGCCGATGTGCACTCCTCCGCCTCCGAATGACGGCAAGCCCGCATCGTGTGCGGCCGAGGTGGAAGAGACGCCGCGTCCGCAGACGGCACAGCGGGATGTGGGCAGGGAAGAAGAAGAAGAAGAGCGCACGCCGCGAGCCGTGGAAAAGACTGGTCCATCGAAGAGCTAAAAATGACTGTCGCATTCGCAGGATGAGGCAGACGGACGTCTTGGTACATGTCATCAGAACTTGACAGAAATGGCGACGGACTGCAACCAAGTAACATTTTCTTTTGTCTTTTTTTCTTTTTCTTTTTTCTTTTCTTTTCTTGTTTGTTTTTCTCCTTCGCTTTGTCATTGCTACGATCCGTCATTCTTATGTTTCCTGGCTAGCGCGGCGTTTTTGGTGGAAGGGCAGAAGTTTGGCAGACTGTGTCCGTTCACCCTGGTCTGGACCTGGAAACTACATTTTACCTTACCCTACTGCGGGACAGGGCATTACAGCGAGCGCGTTTCGGGGGACGAGAGGCACACAAGAAAGCCATGCACAGCGCAGCGCAGCACAGCACAGCACAGCACAGCACTGCTCGGGCTACATTGTGGCACGAGGACCGAGAGGAGTCTCGAGCGCGTCGCGGGAGTTGGGGGATGCGGTGTCCCCATCTGACACATGCGATGGCAGGGTGGAAAAGTGAATAACTGCATCGTTTTGCTGGGGATAGTGCTTGCTATTGCGACATTTTTACTACCGGGTGGTCTTTTTTTCCTTCTCTCCTCCTTTCTTAGTCTGTTGTTGCTATGTGTATATTGAGGGTTTTGGCAAATTTTTTTATTTTATTTTTTGCTTCTCTTCCTTCTTTTACCTTCTTTTCTTCTTCTTTTTTTTCCCAAGGAGAGGATGATGCTCACAACTCTGCGCCGAGGAGGTCCATGGCATGGCGTGCTAGATGCTGTGAAAACGGTCTGGGCCAGTTTAGTATTTAGAGGCTGCTTTGGGGGGGTGTCCAGTGTACAGGCTCAAACAAGAGAAAAACGGAATGCCCGTTTCTTTTTCCTGCTTCAAGTCCAAGATGAATGGAATGGTAAACTTGTTGTAGCGGCTCTTTCTAACATTTCAATGCCAAGGCGCGATCGGCCTGTGGCTGCGTGATGACAGCGGGATCCCCAGGCTTGGCACGGTTTTATAAATCTTGGCAATATCAAAATGTCTTCAACATCATCATCGGGTTGATGTATCTAGTTATTTTCCATGTTTTCCTCTGATTTATTGTCTTCACCACAAACATAAAATAAAAACGAAAACGAAACCCGGCCGGAACAGGCGGGTGAAATAACGGTCAATCGTCGAAGCACGTTGCGAAACGATGCAATATCATTGGTCGTCCTGGCCCCTGGGTCCACCGTCGAATATAAGCCCGTTGGGTCGGGAATGGAAACAGATCGCGTGTGGTTCGGCCCCAGCAGCTTGGACGGATATGACTACGGTAGAATCGATGAGTTTGTCACGAGGACGAAAACGAAACCGGATTTGGGTCGGGAATTCGTTCGAAGAAGAAAAAAAGTCGAAAGGGTCCCCGGTTATATTTTCATTGTATTCTGTATTTTTTCTTTTTTGCTGGCCCCTGCGGATGCGGCGCCGTCCCAACGGTCCAACTTCCCGACCAAAATCCGAGCTTCTTTTCGTGCCGTGCTACTCATCTAACCCCGTCCCACCTGTCTCCTCTCCATGTTGCCTTGGATGGATGAAGGGCATGACGACTTGGGGGAAAATTCGGGTGTCTTTTTTGTGGTTCATCGTTGTAGGTCAAAGCCCTTTGGATCTATAAGAGGATATTCTGAACGGAGATGAGATTTCGATATAACCTTTTTCCAGTCCCACCCACTCGCTCTCTGTCTTCTTAGAGTTCTTTCTTTTTTTGTTTTTCTTTTCCGTGATGTTTGATATGTGCATCTCTCTCTCCTCCCACCTCATCATCATATAGATTCCAGGAATCAGCAACTCGAGAAACCGTTACCTTACCTTCAATGGCAGACATTCTTCGTCACCACCGTCACCACAACCCACGCATAGGCGAGATCCCCGTCCCTCACGGGCCAGAGACGGGCCAGGAGCACGACGACTACCCTGCCCACCACACCAGCGACTACGAGCGCCGCATCTTCGCCCACATTACCCGCCCCGACGACTCCTACACCGCCAATGGCGCCTACTGGGCCGACCTCCCCTTGCGGGAACGCGTTCCCTTCGTCGCCAAGGTTGATCGCGAGGAGGCCGCCAAGGAGCTCCGCGTCACGGGCCGCATGATGAAGCAGGACCCCTTATCGCCGCTGACCTGGTACTTTCGCCACGCGGTGCTCCCAGGGGCTGGGCTGGGGCTCGAGGGTTATGTCTTGTTCTCCATCGGGAACCTGGAGCCGCTTTTCGCGGCTGCGTGGCCGCAGTGCTGGGGCCCTGATGCTACCGTTTGTGCGAAGAATTGGATTGCTTCCGTGACATATCTGGAGATTGTGGGTATCATGATCGGCCAGGTGGGAGTTGGTGTAAGTTGTTCTCTTTTCTCTTTTTCTTCTCTCTTTTTCTTTTCCCTTTTTTTTCGTTTAACGCCGCTCAAATCCATTGCGGTCAAAAAAAAAAAAAAAGAAAAGACTAAGAAACGCCATTGCTCAGATCATCGGAGACTGGATCGGTCGTCGCTGGGGCCTCATCCAAGACGCCCTAATCATGCTCCTCGGCCTCCTCCTCCTCACCGCCTCCTGGGCCGACAGCCTGCAGGGCTGGGTCATCTTCTACGCCTGGTCCCTCTTCGTCTACGGCTTCGGCGTCGGCGGCGAGTACCCCATAACAGCCACTTCGTCGATGGAGTCGGCCGTCACCGCCGGCCGCCTCTCCACCCGCGACGACCGGCTCCACCGCGGCCGCCGCGTCACCTCGGCCTTCCTCATGCAGGGCTGGGGCCAGCTCGCCAACCAGGTCGTCCTCATCGCCCTCCTGGCCATCTTCAACGGCGGCGGGGCAGCCCCTTACTCCGTGTCCGCCGCCCAGTTCACCTTCAGGCTGAGCTTCGCCTTCCCGGCCATCGGCACGCTGTGGCTCGTCTACTACCGGACCTGGAAGATGCCGCGGGCCAATCGACAGCTCGATCTTGCCAAACGTCGTAGCGGTGTGACGGGCTACGATGTGGCTGCCCTCCGTGGCTGCGTGCGGCATTTCGGTGGTCGGCTGCTTGCTACGGCGGGAACATGGTAAGCTGACAAATTCATCCATAACGACGGGCCTTTTTTTTTTTCTTTTTTTTTTTTCTTCTTTTTCTTTTCTTTTCTTCTTCTTTTTTTTTTTTTTGGCGTCGAGGTCATGGGAACCCTCTATACTAACTAGCGTGGCGTCTTTGCCAAAATGTACGCAAAGGTTCTGCAACGATGTTTTCTTCTACGGCAACAAGCTCTTCCAGGGCCGGTTCATTAGTGTCATCTCGACGAACCCGGACTCTGTCATGGAGAAATGGACCTGGAACTTCGTTAACGTGGTCGTCTCACTGGCCGGCTACTACGCCGCGAGTCTCCTCATCGACAACAAGCTCTACGGCCGGAAGATGATGCAGCAGGTCGGCTTCCTGGTCTGCTTCATCACCTTCGTCATCCCGGCGTTCCGGTACGACTACTACACCTCCCCCGAGGGGATCCGTTCGTTCCAGGCCATGTACTTCCTCTCGTCCTTCTTCAACCAGTTCGGCCCCAACAGCGTCACCTTCCTGGCGGCGGGGGAGGTGTTCCCCACGCCGGTCCGGGCCTCGGCGCACGGCTTCTCGGCCTGCATGGGGAAGGCAGGGGCGTTGCTGGCCGCGGTCCTCTACAGCTACCTCGACGACCGGGAGAAGTTCCGCTTCGTGCCCTGGTTCGGCCTCGCCGGCGTGCTGCTCACGTGGCTGTTCCTCCCGGACACGACGGGGCTGGACCTCCGCGAGCAGGAGAGAAGGTGGGACTATATCCGGCGCGGCAAGGCGGATGAGTACCGCGGCGTGGCGGTGCATCCGGCGCATCTGAGCTTGTGGGAGCGGATGCGCGGGGTCGGGAGGGCTTACGACCCGGGTAAGGACTTGCGGGCGCGCATTGACGATCTGAGAGTCGAGTGGGAGGCCGAGCAGGAGGTATGCGCGGCGGAGAAGGAGTCGGATGAGGCGCAGGATGTCGGAGACTGGAGCGAAGAGATTCATGGCTATTTCAGGGGGTCGTCGAAGACGGAGGAGTGCCAAAATAGTGATGATGAGAAGGGCAGGAGTGGAAGCGCCGGTAGTAATGGCGGGGTGATGACGGGGCGGAGTATAGGGCCGGAGGGCGGGGAAGAGAATCGGACATAGATACTGGTAAAGGCTCGCGTCTTCAGCTGGTGTGTATATACAAATGCCGTGAACTAAGCGGTTTGACATACATGAGAAAGAGTAATCAGAAATGTTCAGCTCATAGTATCATATCTTCGAGGTAAAGGCTCATATGCTTGGAATATATTTGGGTTAGGGATAACATGGACGAGAGATGTCTTCTTCGCATTGGAATCTGTCTGGGTGTGTCCGTTTAGGATTGACCTTATCCTTCATATATATAGCAATAGATGGAAGGTGGCACTTTGAGGTTTTGGGTTTTCTGAAGGGGAAGGGAAGGAGCTGCTTTATAGGTACTCTTTCCGTCGGCCTTTTAACCGCGAGGCAGGTAGGTCTATAAGGTCTATAAGGTAGAGAATCTACCTTCATAGTGCCTTCCCCTTTCTAGGTACCTTGTATTTCCCCCTGTGTATATCATGTTACTTGTGTCTCTTCATTGCTCTTCTATTCTATTGTCCCTCTATCCAGAACCAGATCAGCACAGCACACTCTACTACCACATCCTACGGCGCACTTGCTCCCCAATCTCTCCTGATACCCTCACACAGTAACATATAAAAGCTGCTCACCCACAGCCACCAAGCATACTAGCCAGCACAGTGCATACAATCAAGACCCATGAAGCAAGTGGAGCGTCTCATTGTGTTCCTCATGGCAGGCTTCATTGCCTTGGCCAGCATAGCAGCCGCCGCTGTGCCAGACCGCATTGGCAGCTTCATCGGAGCCTGCAACTGGAACCGCTGCAAGCTCAAGGACAACCGCATTCTGGGGACTTACTGCAACAATGAGCACTACAAGGTTTTTGGATACGACTGGACTCAGTACGTCGAATTCTTCTTTGCTATATTTATCTAATGGAATATTCAAACCAAGGGGCATGCATGCATGGTCAGCCATGGAAACGCCGGATAGAAAGGCTGACTATCCTCCAACAGAATCGACCTCGGGAAATGCGTGGCAAATGTCAGGGGCTCCCTCAGTCTGCGCGAAGAGTACGTCGGCCGCTCCCTCTGGTCCCATGTTGTGTTTCCCAGGGCTGCATATTCTGATCGGCCCCCGAGTTCATATTGTGGGACACGAAACGTGGTGACCCTGCTAACCAACGGGTGCAACCTCGTTTGAGGAATGTAGTGGCGAGTACTGGAAGTCGTGCGACTCTTGCTACCTCACCAACCAGCGCGAATACAGGACGCAGTACCTGGTGTGTGGCTGCCTGGCCTTGAACGAGACACGGCAACAGACGTGGATCAACCTCGGCCGGGTTCTGTACAACGACAACGGGACTCTGAGCTGCTTCGGTCACCGCGGGGCCAAGTTTGACCGTCCCCCTTACGGAATGGAGCGAGACTGAATACCAATACAACAAGAAGGATGAGGAAGAGGAGACTGGCAACGACAGGGAATACGAGTCCGAGGACGAAAATGATAGGGAGCCCGGCGAGGATGTCGAGGACTACTCTGGTTCCTGAAAGGCCGACGAAGATGACGGAAGGACCTTCAGAGTATAGGCCAGGTCTGGCACACAGGAGACGAAGACATTTCTTCTTGTCCATTGTGTTATTCAACGGTGAGATATATTCAGAATCGCATTTGGTTCTGTTTACCTCAGGTACTTAATTGAATGTACCTGGTACCCAAGTCAGTGGTCAAAAGGAACGAAGAGTTGTACACAATGTGACTATGTAAGTAGCTTGGATCCTTTTGCAGCAGCCCCCCCCCTCTGTACCTCCGTGGCTCTCGACCGGATTTATCCAGATTTATCCGAAGTCAGTCACCCATGTGCGTTGCCGTGGTTGCGTTGCATTGCGTTTCCTGACTCGACCGGGTGTCGTTTTACCTTGACCAGAAGAGGAACCTATGACGCACGGTTCCAAAGGGACGTAGGCTTGGTTATGTCGTTCCATCTCCAGGCCGTTGATATTTTTTATCTTTTATTTTATTCTTGCGTTGTTCGGATCACGAGAGCTTCCTTGATCTCTCTTTAGGCCGTTGGCGTAGCTTCAATCGCATGATGTTCTCGATGGACTCTCCCTAGTCTCCACTGACTGGGGTCTCTTGGCCTACATATGTAGGTCTCCGTACGGACGAAGTACACTTCTCGCGGTTCATAGGTACTTAGCGTATCAGATGTATCACACATACGGAGCGCTATTATTAAAGAAAGACAAAAAAAGAAAAAGAACAAAAAAAGGGAAGAAGGGAACAATAAGGCAATGGGTTAGCTAACTAAGGTATTCGTATCTCTGGTCTCGGAGAGAGTTTCATTGCGTGCCGTTTTCAGAGGAAGTCTCATCGTGAACTTGGACGACTTCGCGTACGCGTCTAAAGCCGACCGAGACAATCTTTTACTGCTGTTTCTTCCTCCCTACGTCCGAATTGAAAGATGCAACATCTGCATTCAAATAGAGATTGCAAAAATCCTACAACTTGACCAAGAAATAAGTTTTTTTCAGTTTAAAGTTCCCTGCATACCCGTAATCTTGTCAGAAACCCTGGACCACCCCCCGACACGCCCAGACTCGCGCCCTGTTCATCGTACATGTAACAGTTCGTCTCCAGTGTTAGCTCCCTCCGCCATACCTATCTTCTGCTGTCCTTCCTTCCATTATCATTATTATTACTACCCGTATATTCTTTCTGCCTTATCCTATTTCCCTAATAAAGGTATTTTATTTTCCCATTCGCCCTTGTCGTCTCAATTGCTTCCGTTCTGTCTGTGCCTGTAGCCGACTCGATAGGGAACGCGTCATTCTTGGCCTCCTTCCAAGGAGTTTCCCAAGTCCCGGTTATCCAATCTCTGATGTTGGGCCAAGACGACCAACAATAGCTTGGCAAACATTAAAAATCATTGTGCATGCCTCCCGCTAAGCTACGTTGTACGCCAGCTCCCCCCGTTTCTCAGGGTCCATCTAAGACACAATTGTCCTGGACCTGCCAGCTTCCCTCCCCTCCTACCGACCAAATCTCCTGTCCTTAACCCGTCCCCATGGCTTCCCACGACGGTGACCATCCCGACAATGTCGAGAGGAACCGCTACGCGTCCTCCAACCGCTGGCGCCACCAGGAGAGCTCGGCTTTCCTCCGCCACGCTGCCGGCTCTCAACCTCGCGACCCTCAAGACCGCAGCGATACCAGCGACCTCGCCAGTTTCCTCAACCGCGACCGAGTCGAGCCCGATATACCTGCCGATGCCCCGCGCCCCGCGAACTTCAAGCCGATTATGATCGGCGCCGCCGAAGCGAAGGAGAAAATCCAACAAGCCGATTCCGCCTCCGCCACTGAGGCCGGTGTCGCTATCGCGCCGCCGGCAGGCGACCATGCCGCCACCGATGGCAAGGACATCGTCTGCGGGCCTCTGCTCAACTATCGCAAGATGGAGGGCAGTACATGGTACGGCAGCGCCTTGATCGTCACCCAGGGAGGCCGTCGTGCCGCGCCCGTGCTCCACCTCCGCCGCGGAGGCCTCCACGACGACCGCGAGAAGCCCGACAACCATAATGATACTACCGCGACGACGACCGACACGGCCACGAACGGAGGAGAGGTACCAACTGCGGGCGCCGAAGGTGGCATCGTCGAAGTCCAGGGAGAATGCCTCTACTCCGATCCCCGCAACACGTTCTGGGCCTTCGGTCTCTCCGTCGAGATGGAACAGTCCGAATCGAAGTGGGAGTATTGGTTCCCGGACATGCGTTTCACCAGCCAGACCAAGCCCAGGCGTAACGTCTTCTTCGTGCCCGCCCTGAACGAGTCGATGAGGATCATGTTCCACTCCTGCAACGGCTTCAGCGTCGGCACCGATGAAGAGGCCTTCAGCGGCATGCCCTTGTGGAATGACGTCGCCAGGCGTCATGCCGACATTCCTTTCCACGTCATGTACGAATTGACCTTCCCCGCCGCATTCTCTCTTACCCCCAACCAAGAACCGAGAGGGCTTGCTTCGTCTCCCCGACCGTAAACTGTGTGGACGTCTCGAGAGGCTGACGTGAAGAACAAAACAATTCACCATGTAGGGTCGGCGGAGGAGACCAGATCTATAACGACGGCATCCGGGTGAACGGTCCCCTACGACCCTGGACCGAAATCTCGAACCCCAAGAAGAGGAGACACTACCCCTTCCCGGAAAGTCTCCGCCAAGCCTGCGATGACTATTATCTTAAGAACTACATAAAATGGTGCGATTGTGCTTTGTCTTGACACTGCGTCTGGTTGGATTGAAAACCCCGACCGAAACTGACTGGACCAGGTTCTCCACTGAACCATTTGCTGGTCTCAACGGTCAGATTCCTCAGGTGAACATCTGGGATGACCATGACGTACGTACATAAAACTCACAAGACAACGACGTGCAAATGCCAACTCTGACTTCCTCTCCCTAGATCATTGATGGCTTTGGCTCCTATGTCCACGACTTCATGATGTGCGATGTCTTCCGAGGTATTGGCGGGACGGCGCACAAGTATTACATGCTTTTCCAACATCACCTCCCTCCTCCTCCCTCGACTTATACCACCGGTACGTCAGGTTCAGTCCAGCGCAGTCCATCGAAGGTATATGTCTCCGTGATCGCTAAGACCAACTGAACGCCGCAGATCATGCTGGTGATGGCGAAGATCCCAACCAGTTGATGGACACATATGTTGCACCCGTCAAGACAGACTCATGTTATATAGTCGGGAGTCAACATGGCGTAAGTTTTTAGTCCTTTTTTCCTTTTTTCCCCCTACATGAAGCAGTGTTGGCTGACAGAAGAACAAAGCCTTATGTGGAAGAACATTCACAAAACATCTTCTGCAGACTCGGAGCAAGAATTGCCATGGTGGGCATTGATGCTCGAACCGAGGTAGGACTTGGGTGACCCGACCTTCGACGGAGACGCGGACTATTGATCCAGAGACTGATCGCCTTTCTATTTAGCGAACTCGCCACCAAGTAAACTATCCTGAGACATATGACATGATCTTTGATCGTCTGAGGAAAGAGCTTCAATCCGCAGTCGATGCCGGGCAACCCATCAAGCATCTGATCCTGCTTCTGGGCATCCCAATCGCCTATCCCGTGAGTGACGAATGCCTCTGTGGCTCTGGACCGACCGAGAAGAGCAGACATGGCTAACCTAACCTTGGGCCAACAGCGCTTGACGTGGCTGGAGAACATCTTCACCAGCCCCATCATGGGCCCCGTCAAACTCCTCAACCGGAGATTTGGCTTTGGTATGTCAAGTTTCCCACCCTCTACCCAGCCCACAATCGATCCCACTTGCTGATTACCATTCGAATTTCTAGCTGGCAGCCTGTTCAACCACTTCGACGGTAGTATCGACCTGCTGGATGATCTAGACGACCACTACACGGCCCGTATCCACAAGAAAGAGCGCAAGGCTCTCATCGAGAGACTTCAAGCCGTCGCGGCCGAGTTCTCCGTTCGCGTCAGCATTTTGGGCGGCGACGTGCATCTCGCCGCCCTGGGCCGTTTCTACTCGAACCCACACCTCAAGATTCCTGCCGAGGAAGACCATCGCTACATGGTCAACGTCATCTCCTCCGCCATCACCAACAAGCCGCCACCCGCGACGGTCGCGAATCTGCTAGCCCGGAGGAACAAGATCCACCACCTCGACTTGGACACGGACGAGACCTTGCTCTCGCTCTTCAACAAGGATCCCGGCAATTCGGACAAGACGGCGGGCTTCAACAAGGTCACGATGCCCAGCCGAAACTTTGCCATTCTGACGGAGAACTCGCCCAACAACCCACCATCGGGTAACGGCGAGGCCGCAGCCGCAGCCGCAGCGGCGGCGGACGGCAGCACCGCGCCGTCGTTTGCTGGTAGGGGCGGCCACAATTTCCTCCACGAGGGAGAAGTGGACGCCGGTACTACCCACAAGGCGGCCTCGGCGGCGCACGGACGGGGCAACGATGGTGGTCTGGACGTGTGCATCCAGGTCGAGATTGACCAGCACGACAAGGAGGGGAGGACGGATGGCTACGGCCTAACCGTGCCCCTTCTCCACTGCACCAAGCCCACGGGTCTGGTCGTCGAGCCGTTCCCTGAACAACAGGAACCTCACGAGGGGTCCTAAGTCGTGTGTTGGATTACTGGAATTACTGGGGGAAAAAAAACCCCTCTTTGTACTGATTATGCACCCTCGGACGGATTCCCATTGGCCAAAGTGTATGAAGCGATGTCGGATGGCCATGTTTCGTTAATAATGCCTTGGCTTTCACAAGGCGGTGGACGGGGAAAGAATCCGGGTGATGAAAAGGATGTGATCGACGCATCACAGGAGACGCTGCGAGTTGAGCAAGCTAGCGATCCTGTTCGCTTGGGGAAGAGCAATACCTACCTCGGGAAGGGAGGTTTTTTTTTTTTTTTTTTTTTTTTTTTTTTTTTTTTTTTTTTTTTTTTTTTTTTTTTTTTTTTTTTTTTTTTTTTTTTGATTCGTTCCTATGTATTTGATCCTTACCTTTTTCTTCTTTTATGCTTTGTGGAAGTGTACGGATACAGATACCTGTCTACCTACTTCTATGCGCAATGCTTGGTCCCGCCCGTGCCCGTGCTTCACTTTTGTTGGGGGGGGGGGAGCGATTTTTGGGCGAGGCTGGGCTGGGGAAGGGGATGTCAGTCAGCCGACTTCGGCACCCCAGTGACCAACGACACCACTAGCATGTCTTGGAGGGTCCAGGGTAGCATAACTTATAATAAGTCTGGCGTAATACAACTGGCTCCAATGCAAGCGATACGAGAAACGACATTGTGGAAGGTCTCCCTTGTTCTTATCTCACATTATCTACACCGAGCATCGTTCGTGGGGCACGTGAGTCGCCCGTGGAGGAAGCGCCAACATTATTGGTCCCCGCAGTGCCCGGCCCCAGTGCATGCCCCGCATTCCCCCTCTCACCGTGGAATTGAGCCGCAACAACCCGACCGACCTCGCAGGTCGTTATCAAGGGGGATCAGCGGTGATGACGGTGGCAAGCAGAAGTGTGCTACTCCGTTATTTAGAACCTACCGATACATCGTGCCACCTACCTGAGGTACTTACATGCCGACCTTCCCGTCTACCTTACCTTACTTTGTTTTTCTTACCGGTAGTTACCATACCTACTTAATACGACTGTACTACCACTACCACACTCCCTACTTCACCATCAACAACTTAATTGGGAGCTAGTCCTTCGTCTGTTGTCCGCTGTTGTACACGGAGCTCCCAGCTCACACGCCTTACCTGAGATACCCAATCCTCTGATCTGCTTACGGTATTGAACTTTATTATTCGTCTCCGTCTCTTTGCCCACCATGAAGTCATCTCGGGCAACCAGTTCCCTCCACTCCCAACTTCGGCCTTCTGCGCGAGTCGGGATTGCCAATCCAACCATTTCGAGTGCTGCTGCGCTACGAAACTCGACAAGACGACTCCGTGTTCCAGCATCTTCCACGACTACAAGGATGGCGACATTTGCCTCGTTCAAGATCCCTAAGATTGTCAATGAGCCAAATGTAAGTCGACGTCTTCGCTCCATTTCTCTTCTCTCTCTCTCTTTCTTTCAATACCAGAAGAGGGACGCAGGAGGAGCTTTGCTGATTCGCGGGTAGCATCATTATGCGAAAGGATCTGCACAGAGGGAAGATCTAACGGCCGCCGTCGAGACCTTCCAGAGCAGGATCCCGCTCGATGTACCGATTGTTATCGGCGGCAAGGAGGTAAGTGCTACTCCCGTCTCCCAACCGCCACCCTTCTAGGGCGACCGCTGTCTCCTTGACGGCATGGCACTGACACATCATACCCTATCAGGTCAAGACATCGTCCACCGGAAAGCAAGTCAACCCAGCCGATCATGCCTCGACTGTGGCAACTTATTCAAAGGCTTCCCCCGCCGACGTATCGAAAGCCATTGATGCCGCCCTCGCGGCCAAGGCCGAATGGGAGTCACTCCCGTTCGCCGACCGGGCAGCCGTCTTCCTCAAAGCGGCTGAACTAATCTCAACAAAATACCGCTACGAGATCATGGCAGCCACCATGGTGGGCCAGGGGAAGAACGCGTGGCAGGCCGAGATTGATTCGGCCGCCGAGCTGGTCGACTTTTTGCGATTCAACGTCCAGTATGCCGAAGAGCTTTACGCCCAGCAACCTGCACACAACGCCCAGGGCGTGTGGAATCGAGTCGAGTACCGCGCCCTCGAGGGCTTCGTATACGCCGTCAGCCCCTTCAACTTCACGGCTATCGCTGGGAACCTGCCCGGCGTTCCGGCGTTGTTGGGCAACGTGGTGGTGTGGAAGCCGAGCGACTACGCCATCGCTTCGAACTGGCTCCTATATAACATACTACTGGAGGCGGGCCTCCCTCGCAATGTCATCCAGTTCGTGCCAGGCGATCCGGAGGAGGTTACCAAGGTGGTGCTCAACCACAAGGAGTTTGCGGCGTTGCACTATACCGGCAGCACGGCCGTGTTCCGGAAGCTGTACGGAGCCATCGGTGCTGGTGTGGCTGAAGGTCGGTACCGGTCGTACCCGCGCATCGTGGGAGAGACGGGCGGGAAGAACTACCACCTGATCCACTCGTCGGCAGATGTGGACAACGCAGCTATACAGACCGTACGTGGCGCCTTCGAGTTCCAGGGCCAGAAGTGCAGCGCGACATCGCGGGCCTACGTGCCCAAGTCGGTATGGCCGCAGTTCAAGGAAAAGCTCGTCTCGGAGACCGAGAAGCTCCGGCAGGGTAACCCAGTCGACCACATCAACTTCATGGGTCCTGTAATCCACGAAGCATCGTTCAAGAAGCTTTCTGGTGTCATCGACGAGGCGAAGAAAGACCCGGAGCTGGAGCTCTTGGTAGGGGGTACATACGATAACTCCAAGGGTTACTTCATCCACCCCACCATCTACCAGACAAGCAACAAGAACCACAAGCTCTTGAGCACCGAGCTCTTTGGGCCGGTCGTGACGGTCTACGTGTACGACGACACGGTGGACCCCGTGGGGGCGTTCGCGGAGGCGTGCGAACTGGTGGATTCGACGGGGGAGTACGGGCTGACGGGGTCGGTATTCGCTTCGGACCGGGCGGCGATACGGTTCGCCGAGGACAAACTGCGGAACTCGGCGGGCAACTTCTACATCAACTGCAAGAGCACCGGGGCCGTGGTCGGGCAACAGCCGTTCGGCGGTGGCCGGGCGAGCGGGACCAACGACAAGGCGGGTAGTCAGAACTTGTTGTCCCGGTTCGTCAACCTGCGGAGCATAAAGGAGGAGTTCGTAGCAACGACCAAGGTGGAGTACCCGAGCAACGAGGCGTAGGCGTGAGGGAAATCCTTTTTTTTTCTCCGCAGGTTAACACAGTTATGTCTTTTTTTTTTCTCTCGTTCCGTCGGTCGGCGCGGACAGTGAACAGCGTTGATGCATGGGCGGATCATGTAAACCGTGCGATGACACAGAAAATCCGTGATTAATTAGTGGCTAGTACCGTACCAAGTGGCGCTGGAAAGCGAGAATTTCAATCATTTCCCATCAAACGAACCCACGTGCCGTATCCCCTCCATTCGAAATTCACCGTCTACCTTAGAGAACCCCTGGCTGGGCCACGATAGGTGGAGCGTGCCATATGCAAGAGATCCTATTGAACGATGAGTAAGCAACGCTGCTCGGAAGCCCGGGCCACTACGAGGCCCGTACCATAGCTTTAAGGTTGAGTCTGGTCCGGAAGGTGGATATTCACAGGATTATCGGGTATTAGTTTTGCCTCCTATAACTATACGTTTTTGATCACGTTTACGGCTTTAAGACAATTAATTTAGAACCCCTCAATCTGACCGTTTTTTATCGTATTTATCCTTTTACGGTTACGCTGTATTCGACATAGGGAACCTCATTCAATTCACACGACACTTCAACTTGCCCGACTACCCACAGATAGCGGATATAACTTGACACCTTGGACCGAGGGACTCTTAATTATCTCTGTTCTAATTCAAACTCGATAAGATATTGACCAGTACTCTGTATAGACAAAATTGTCTCGGTGAGGTTCGGTCCGCGGGCGTCGAAGAAACACGATACCAACAGAGCTGGTCTTGCTTTAACCGTGAAGGGAGGGAGGCAGGTTGTCCCGACAGAAAGCTTAGAACAGGCGAGCACGAGAGTACTGTAAGACTTCCGTCTTCGCAATGCATGCAAGCTTTCCGTCCGCTGCTCTGCTTGGATTATTACTCTGTGTTGGGCTTCTGGGTGCGAGATGCCAGACGCCAGATGCCAGATGCCATCCACGGACCCCATGTGCTTCGAGAACGGTCTCTGATTGGCTGATGATCAAATGCTTCGGTGAGAGCTTCCTGCCCTTTTCTTCAAGCATACGTTCCTGTTGAGCGATGCGATTGGCTATTCTCCACGGGACTCCACGGACTCATGGACAGCTCGTTGGGAGTCGCGTGCTCCCCTTCCTACTGTTCAAGCGCGACGGGGTCTCAGGCCGCCGTAACTCTGCCGTTGGTAGGGGGTACGGATATCTACTTGATCTGTCATCTTCCTGTGTCGGGCACCGGTTACTCTCCGTACTCCTTTCCGTACCCTATCCATCTACCTTATCCAAGTGGGGAGGGTGTCAATCCCCACTGAATCCTCCCTCCCGGGCGTGCGGCCGGCCCACGATTTGGCATTGGAGACGAATACATATCGCATGTGCTACATGGCGAGCGAGGAGACTGGACCTACCCACCTTCGTAGACCCTGACGATCGGGAATCGGAACCTAGGTGGTCTGTCTCCGTCCTTGGTCTCATCCTTTCTCTCTTTGTTCTCTCCTCTCCTTTCCTCTACCCTCGTCTTCCTTTCCTCTCTTGTTGTCGTATTTTCCCTCCGTGTACCATGCCCGGCTTATCATCATAATTTGCATGTCTATCTGAGATTCTTTTTGATCCTTCTGGTGTGACAGGCATCGTGATCGTACCGTCGTCTTACTCCGACGCTTTATATCCTAAGGCGTTTGACGGGGGATCAACTGGACAGCGCCTGTTGGGGTTCGTTTTGTCCGGGCAGCGTTTGTGCAGTCTTACTCCTCGGTTTCCATTCTTCAAGCCGTTATCGACATATATACACATTACACTTCGCAGGGGGAAGACAGCGAAGAACCCCCCCCTTCTTTTTATCGTTTCGGGAACACCAGCCACAGGCCTTGCTTTGGCACCCATCCATAACGATGCCTCGCCTTACCTTTCCCTCAACTCCTCCCTCCCTCGCTGATGGGACGGCCACGGAAAACTATCAGGACATCTCCCCACAGCCAGCCTTTGAGCTCCCGCCTCCTGCTCTCTGTCAGGATCCCGCCACACTATCTCTCACGAAGACCAGGGCGTCTCCGACAGATGCTCAAGCTATATCTCCGGCGGAGTCTGTATATCCCATGCAGGCAGCCGAAAATGTCAAGTCGCGCCGCCGGGCTGCCTCTTCTGCCGCTCAGAAATCCTCCAGCAACCAGGCCTTTGCCCTGCCACCGCCCCCGACACGATCTCGCAAAATTATCCAAATGAAGCCCCCACGCTCTTCGCAGGACGAGTCAGCCAAAGGGCCTTCGTCCGCTTCCAAGGCGTCTACTTCGATAGCTCCCAAGGCCACAACATCTACCAATTCCAATGCCAACAGCACCAACGCAGGTGTGTCCAAGAAGAAGCAGCCCTCCGCTACAAGCGCGGCTGGGAGGAAGATTGCTCGGAAGACGGCCCATAGCCTCATCGAACGACGTCGGCGATCTAAAATGAATGAGGAGTTTGGCGTTCTGACGGGCATGATTCCGGCTTGCACCGGCGAGATGCATAAGCTGGCTATCCTTCAGGTAAGCGCTCCACGTGTCTGCTTCTTTACACGGAATGCCTCAGCTTTCGTGTATTTGCACTTTGACTGATTTATATGTTCGTCTGAAACAGGCTTCGATTGAGTATATCAGGTATCTCGAGGACTGTATCGCCCAACTGAAGGAACAGAGAGACATATCTCCCCCTCAACCCCCTACTCAACCATGCTCTCACCCTCCGTCCCGTCGGCAATCATGGCAGCAGCCCCAATTCGCGCCACATTATCAGGGGGAGCCCTCGGGGGATGTCGACAGGAGCGGCTCTGGGCCTCGCTCCCCTCCTTTCAGCGCCCAAGAACCACAATATCAACACCCTTCCATATCGCCAGCACTATCACCCGAGGACGCCAGGCAACGTCACAACTCGGACGCATCGGCCTCGACAGACCAGCGCCGCTTTAGCTACAGCAACTCGGCCACGACTTCACCTGCCTTTGGGCCCCAGTCATACCGCTACGGTGGCCCTCTGTCGTTCACTGCTCCGACAAGTCCGGCTCTGACTCCGCAACGCGAGCAGAGCGACCTAGATCAGGAGGCCACGGCTGCCCTGCTGATGCTCAACAGCGACAGGAGGGGTACGTATGGAGGTAGCAATGGCCCCAGTCGTGGCATGTCCGTACGCGATCTCCTTAGCACGTGATGGCATGCTTTGTCGTGACACTTGGGTCGTGTTTGTCCGCTGGGATTGCAAGGCTTATATTCCTAGTCTCGTTGGGTCTTTGCTGTGGGGGTTTCTCTTTCATTTTCTTCTTTCTTTCTTTCCTTCTTGCTTTCTTTCTTTCCTTCCTTTTTTTTTCTTTTTCCCCCCTTCTCGATCTACAAGGCTTCCACTTCAACGTTCCGAACGGCGCACTTTGCTTACAGAAAAGGGAAGGCTGGTGTTAATGAATGTTTTTATTTATTCGTATTCTGTTATGGTCATCATGGTCAAGAAAAAGAAAAGCGAGTGGTTACCTTATCGTAAAAAGTCCGGCCGTACCCCCTGACATTAGGGTAAGGTACCTTATAGAGAGGGTTTAGACTGCTCAACGTACGGCGTTGCATTGGCCTTCTTTCTCATCTCACCCGTTCACGGGGTTAGCCACCCAGACATCGATGTCTTGTATCCTTGTATCTACTTCAGTTGAGATGGGAGGGAATGCCGTGGATATGCTCAGTTTCGTTGGATACGACCGTTGCGCATGGTTCGATGACGGTTATTCAACGTCAGACGCTGTTGCGGTGCGAGGTCCCAGGCTCAATCTGCTAAGGTGGGATATTGTTTGCTCCTGCGTCAGGGACCAGGTTATAACATGCCTTCCGTCACCCCAGATCAGCCCAAGAGGGACCGTTCTGGCTTGATACATAGTGACCAACCGAAAAAGGGTTGCAATTCCGTTTCATCAGTTGGCCGAATCGTACGAGGCGAGGCCTTGTTCGCCCAGAGTTGGTTGACGCGGATAAAAGACGAAATGTCTTCGTGTCAAAGCTCGAACCGGGGTCGAAAGCACGTAACCTCGTCCATCTTCACTTGAGGTGAGAGCAGTTCTCACCGAAACAACTGATGAGACGTCTCCATTTGTGTGGTGGTCAGTGTCGGGGTAGACTGGCCTTGGAAGAGTATATAATAATGCCGTCCTCGACGTTTAGCATCTTTCTTGTTTCTTGTTCTTCAGGCAGACAGGCGCTCCTTTCCACCTCCGGTTCTCATCATCCCCTTTTCCCAAGTCAGGCTCCGGCAGTCTGGCCTTGTTTTGCTCCCCCATTTGGTTCTTCTGGGTCTACGTAATTAGCTAGACTTCCCGCCCCGCCAGCTGTGCCGGCCTGGATAAGTCACTCTTTGCCTCTTTTTGCTTTTGCCTCCCCAGCTTTCCCAGCAGCCGGTCTCGCGAAACCGACGACGACGACGGAGACTATCTCGGTTATCTCCCCGAGTATACTGGCCCGCCGCTTTGTGAGAAGACATTTGAAGTTCAGGCCGTCTCCGGAACAGGAAAAAGGGGAAGGGAAGGGAAGAACTGAGGAAGTGGTTGAGTCTTGGCGAACTCGGTAAACTCGGTGAACAAGATGAACTTGGTACGAAATGTCTATCCAGGTACGTACCCTAGCCAACATGAATCGGATCCCGCTGACATGAGACACGAACCAGAAAACATCAGTGCACCTTGTCAGCTGATACCAGACGGCACTGAGTGAAAATGGAAAATTTGCCCCTTCCCTCCCCACAAAGTTTCACCCCACCAAATCTGAAGTGCGAAAATCGTTGACCGGAGGGGCCGCCATATCACCACGACTCCGTCCATCGAAACCACAACAACTTCGCCATCCGAACCGACGACATCCGCAATAGAATATACGCGGACAGAGTCAATATGGCGCAAACCAACAACTGGGTAGATATCGTGGAGAGCTGCCCGCCGGGCGACGGCTGGGGCCCTCCAGTCACTACCGACACCACATTGAATGGAGTTCCCTATGCTCCCTTTTCCAAGGGCGACAAGCTTGGGCGCATGGCCGACTGGACGACTGATGGCAAGACGGATGGTCGTGGAGGAAGACAGCAGTATAACCGGAATTACAGGGGTAAGTGATTTCGCCGAAATCAACCACAAGGCATTCGTATATCTCTTGAGATGCGCCCATTTCTTTTACTGACGTATGTTTTTTTCTGGTGTTTTGCAGATCAACAAGTTTACGGCTCAAACTCTGCCGTCACATTCAATGCCCCCCCTGCCGAGGACGAATCTTCCTTCTCCGTAGTCAGCAACACTCGAGACACTGCCAAGACAAGGTACGGCCGAGGCGCCATCTTCACCCGCGGCCGCGGTCAGCGTGGTGGCCGTGGCGACGCCCGGACAGCTCGCAGCTCCGCGCTTAACCGGACGGGTCCGCCAGTGGGACGTGGTGGCGGCTACAACGCGGAACGCGGCCGGGGTGGTGGTCATCGCGGCCGCCGCTTTGGCTGGAAGGACTACGACAAGCCCCAGCGTAACCGCGACGCCAGCATCAACATCAAGCCCGACTGGACTCTTCTGGAGGAGATGGATTTCAACCGTCTTGTCAAGCTGAATTTGGAGACGGACGACGGCGAGGACGTGGACAGCTACGGCTTCGTCTACCAGTACGACCGCTCCTACGACAAGCCGCCCGTCAAGGGCGCCGAGAAGAAGCTCACCCCGATCGACCGCGCTGCCTACAACGTCACCACTTCGTCCGATCCCATCATTCAGGAACTCGCGGAGAAGGATGAGGCCGTTATCTTCGCCACCGACAGCATTCTGTCCGTGCTCATGTGCGCCCCCCGCTCGGTATACTCCTGGGACGTGGTCATCGTGCGCCAGGGCAACAAGATCTTCCTGGACAAGCGGGACAACGCTGCGCTAGATATGGTGACGGTCAACGAGAACGCCGCCGACGCGCCCCTCGAGGCCGAAGGTGGCAAGGAGGGGATCAACAACCCGCCCGCCCTGGCCGAGGAGGCGACCTACATCAACCACAACTTCGTCAACCAGGTCGTCATCGAGAACGACAGCCGCCGGGTCGACATGCCCCACGCCAACCCCTTCTACAACGCCTCTGAGGATACGGATCCGCCCGCCTCCAAGGCGTACAAGTACCGCCGCTTCGACCTGTCGACCGCCGACGAGGAGGAGAACCCCGTCCACCTCATCGTCCGGACCGAAGTGGACGCCGTTCAGAAGAACGCCATCTCGAGCGAGGACCAGTTCCTGACGATCAAGGCCCTCAACGAGTTCGACTCCAAGGCCCAGGGTAGTGGTGGTGCTCTCGACTGGCGGACCAAGCTCGTGAGCCAGCGTGGTGCTGTCGTCGCCACCGAGATGAAGAACAACAGCTGCAAGCTGGCTCGCTGGACCGTGCAGAGCATCCTGTCCAAGTCGGATGTTCTCAAGTTGGGGTATGTATACAATTCTTTGCGGTTTTGTTCTTCTCTATATCTCTGTCGCTCCGCTATCTTTATCCTCGCCTGTTGTATTTCTAGGCAACCGTCTAGCTAACCTCGTCTTTTCTAGCTTCGTGTCCCGTGCCAACCCACGCTCTAACGATAAGCACGTTATTCTCGGTGTTATTGGCTGGAAGCCTCGTGACTTCGCTGCCCAGATGAACCTTTCTCTTAACAACGGCTGGGGTATTGTCCGCACCATTGCTGACATGATTCTTGCCCGTGAGGACGGCAAGTACATCCTCGTCAAGGACCCTAACAAGCCTGTACTCCGCCTTTACCAGGTTCCTGCCGGTAGCCTGGACGGTGATGAGGACGACCATGAGGAAGAGGATGTGGCGGAGGAGAGTGCTGATGAGTAAAACGAAGGCGCCTGGCGAGATAATAGCTGTGGAGGACCAGATTGTTGCCCACTACACCAGCAAAAGTGGGAGAATCGATGGGGGAAAAGTTTCCGTGATTAGCTAGGTAACTGGCTGGCGGGCAGCAATACCAGCGCTCGTCTGACTGGTAATATCTCTGGGGTTTTCGGCTCACATCATGTATGAACGACCAAATCAACTCTTTGAGGAGCTACTCTTTTTCTTTTGTATCTTGCGCATAGAGGGTGCACTTCAGGCAGACGATGGTCTTAACAGATTTACGAGGTTTTCCTTCCAGGTTTCATGACAAGCAGGGCTTTTTTTATGGTTGATGAATGCACGAACTGTAATGGAAGTGCCAGTGGAGAGTCCATTGAACATTTCGAAGCATCTAGCAGAAACCAAGAAGAGAGCACCATATGTAATAGGGTGGTAGAAGAATGGGCTAAGATTTTTTAGCCGGTACATCATCTCTTTTCTTTTGTTCTCCCCTGAGAATAAAATAAACCCATCAACGCCGTATCATGACATGCTAATCTATCCTCCCAGCCCGAGAGCAAGCCAAATTCGACGAAACACTCGCCATCAGAGCGGCAGTCGGCAGTCCAGGACATTGCAGCCTGTCCAGTAGACCCTCTCCAAAATAAGCAAGAAAATCCCAGGTCGTGATATCATTTGCATGGTGGCCCTCTTCCCCCCTCCCGCCAGGGACCAGGGAAGATCAACTCCTAGACCTCAAAACCGCTCTTTCATCCTGGCAGCTACAGTGCGAAGGTTACCATACACCTTCGCTGGCGGCTTGCCAAGAATGAGGGAGACGATGGACTGGCGTGCCATGTTGATGTTCTGGTAGGCGCCGAGAATGCTGATCTTGTTGTCGGCGAGCAGGATACGGGTACGCGTGGCGTTCTCGATGGCGAACTTGACCTGGCCGTTGCGGCCGGCAATACGGGCGATGGCACGGCTCTGAGCATCGGTACCCATGACTTGCCTTACGTCCTTGATCTCGAAGCTCTCAACTAGAAAGGGGGCGGAAAAAGTTAACTCGATGCCCTACGACGAAGGGGAAAAAGAAAAAAAAGAGAGAAAAAAAAAGACGGTAAAATCGTACTGTAAAGGTCATCGAGGCGAAGCAGGGCGATGGCGTCGTCGACGTCGAAACCGAGAGCGAATGCGCGGACAAAATCCTCGCCTTTCTGGAGCGCGCCATCGTCGGCGGTATGTTTGGAGGTACGCATCTCAACCGTCTTCCGGCGCGGGTTCATGCGGACCTGGAGCTTGAGAGATTCGACGAGGGGAGGGTAAATCTTGGGCCAGTTGTTCTTGAGGCGAGTCAGACAGTTGGGCGGGATGGGGACTTTGCGGACCTCTGTCCGTTTTGCCGGATCCTGGGAGGAGGGGGAAAGCAAGAAGGTTAGCGGTTAGCAGAGCTGTCCTGCCTGGGGGCTGAGGGAGGTTTTTTTTGGGGTTTGGGGTTTGGTCTCACGATGTCTCTGCCCGGCGCAAACCTAGGTCGGCCTTCCTCGTCGATAGCCATGCCATCACCATCCTCTTCGCCTTCTCGTGACCTTGGAATCTTCTGAAGAATGAGCTCCGAATCTACATCTGCGGGCAAGTCGGGGGCATCGAGGAGAAGTTCCTCGTCCTGTTGGGGCTCGTCGAGCGGAAGGTTGGATGGCGGGGCATCGTCTGCCGTTTTGAGGGCGGTCGGGGCGGGCATTGTGATGGGCGATGCGATTCCAGTAAGGTCGGTGAACAGAAAAGAAAGCGTGCTGAAACGGCCTCCGAAAAATAGCCACAGTGTTGTTCACTGGATTCAGCTGCGATCTGGTCTGCCGTTATTCGTGTTTGTGACTTGGGACTACCTCCTCAAGCCAAATGCCCACCATTCGCTCCCATCTTGGTCGATATTCGGAATCGAGGTCCAAAATTTTGTGTCTGTTATCGATAAGCGCACGGACGCTTTGCTGGACCCATTTTTCAAGTAAAAACCTAGTCAAGGTACCTAGGTGTACAAGCTTAGATAAGTAGGTACTTATCCATGTGGAGTACTTCGTACTAATCCGCTCACCAGGCAGGTATCCGTACTTTTCAATTTTGTCACGAGAGCGTACATTGTACAGCGCGTCATGACGCCGGGTTCGTCCGTCTTCCTCTATTACTCTGTAAGGTACTCCATCCTTTCGTACTATCATCACCTCTTTACTCCTCCCATACTCGCGCACGTCTGTCTCTAACAGAAGTATGACCTCGTCTTCACCCTAGCCGTGTCACCTACCCATATAGGGACGCTTTTTGCTGGTCATATATTTGTTCCTTCTTCCGTCTGTTTCCTGGCGGAGGAGCAGGATGAGCTGGAGACATGCCGACTAAGCTCTCGACGATTTTCCTTGGGCGTCGCTTCCTCATCTCCGCCCTGGAATCTGCCACGCCCTTAGCAGCTCCGGCTTTCCTTACATCCACGAGAATAGCTTTGTCTGCCGCTCCCATACACAGCCTCACAGCAGACTCGTCGCCCAAGTTTGCTTGTCGCCGATCAGTACATACACAGCGGCCGATTCCGCGGTCATCAGCTCCCCATGGGCCCAACGCCTTGAAAAGCCTAACCAGCGGTGGTTTGCTTCTCATCGGCTTCACCACCAATGTCTCCTCTTCCACCCCTTCTGCGGTAGCGGCAAAATGCACCGGCGCTCCCGAATCCGCGACAGGCGAGAACTCGGCAGTAGGTTCCAAGATTCGCCAACTCGCGCAACAGGCATGGAGGAGGGGTCTGCATACAGATGCGAGCGCTTGGAAGAGCGACAAAAGCTCAATAGGAGAGAGGCGATACAGCTCAAAGAGCGGAAACGAGCCGAACAAGGCCTCAGTATCTCAACTCAATCACGACGACCAACCCCAAAATAGACGAGAACCCAAGCCTGGGGAGCCAGTTAGTCGGCCAGGCCATAAACCCGAGAGTCATGACCACGATCCGGAATCTCTCACCTCAACCATGTCGAAATATCTACACATGCCCATGATGCCACACAGACCAACGAGGGAAGAGCTGCTCGCGGCAGCCAACGGGTTTTGGGAAAGAATGAGGGTGCGATTCAAGTGGGCATCTATCAGGAGCATGCGGCCGTGGAATATCGATGAATGGGGTGCCTTCGTGTCCTGGTTTCTTTTCGGCCACATTGTTTGGATTCTCGTGGGCACTACCACTTTCTTCTCCATCCTGATCTTGTCCATCAATACTGTTTTCGCCCAGGGTAAGCCAGTCAACCCTCAGCTTGCCTCTTTTCTAGGCATCTCTCGCTAACCGCATTCTCCTTCACAGAAACCGTCGCCAAGTGGGTCGGAGACTACCTAACACAGTCTGCCGGCGTTACCATCGTCTTCGAATCTGCCATTGTGCCTAAGTGGAAGGATGGCGTCATCTCCTTCAGGAACGTCTTCATTTCTAGGCGACCTGGCCAAACCACTTCATCCGTCAGCAAGGGTTCCTCCACAAGTGCGGCGGCTGTTGCAGCCGCAGGACGGCCTCATGACCATGACGACGACGACGACGACGAAAAGCAGACACAGACACAGCCAACCGAAGAAGACGAGGGCAACTATACCCAATTCGATGTCACAATAGCGAACGTGAATGTCACCCTGTCGTTCCTCAAGTGGTGGAACGGTAAGGGGCTTCTCAAAGACGTCGAGGTCAAGGGTGTCCGGGGCGTCATAGACCGTACATCGGTACAGTGGTCAGGAGAGGCCGTCGACCCCTTATCCTACCGTCATGAGCATCAGCCTGGCGATTTCGAAATTGATTTTTTCCGGCTCGAGGATCTGCTCGTCACCATTCATCAACCGAACGATTTCCGCCCCTTCTCCGTTAGCATATTCTCCGCCGAACTTCCGCAGCTCCGTAAGCAGTGGCTCTTCTACGACTTCCTATCTGCGACCCACATGTCAGGCTCCTTTGACGGCTCGCTGTTCACCATTCACCCGCGCCAAGTCCACGGCGCTGTGGCTGGTGATAACCGAGATCTAATGGAGAATGTAGGGGAGTCTTCCGCATGGAAGAAATTTAGCCGTCTACGGATTGATGGGCTGAAAATTGACCACCTGAACCGAGGAGTGTCTGGCCCGTTCGGGTGGATTTACGAGGGCAATGTTGATATTGTCGCCGATGTTATGTTCCCGGCCGACGCCGATGAGAGCATCACGAAGGTCATGTCTGACTTCTATGACCAACTTGAAGATATCGTCGTTTCCAATCGCCTCCGCCTACTCCAGAAAGACATCGCTGCTGATCCACTGACGGCCCTGGCTCCCGAGGCGGGCCACATTACCGAAGCTTCGGCTCAAAACTCTTTAGGGCCGCCTGAACCCCAGGACTTGGGAATGCCTTTCAGCTCGTCCTCTGCTTCGTTCGAAGATGCCCCCACCAAGACTGAAGAAGAAGACGACCGCCGTTACCTCATCATGGACCTTCGCATCCACCTCAACGATGTCAAGGCCGCTGTGCCTCTGTTCACCAACGACATCTCGTACGTTAACCAGGCGCTTGTCCGGCCCATTGTCGCTTACATCAACGCCAAGCGGACTTACATTCCCATGACTTGCCGCATAGTCAAGCGCGCCTCCGACTTTGACGGCTCCTGGACCGTCTTCGACTGCGGTCTCATGGACGACCTGTCGGCCGAAACATATGAGGCCTTTGCCCGCGATGTCGAGAACCAGCAGAACCGCGTTCGCCGGCTCAAAAAGGTTGGCTTCTGGACTCTCAGTCTGGCCGTCCATGCACTCTTCATGGGCATGGCTGGGACAGTCGTCTAAGGCTTGTCCTCCTTGTACCAACTCAACACCCCTCTCCCCCCTCTCTTGGGTTATCATGTTATAGAAGATAGAACGGGCGCTTCAAAGGCTCAGTATGATGTGTTCGCAGTTTTTACATTCGCCGAGCCATAGTGCCACCGGCCCCCTTCCATACGCGGGAAATGAAGGCAAATGATAGGTGAAATGGGCGTTTGCGGGTACTCTGTTGTATTTTATAGTCGGATAGACAAGCGGGTGGTATTGCAGGAAGCAAGACGGCCGCATTCCCTACTGTATCTGTATCTTTGTGGTACACTTATTGATAGATGGCCATGGCCATTGTCGTGTCTCTAACTGGAAAGTTGGAAGAAAGGAGTGTGCTGTAAATCTATACCCCATTCATCATTCTTTCTCATGTCCAACACTCACAAAACGACGCAAACTGTTGCCTGCGATGAAGCCAGTAGATAGTTTCACTGCTGTGTAACGGTAAGAACGTGTAACGATCTGCAATCAATATATTCTCATCATGCTTGTTTTGAGTGAAAAAGCAACCTATTTGCTGCGTCACGGGAAATGCCTTCAAATCATGACCCCTCGCCGTGAGACGGTTCGTATACCCTTTCGTTACCTGTGTCCTTCATGTCCTCCGCATTGTCCCAGTCATGCCATGCCATTCTACCCACCCAACTCGTTACATTCTAAATGGACCGGGAAGAGCGCAGTCTATCTATGCCCAATACATCCGTCTCTCATCAACGTAGGTTGCTCCGCTGCACTCGCTTATGCTTCTGTCATCAACAGCGATTCCACACTCGGCCAACCCTTCTTGACCCCAGCTGTTTGTTGCCCTCCGCTAGATCACGCGACAGCCGACTAGCCCTCTAGTAGTCCAGGCCCCTCGACAGCTACCCTCCTTAGCCCTGTCGCTTGGCGATAGCGGTGCGAAGACGTCGTAGTGGCCACGGCCCCCGTACGTTGAGGATCAGTTTGAGAGAAAGCAGGGCCCCTGGCGTTGCAAGTCATGGCACGGTAAGAGGCCGGCTCTGTGCAGCCATTTCGCGGCACCGGGACTGGACGTATAGAGGTGTCTGGGGTGGGATAGTCGTGGGTTGAGAGCGAAACATAGAAACCAATCGCTTCTTCACATGAAATCGTCACTGTTTCCCGAAATTAGCATTGTTCGTCGAGTCCCAAGGTCTGCCTGGGGCTTTGGACTCACTCTCCGAAGGCATCCTCGTCATAAGCCTGAGTGTCTGCAACGTCGGGGCGGGAGGCGACCAGCGTAGCCTTGGTCTTGGAAGCCTTGGATTTCTTGCCGCCGCCTTGGGCAGCCTTCTCTTCCTTGAGCTTCTCGTTGCTGAGAGTGGTCAATGTAGAGGCGACCTTCTTGATCTGGTCGCTGGGAAGATCCTTGGCGAGCTGCTTGGCAAATTCCTGTAGGAAGAGAGCGTAGTGTGCTTTCTTGACTTGAGCACCGATGATAGGAACCAAGGTGTTGCGAAGCAGTTCAAAATCGGCCTTCCTAGTGGGGTTGAAGAGAGGCAGGTCGGCAATGTTGACAGTGACCGAAGGGTCGCCAGCGACGGGAATTGCGGTGCCAGCGGTGGTAGCCTTGCGCCCACTAGGAACAGAACCAACGCCACCAAAAAGTTCCTCGGCATGGGCAAGGTCTGCCTCCTTCTCGGTGCGACGGAGCCGTTCACGCTTCTGAGCCTCGGTCTCGTTTTCGTCGCCCTCCTCTTCCTCAGCGGCGCGTGCAACACGGGTTGCCTGGTGTTCGGCAATACGTTGAGCCTTGGACTTCTTGTTCGCCTTGGCCTCAGCCTCAGCCTTAGCCTTGGCTTCGGCAGCCTTCTTAGCCTTTTCGCGTTCTACCTCGGAGTCTTCGGCGGCATCCCAGGAGTCGAGAACCTGTGAAATAAATAAAATATTAGCAATGGACGCGGCGGACAGGGAAGTGGGGGTGGAAGGGTAAAATGATGGCGAGGCCACGGGATAGCATACGTCACTGTCTTCTCCTTCCTCATCGTCAAACTTCCGGCGAACAGCAACAACAGGGGGGGAGTTCGGTGCGCTGCTACTGTCACTCTCCTCTTCATCTGCAGAACAAAAGGCGGTCAGCCAAATCCAGTAAGGGTAGCAGGGGCCGCACATGGAAACGACCCGACGGCGTGGTGTCAAGGCGATTCCTCTCAGAGCCGTCTCCACCAAAGTGGATGGCCATGAGCGATGACAGCTTGCGGCGCATGTGCAAATGGTGCAAAAAAAAGTCTGCGCACGGGAAGAATCAACAACTTACCCCAGTTTGCTCTGCCAGGCGACATGATGTCTAAAGGCAATTTTTGATATGTGGGAGAGTCTGTGTAGGATTGTGTGGTGTTCACGCGGGAAAAAAAAAAAGGGTTGTCCGATGAGTAGTTGAGTCGTAGGGGTGGATAAGAGGGCAGTTGACTGTGGCGGGATTTTGTTTTGTGGAAGAATTATTAGTTGGGTTGGGTTGGAGAAGAGGGTTTAAGGCTTTGTTCCGCAAGGCGAGTTAAGGGAAGGGCCAAGGGAGGGGTGGAATGGCTTTGGTGACTCCGTGGCTGAGAATTTCGTAGCGCAGGGGAAACGAAAGGAGGGGAACCCGCGAATCGATAAGGGAACGGAATTATAACTAAGGTAAGCCGTAAGTAGTGTACCGGAAAGACACCAAGACAGGTGTATTTGTACCTGTCGTACTCGGTAATTCCAAGCAGGGAGTTAGTCGTCCGTGGTTGCTCGCTCAAACTAAGGTACCTTACCTTACATCCTGCACCAACACATTATCATCCGGTATAAGCCGTATACTCAATCCATCATTGCCTCTTAATCTCTATGCATCCAGGTCAGGTTTTATATATTTTGAAGTCCTATGATTGGCTGTGCATGTATACTGTAGAAGGCGAGAGAACCAGTCAATCGGTGTAGGCTACCTTATTTGTTATAGGGCCATATGCAAGTACAACAACACACGAAGTACATGAGATGCCAATACAGATACCTTCGGTACGTACCTAAGGTATCGAAGGTACATCGCGACTTGTTGCAGCCCAACGATCATTGCACGTGTTGCATGACTTCTCTAGCCGCTGCCCAATGACAACTGGGTATGCACTTCCAACACTGAATCCAGATATTATGGAGATTGAATAGTATATCGATTGTATTGTCTTCCATCAGCATGGTTTCTATCTGACCCCCAAAATACGCTGTGTGCAACAGCACCATCCAAGTTTCGTTTGTTTGGAGGACGCGGGTTGATTACATAAGGCACTTCTTAGTACGTTGTATGACCTCGACCTCACCTCACGAGGGTGGAGGGGCAATCGGGATTTTTTGACCTTCTGGAACTAGGTACTACGTCACTGGTGCATACATCACCCGTTTTGAACCGGTACGAGAGACCAATACGGACAAGCCAATCATAACTGGCCTGGAAGTCGCTTCACGTGTTCGACACAACGTATAAACGGTTACGGATACCGAGTTGTCCTTAAGGTACTACTCCGTATGAGAGCTGAAGGGGACTCCAGAAAGGCAGTACACTAAGGTACCTAGTGTACACTCAATTCTGGACAGATATGAAGTACCATACTCAATACGAGTATCTGTACGAAGAACCTCCTGTCCGGAACTGTCCGGAACGAGCAGTCCCGATAGATCCCGACCAGGCTGAGTCACGTCACGACCGACGTCCATCTTCATCCAACAGCGTGCGGCGAAGATAATATGCTCGGCGACTTGGATCTTTCTGTCTCGGGGGAATGATGATGGTGCTAGTTAACCTCAGGCTGGCAGAATCCAGGAACCCGAGCCCGGGCTCATCCGGTGACTGCTCGTTCCCTTCCTAGTCTCTCCTATTCCCAGGAGGATCTTGTTTACATTCTGCTCGGCGACAAATGGGGACCCGTGATGGCCTGTCTAAGTTGCGTGGTATATAAAGGAGCATGTTGCCGTAGCCTCAGGATTATTTGCCTCTTGATCTAGGTCCGACTCCAGTTATCCGACCATATTTTGTGACATACCTGTATACGAAGTTGCGAGACACCCAATATCGATACATTTTCTGTCCCTTCATGACCGCCTAGACGGACAATTACCATTTCGACCATGTTGTCATCAAGAATATCTGCCAGACGCTGGACCTCAAACCATGTCTCGCTGGCTCGAACCGCGGCCCTCGCTCGCCCCAACACCCTGATCACGGGGTGGCCCGCTGTTCTTCCAGCAGCCTGCCAATACCCGTCCCCTCCTAGCCCTCGAGCCTTTTCAACCACACCGATCATCCATCCCCGGCAGTTCCTGCGGCCAAGTCAGAATGAATATATGCAGCGGACCCGCCTATACCGATCCCCCCCGAGCTGGCGATCCTTCTCGACCACCCCGGCCGTCCATCTCCGGGACTTCTTCCCGCCGATGGAGACGGAGCAAATCCGGCGGACCGCCCCGGCATGGCCGCACAAGGGCTTTTCCATGGACGAAATGCTCGCCGTTCAACCGGGCCACCGTGAGCCCAGGACCTGGGGCGATTGGGTCGCGTGGAAACTAGTCCGCCTCGCCAGATATTGCATGGACCTGGCAACGGGGCTCAAGGATGGGCAGCAGGTTGATCCGAAGAACCCCACGACCGCAGTTGTGGCGAGTAAGCCCCTGACAGAAGCGCAGTGGGTTCGTCTTGCTCCATCTTCCTCGTCGACAAGATTGAAAACCGTTTGTCTTTGTACTGACAACGTTTGATACATAGCTTGTGCGCTTTGTATTCCTCGAGAGCATTGCAGGAGGTGAGTCTCTTGCAGTCGGGTCAAGAACTCCAATACTCCTTTCCCTCTTCGACTGCCCAGCGGGCCGTAATCTCGTCCTTCAGACATTGGCTGACATTTCCCGCACACAGTTCCCGGTATGGTAGCCGGTATGCTCCGTCATCTCAACAGCCTCCGCCGACTGAAACGTGATAACGGCTGGATTGAAACGCTCCTCGAAGAGAGCTTTAACGAACGCATGCATCTCCTGACTTTCATGAAGATGAGCGAGCCTGGTTGGGTATGTGTACAACGGATTGGTTGCAATGAAGGACTGATCTGACAGCCAAACAGTTCATGAAGATCATGCTCATCGGCGCCCAAGGCGTCTTCTTCAACAGCATGTTCCTCGCTTACCTGATCTCCCCGAAAATATGCCATCGCTTCGTTGGCTACCTCGAGGAAGAGGCGGTCCACACTTACACGCGCTGCATCCACGAGATCGAAGCCGGTTTGCTTCCGAAATGGTCGGACCCTGAATTCCGAATTCCAGACCTGGCAGTGCAATACTGGAATATCCCTGAAAACAAGAGGACGATGAAGGATTTGGTACTATACATCCGGGCTGATGGTAAATGATTTCCTCCCTTTCGTTTCGCTCAAGTTCATACAGAATTTCTTGCTGACATTTGTGCGACTGGTCACAGAGGCTGTCCATCGGGGAGTCAATCATACCCTGGGGAATCTCGACCAGGCCGAGGATCCGAACCCGTTCGTGAGTGAGTACAAGGGCGACCAACAGCCGAAGGCTGCCTTGAAGCCTTCTGGTTACGAACGAGCCGATGTGATCTAAAAAAAGGAACTCGTTAAAGTCGGACAACGAGTAAGAGGGCCATGGTAATTTTTTTCTGTTCCTTTTAAAGAAAAATAACGAAGAAGACGGGGAGGGTGGGGTGGCAATTCGACGGCGTTTAGAAGACATCGAAGGATGATACCACAATAATCGAGCAGTTCTTAGGCGTTCGCCGGTTGGATTTCGGGCCATAAAGGAGTATCTCCACTCATTGTACTGAATAAGATATGTAGTCTGCTCGACAATGAGACGCACGGTGCGCACGAAAATGCTAACCCCGGGGGGGAAGTTGCACCAGATGAGACGATACTTCCCGAACCCTAAGATTATGATTCCTTAGTGGAGTCGAAGGCCAGTCAGAACTTCTCCGGCGATCTCCATCACGAGTCAAACAAATGCTGGACCAACGCTGCCGGGCGACACAAGTAATACCTACCTATAATCAGCAGAAATCGCATTCGAACTGGAACCGAACCTATTCGTGAAAAATCGCGCGAAGGGAATATAGCCGCGTCACGTTAGCGGATCCCGATTCTTCTCAGCACCATTGCCGGCAGGAGGGCCGGTCCCCGGACGGGACAGGATAGATCGAGTACTCCGTGCCTGGTCGAAACTACGATGTGTCAGACAGCTGAACAGCCGCTCAAAGGATGGTTGAAGGTTTGGCGATGTCGTCGGCCCGTCTGCCACTAAAGGTCAAGAGGGGACTTCTTGTGATGTGATGTGACGTGACGAGCTAATAATTAGACGGCGAAGTGAAACTTCGTAGTAAATCTACGACGAGAGTCTGCGTCAACTCTGTGGGGCGGCTGGTGGGGTGATTCTATAAATAGTAGTCAAGAAGGAGGACGAGGGCATTGACCAACTCGAGGGCAGGGGTCCTGCGAATCAATTCTTGGCTCCTGTTCCGAATACAAAGATGTTGGTCGATCGATCATGACATGCTGCCGTTTACCAACTTGTTGGTAGCCGAGTAGAGGCGACTACGACTTGATGAAGCTTCACTAGAAGTGGTGAGCAAAACTGTGTCAGAGAGAAGCGACAACTGCGGCAAGAAGGGCATACTGTACGTTGTAAATATCCAACTCCGTAGCAATACCTAAGGTAAGGAATTAAGGATACCTCATAATCCGTAGTTCCCGACGCCCTTTGGCGCAACTGAATACCTTATGTACGGATACTAAAGGTATCAGGTGTTTATACTGCTCACCAACGATCTACATCCAGGTTTGAAGAGGTTTATGATTGGATTATGTTTGAGGCCTTTACAATATGGCGTACAAGGGAGACAAGGCAATCATTCGAATTTGCATCTGAAGAAACACTACGGAGTACGAAGTACAGGCCGCTTCATAAGGTACCTTACCTTACCACCCATATCAGCAGGTGTCTAAGTACCTACTTTATAGAGGTACTTAGATGATAAGGTATAGTCCCCTTAATAAACGATGAAGGGACTGCCACTGTGACTCCACTAATAATCAGCTAATTACCTCTGGCGCCGTTACATTCCCCGTATTCACATAGGTACTCAGTACGTACTCCGTACGTTGTAAGGTGAGGCATGTTTTAAGGTACCTTAGCTTTCCAATTTCCCCTCACCCAGAATCTCTCCTTCGGGTCTGGTCGCAGGCCTCCCCTGAGAGATCACCGTCCCCACCTAAACCCGTCTACCTTATACCTTATGTAGCGGCTTTTAGCGAAGAAAAGCCACCAAAGCCCATACCGAGAGTTACTCCTTCATCCTACTATATCTCGACTACGTCTTCTTCAATCCGATACCAGAGCCGATCACTCTATCTACCACGCAGTCATCGCAAGTTGCCCCACCGTACAGAGCGAGTAGACGAGAGAGCGACGATAATCAAGGCGAGTTCCAATTGCAAAGAGGACGACCGCGACGCGAACGGCAAACCCCTGTCGTCCTATTGCACTTCTGAGCCATTCAACCACACGGTAATCTTTGGAACCAACAAATCGAGTTACTCGTACGTCCTATGTATGTACTATGCGTCCGTACTTGTGCTATATCCTGCATAACCGCATCAGCGCTCGGTCTGCACAGCCCCAGGGCGGTGCTGTCAGTGCCTGAAAGCGCCGACCATCTATCCCATACAGAGACGCATGCCTGCACACACACACACACATATCCGTACACCTTCGCCTCCCAATTCCCGAGTTCCCAGTCATCTGTACTAAAGACAGAAACATCACCTCCCCCCTCGTGTCTGTACCTATACTGTGCCCTGACGTATCTCTTCCGCAGCGATGGACCAAGAAGCCCATCAGCGCGGCCGCGCTCTGTCCGCGGGGCATCAGCGTCAGCCTCATTTAAGGCAATCCCCTTCTCCTTCCCCTGGTCAATTTCCTCCCACGAACGAGACAAACGCCATCCTTGGGTTGGGCCTCGACCAGTGTACTGCTCCCTCTCAAAGCGCCGACTTCACGTCGTTCAACGGCGCCAACGATTTCCTCGACGGCCAACAGCACCACAACCACAACCACAACCAGGCTTTCGCGCACCCTTCCCTTCAGGGCCCCTCCAACTCTACCGCCTTCGCCGCCAACCAGAACCAGTCGGGCTTTCTCGACCCAAACTTCGCTTCCGGCGCCGACTTCTCTCTCTTTCCCGGTGGCAGTAACGGCTCATGTAACGACCCTACGGCCGACCACTTCAGCTCGCCTCTCTTTGACCAGAGCTTCGGGTCTGACGATATGACTTCCATGACAATACCACCAACTCATCACTCCTCCGCGCCTTCGCATCTCCTCAACCCCGATGCCCATCACTCGCCATCCTTCAACCAGCATCAGTTCTCGTCTCCATCTGGTGGCGGCCATTCGAGGCACGCATCTCTCGGCCCCGAAGCTGCCCTACTGCCCAGTCAGCTGAACGAATGGAGCCAACCCCAGTTCCAGTCTCATAGGAGGAGTCCTTCCGCGCATTCTGAAGTGTCATCGGCAGCGCACTCCCCGAATCTCGTGGGCTCGGATACATTCGATCCCGTCGACCACCACTCCCCCTTGCAGCAACCCTCGGACCCGGCCCTGTATTCCCAGATACAGGGCTTCGACAACTTTACCATTTCTGACCCAACGCACAGTAGCCCGAACCTCCCTTCTCGGAGCCCCTCGCACAGCCCCATCGTCTCTCCTCGCATCCTTCCTGAATCGGTGCCCGAGATACATCAACAACTACCCAACTTCAGCGGCATGGGCAACCAGAACGCCGGTTATACTGGACTCCAGGCTCACGAGGCCTTCCCCTCCTTTCAACAACACGGCGGCGGGCCTGATATGTCCCAGGTTGCCCCTTCGATCAATATCGAGTTCGCCCCAACAGCTAAGCAAAATGCTTTTGAACCTTCCAAGACGCCCATAGACCAGGATTCCTTGACCCCGCCGGAAAGAGGTGAGCGAGAACTCAGGAGCCCCCACGTGCGCGTTCACGGCTAACCATCTTCTCCCATGTTTGTGTGTTTAGGTCGTCCCCGTTCTCGCCCGCGCGCATCGACGGATCCCTTCAACAACGGAGGCATTGTTGTAGGGCGAATCCACAGCCCTGGCCTGTCCCCGAACTTGAGCTCCAATACGGCTGCGCGGTCCGACGCCTCGCGATCGCTTTCGCCCCTTGACCGCCAAGCTACGAGTCCGTCCCGTAGGCGTCAGTCGACATCAGCAGTACCTAATAATGTCATTGCTCTTAGGCTGGCGGATCCGGAATATCAAAACACCCAGGACAATGGCACCACCAAAAGGGTACAGAAGCACCCGGCGACGTTCCAGTGCAATCTGTGCCCCAAACGGTTCACTCGAGCCTATAATCTGCGATCCCACTTGCGGACGCACACGGACGAGCGACCGTTCGTCTGTACGGTCTGCGGCAAGGCGTTCGCCCGGCAGCACGATCGCAAGCGACACGAAGGACTCCATTCCGGGGAGAAGAAATTCGTGTGCAAGGGTGAGCTCAAGGCAGGTGGGCAGTGGGGTTGCGGCCGGCGCTTCGCGCGAGCCGACGCGCTCGGTCGCCATTTCAGGTCGGAGGCTGGTCGCATCTGCATCAAACCGCTGCTTGACGAGGAGATGATTGAGCGGCAAAGAACCCTGCAAGAACAGCACAGGCAGCAAAACATGGCACAGGGCCTAGTCGCGCCTCATTCCGCCATGGCAGTGGATACGGGCCCCGGGTATTCCATGGAAGCAACTGGCCAGTGGCTGCCACAAGCCCTGCTCGCCCAGTACCCTGTGCTAGCTGGCATAAACTGGTCGGCGCCAGATGCCAGTAGCGGTCTGGAGGATGAGCTGTCAGGACGGTCGTCGTTCGATGCCAGCGATTATGAAGGCGACGAAGGCGGGTACGTCAGTGGGCCGGGTACGGGCTTCGGCGACGGGGGAGTGAACCAGAATTTCGGGGAGGTGGGATATGCCAGTGACTATGGGAGTCGATAAAACATTCGCATGTTCGCCCGTTTTGCTTTTATTTGTGCTTGTTGCAGTTCACGATTACGATCCCAATTTATGACCACAGCATGTCAGTCATTTCCGTCTTTTTCTTTTCTTTTTTCCTTCTTATTTCTTCTCCCTTCCGCCCCCTTTTCTTTCTTCTTTCTTTTCTTTTCTTTGCTTTTTCTCTCTTCTCATACTTTCATATATTCCCCCTTGTCGGTGATCGGCGTTTCCATATTGAAAGGGTGGCTACCTCCCGTGGGGTGCTTAGGCTTAGGAGGGACTGACAGAAGGAAGCGGACGCAATCGTCAAGTAAAGGAACCCCGAAGGACCCCCGGGAAGCTTCAGCTTTTTGGTCTGGATTTGGATGAGCTGAAGATATTGGACAATTATAGAAGGCAATTTTGGGGGGATAGATACCATGTTCAATTTGCAAATCATGTTGTTTCTTTTGTGAACCGCGAAGTAGGCTGAACAGTTTACATGGCTTTTCCTCCAGGGGTCTTACTGGGGTGAACTATCGGCGTCCGTCTGTTTTCCGTTCCTTGCCGCAATTGCAGTTACCAAGCCTTTGGCTGTTCTTTGACCCAATAGCATGGGATTTCCTGAGGGCCTACCAAGTGTCGAATACAGCGTAACCGTCAAGGGATAAATACACGTACGATTAGAACGGTTAGATTGAGAGGTTCAAAATTGATTATATTAAAGCTCTTAGTAAGGCATGGTCTGTGCCCATGCGACACTAGGGACCACGTTATGGTCCTGTGCCCATGCGACACATCGATCGGACAATTACGAATCGAACTCCCCCACTAACTGAGGGTTGATTACTAACTACTTCCACGAGTCATAACTGACCTCCGTTTGTCAGCCTGTGTTGAAATCCCGCAGTGCTCCAACAGTAAATCGAGCCGCCCAGAAACGATCCCGGAGGCATTTCCTATCTAGTATACGGTCCGATACAAGACATCGCATGTCTGAGTAGCGGTATCCCGCATCCCCCCCTGGGTCCTCCGCAAGCGCCTATCCTATTTAGGCCGCGCTACTAAGGACGTTCCTCGGCTAGGAAATTAGCGTCTATAACCAAAGTCCCGGTATATCGTGAGATCGTGGATACAGGGAAGACGAAGAATTTTTATCCGACTCACCTTAAATACTTTAATATACGAATTCGCTACTATTTTAAAGATATTTATATTGATCTCAAGCTTTAAAATTTCACTATATCCTTCCCTTATCCGACGCCGCTTACGCCCTTAGGGGCATTAGTTAATTCATAACACTAACATCTTCGTATCCATGATCTCATAATATACCGGGACTTTAGGCAAAGACGCTAATTTCCTAGTCGAGGAACGCCCTCGGCAGCGCGGCCTAAATAGGATAGGCGCTGACAGAAGACCAGAATAGGGTATGCGGGATACCGCTACTCCGTATATCTTGCGGTGCCGTTTTCAACGGAAACTTCGGCGCATAGTAAAAGGCTACTCTTAACTCTTAATTCTTGTTGAGGAGCCATTGCGGTTGCCCCAACTTGGTTATAAACTCAAATTTCTGCCTGCAACGCAGCATGGAGTATATATTCATCATGTTCCCCTCCGTATCCTCTCACTCTCCCCTGATTTCTTGGACAAGTTACAACCATCCCTTTAACATCTGATCATTGTGATCTGAACGGAATAATCTCAAAAGTACTTTTTCTTCTTGCCTTGAACCGTACCCCCCTCCTCGCGATTCCTCTCCACAATGTCGCAGAACCAGGAAATCAGGATCGTCTCGGTCAAGAACGTTGAGATCACGGATGTTCCCATCCCTGACCTCCCCTCTGAAGAGTACATCCTCGTCAGGACTACGGCTGTTGCTGTCAACCCCTCCGACTGGAAGCATATGGTTTATGCGGAAGAGCTATGCTGCGTCGGCGCTCGTCTCGGCTACGACTATGCCGGTGTCGTTGAGAAGGTCGGTTCTGCCGTCACCAAGGATTTCAAGAAGGGTGACCGTATCGCTGGTTTCACCCACGGCGCGTGAGTAACCCCTCTACCTCCTGCGTATTCCACTTCCACGCTCGATCGAGTCTCGCTCAACGCCGGGTTTCGATTTAGGAACGGCCAGAGGCAGTCGGACGGCGCCTTTGCCAAGTACATTATTGTCAAGGGTGACATCCAGATGAAGATTCCCGATCACTTCACCGACGAAGAGGCTGCCACCCTAGGCGTCAGCGTCGCCACCGTCGTATGTCATGGTCTCCCCTGCCCTCACTCACCATGGGGTTCCAGATTTCGTTTCTCCGTATACCTCCTCATGAAAGCCCGCTGACAGTCTTTCTGTTCCGTCTTTAGGGCCAAGGTCTCTACCAGGCGCTCAAGCTACCGCTGCCCAACGAACCTACCAAGGAGCCCTTCCCCGTGCTCATCTACGGCGGCAGCACCGCAACGGGCGTGTACGCCATCCAGTTTGCCAAGCTCTCGGGCCTGAAGGTCATCGCCACCTCCTCCCCGCACAACTTCGACTACCTCAAATCCATCGGCGCCGACGCCGTCTTCGACTACAAGTCGCCCACCGTGGTCGAGGACATCCGGAACTACGCCAACGGCGCCCTGACCGTGGCCTACGACTGCCACGCCGGCGACGGCAGCAACGTTCTCTGCGCGCGGTGCCTTAGCGACGATGGGGGCAGGATCCACGCTTTGCTCGGCCCCAACGAGGAGGACATCAAGGCCGTCAACCCCAAGATCGAGTCCTCCTTCACCGCGGCGTACTCGGTCGTGGGAGAGGGTTACCACTCCTGGGGGAAGGTAGTTCCTCCGTCGCCCGAGGACTTTGAGTTCGCCAAGACGTTCATGAGTATTGTCCAGGAGCTCCTCGACCAGGGCAAGGTCAAACCTATCCGCATCGCCAAGAACAGGGGCGGCGAGAGCCTGCAGGGCGTGCTGAGCGGATTGAAGGAGCAGCAGGAGGGTAAGGTCAGCGGTGAGAAGCTTGTGTACACCATTTAAAACCTCGCAAGGTGGTGTAGCGGTCTCGCCTCAACTTATATAACGTATGTTGCTGAGGAACCGGGTAGCTCAGCTGAGATAGGCGCCTTAGCCGCGCTAGCGGCACCGTGACCAGCCTGAATAAGCGTCGACAATAGCCTTATTAATCGATCTGATCCTATTATAACGATCATAGTGATTGCCCTCCCGATGGAAGCCGGTGCCCTGCACACCAGCACCATGGAACTCATGTCCACTGACCACGTGTAAGGGGGGCACAGACAAAAGCACCGACTTCTTTTGCACCGATCCTGGCTGCGACAGTTCCATATGAGGACGAGTATCGATTTACACATCGACTTCGATTGGTATAATCAAGGCAACAAAGCCGTTACGCATTGAAGACCTGTTGTAGACACCGATTCACCATGACCTGCAGCTTCGGGGCACGTCGGCGGGGCTGAAGTCTCGGGGCTCGACTCGGAGACGGCATTCATTCGCGACGCCTTGTCCCAGGAGCCCCACGATTGGGCGAGACCAGCGTAATGTGAGCCACGTAGGGCGTTTTACTTCGTAGCCCCACGCTGCAAGCCAACGTGTTAGATGAACTTACGGAGTACAGAGATGCCGGATAGGCATGTCGACTTGCGGGCCGGGGTGCTGCGAGACAAGCAGCAGACGTTCTTCCCAACAGATTCTTCCCTGCCGAGTCATTGTGGTCGCTGGTGAGGTACGAGAACAGAATCTGCGGGCCTTTTCTGCTGAGGTTCTTTGTTTCCGGCATGTAATGCTCATGCACGCAATACGGAAGAAGCTAGTTGGTAAATGAGCGCGCGAGTCTCGGGCATATGTGCCACTGCTAGATCCCGCTAGTCGCATCGGCTGCCGACCTTGAGTGAGCAAGTTGGCTTTGTTCTGATGCAGTCGCGGACCATGGTAGGTAAAAACTTTGGCGCTGAGGTATAACAAGCCCCCGTCGAGGGGCAGCAGGTGTTCTATACAGCCTGAGTCCCGTCTCGTCGTGGTGCGCCGTGTGGCAACGTAGCAGCTCTCCGTTACTCCTCCGTGAATCGACACATATGATGCCAGTATGGAGTACCAAAATCCCATTCGAGTAATGAGAGACATTGAGACCCCCAGAATTCTATCTTTCGCCACCATCCAGTCGGGTCTGACCGCCAAAAGCAGTTGGATGAACCGGGACCTTGCCTGTTAGGCGGTGCCTCAACTAGAAAGAAAAAGACATTAATGGAAAGATGGTGGTAAAGCGGCAATTTCTGTTCATGGTTCGGGAACGGGAACGACAGCGCATGGGGCCGCCACGACAAGGGACAGGTGCCATTGAGACTGGCCGAATGGTCACCTTGATGCCCCATTGCCCTGAACATGTCCACAACAGGTAATTACCCAGGAAGACCACTCGCGTGGCATTGCATTAATGCTCCGACGGATGGAGGAGCACAGCAAAAACATTCGGATATAGAAGGCCATTGAAGAAAAATGGATTCTGGGCAGTTTCGGTCTTGTTTGGCGCATCTTTTGCTGTTGATGGCGCATCTCTTGAGGCATGGCATTGGTGTTGCCTTGGCGGACGTTGAGGCGGTGAAGGAGACGCGATACCGCTTTGGGCATGTTGCTGGGTAAGGGGTCTCGAATGAGTGGACGATCATGTGTCGAGACGGGGCAGTCATGTAGGAAGTACATCACAATGTAACTTTGGGTATTCGTTGGCCGATTTTAGTTCCCGAAGCCTGCGTCTGCGTCTCCGTCTTTAGGAGGCATGAATCACTGTCGGTGTCTCGTACCTTATGTTCGTCTATGTACGTATGTACGTACTCCGGACATCCCGATGGATCAAAGCTTGGGAAGCATGAATGTTATTATCCATCACATACCATTTACTCAAAGCATGTCATCTTGTCCAACTGCTCAACTGCTTGAGGATGGATCTCTGGCCAGCGATCAGAAAAAGGGGAACCTGTCGGACGTTTCCCAGAAATGCACAATACGATTTGGGGGAGGGGATCATCAAACCGTCCTGGCTCCGTAGTGGTTTCCCTACATGGGTCGCATGCGCATGGCTGCCCAGCCGTTATGTATCGGTACCTCATCGTTCTTTACCACACCCTGCGTACTCCGTACAGCGCGTTTCCTTGCGGTTCTTTGCGCGATGACGTCTCCGCCTGCCTATTGATTTGACCACCGACGGCTCCAGCCTTAGCGTACTGTTCGAAGACGTGAAGTGGGGGGAGGGAGCGGACACGTCGGGGTTGTCTGGATAGCCCCGGGTCATCGTGGTGTTCAGTGGAAATACCTATAGCGAGGTGTCTTGTGCGTGTGCAGACGCAGAATGTACGAAGTACATGCGTTTTAGGGCGAACGATTCGAGGTCACTATATCCGAGGTCATAATGGACAGGAAAACAATGACAAAGAGTCGGAAGACGACGGGATGGATGACTGAGGGCGGCCTCTAATATTTGTGCTTCGTAGGTGGCTAGTTGACGGTTGATTTGTCGATCCAGTGAGGGTTTGGCACGGGCTGGACAAGGGTCTAGGATCTTTGTTTCTTACTTTCCTTTCCTTTCCTTTCCTTTTTTTTTTTCTTTTTTTTTTTTTTTAAAAAAAAGAAAAAAAAGGTTGTTTAAAATGAGGGGTCGCAGGAGGGGTAATACCGGTGTTAATTTCAATTTTTTGGCGGAAAACGAGAACTCGTCGCCCAGCGTCACTCTATCCCAGCCTAGCTACATACGATTAACGACATCCCAAAAAGGGAGATCACGGAAAAGTGCGTAGGGTCCTACTTCGAACGAATACGCCTTTGATGGACAGACTTGTTCAAGTTGTTCGAGTGCCTATGTATGTACGTGTAGCTCCGACCCCCACCCTCCACATGCTGCTCCACGAAAGAGAGGGGTCGGTCACCTGGTAGAAAATAGCATCCCCGGGAGACGGGAAGGAATGGCATCACCTGGCAGGCTGGTCAAGGGGCTAATACCGCCACTACTGTCGACTAGGGGGGGCTTCGGCCATGTTTAGGACGGAAGTGGATGCCCCAGGGCAAGGGGTCTCACATGGACCAGCCAATGGGTTGAGGTCCCAGCCATCCAGCAGACACCACTGGGGCGTCCTGTATCAAAGCAACGGCAACGATAGGACGACCATAGATAGATTGGGAACATCGTCGGATTGTTGCACACACCTCTGATGCAGAAGCAATGGTGTGGGTGTATGTGTGTGCCCATCCGGTATGTGGTATGGAGTATGGAGTATGGAGTATGGAGTATGTACAACGTACACATCGCAGCGGACATAAATATCTCCTAATTACTTTACTGAGGACACAGGTGTGATTTAGTGTCCTCACAGGGTGGACGACGGATGGCTTGACTGGTTGATGGGATGGGGTAAAGGAGTAGGTACCGCGGGGCGAATAGAAGAGACAACAAGAGGAAAGACTCATCGTCGAGAAAGCGCGACCAGGACACGTCCGTTCCGTAAGGTACCTTACATTTAGCTCATTCCATATCCTGTTATCCAAAATTCAATCCCGTTTTCTTTTTCACTCTTGTACTTGTCATCCGGTTGCTTCCCCCTTTCAAAACCGGCCGTATACTCCAGGTGAGGGACCCGGCCAATTATCATCATATCTCCTCCTGCATTTTAGGCGTCAAAGAGGCTCGTAAGAATTAATTTCGGGTCGAGTGGACGTCCCGAACCGAGACAAGACGCGCTCTCAACCGACTTGTGGTGACGGCGTCGCTGCAGCGAGGGATAAGGGACGACTGGTTTGGGTTCTTCTGTTCCTGTTCCTCATCCTTCGTAGCTGCTCCGCCCTCGCACAAGTCAACGGTTCACCCCTTTCTTCTTTCTTTCTTTCTTTCTTCTTCCCTTTCTTTTCTTTGGCTTTGTCTCTTGCCCGGAGAGAAGTCAAGTCATTGTGCCTATCTACCTAACGGAGTAAGGGTGCCGTGATCGAAGAATACACCGCATCCCGTATCTACGATCAGGACGCCACGATCAGAACGAATTGTACCGCGATTATTATCCCATTTTGACAATCGTCGCACGGCATTTGCCAGATTTGGTTCGGGGTGGTTCCAGCTTGGCTAACCTCGACTGGGTTTGGCTATCCTGGATTCCTCTTTCTGCTTGGTCTTCTTCACTGGGGACAATAGGGTGGTGAAGAGAAGAGAGAGCTGATCTCATTTCGGTATCTCTCCCTTACCCTACAGCTAGGTACCTTACCTACCGAACTTACTACGCACTACAAACACCCAACCTACCATCAATCTCACGGCTGGCATCCGACACCAATTTCCAGTTCCTCCACTGCTGGATCACCGACAAGACGTGGCACAAAGCTGCATCCCTGCTTTCCCCACTGGCTACCTTACATACCCGCTATCGGTTTTGGTTTTTGTACGTCGTACCTTCCCGACCACCTACTAAAATCGTCATTTGGCAACCCCCCGTTCGGATCCCTGAAACTCTCTTGGAAACAGAGCAGTGAGTGGTCCGTTATCGATTAGGACGACCTCAAGTACCTGCCATTAGCATCGCTATTATTTTTTCCCTTGCTGTATTCCCCAGCCAACGCCTTTTCTCTCTGTCTCCCCCCCTCCCCCCCTTCTTTTTCTTTTCTTTGCTCCCCGGCTCTCCTTGTCCTGAAATCTTTGTACCAGCACATATATTACTTCTCTTATACCAAATCGTCTTAAGGGAGTAGAGGCAATTTTTGGGAGCGCCTCGGCACCCAGTCCTTCGTTCACCCCGCTGGCCTGGGTTGTTGAGTCAGAAGAGACCGCCAAGCAAATCGCTCCGGCCTTTCAACTCATGCTGTACCTTCCCCTGGCCTGCCGTTGTCTCTCTACCTAACACACGCCGACTGTACCGAGAACTAGACGAAGGATCATTCAACAAACGAGATAGTCAAGCGTGGGATTGTGGTTACCTTCCCACCAGATACTCGCAAGACGACCCCAACTATCACGAGACGACTGTGATCACCAAACATCCACTGCAGCTTCTAAGCTACACGCCACGCAAGGAACCCTCTCCGATTCGATACTGCGTCCATGATTTACACATTTCATTGTCGTGTATTCAATTCAAAATTCCACAATGGCTGCGGCCGAGGTTTTGGCCTTTCCAGGAAGCTTCCCAAAAAGCCCATGTGGTTGGAGAGTTGGCCAGCCATCGACGACTGGGTGGGATGAAGAAGACGTACGCATCCGCCTGGGCATGATAGCCCGGGCCTGGGTTTCAAAATGGTGGATTACTCAGGTATGCCTCTCTCTCCCTCTCCCCTCCCTTTTTTTTAACCTTTTTTCTATTCCCCCTTTCGTCCCCTTTCGTTTTATCTGCTTGTTTGGACTTTCATCGACAATAAGGGAGGGCCAAATACCGTCGGCATGGAAATGGGTCACTTACCCGGCTCCTCTAAACGCCGTCGGTAGTCTAAAAAGGCGCATGGTCCCGGCCGGTATTTAACTCTGACCGGACCGTCTTGGGGTGCCCACCGTTCTTTTCCCTCGCAAACAACTCGCTAACTGTCGCCCCCGTGCCGCAACTTACTCCGTAAATTCATAAGAAACTGATTCATGGCCTTACCTAGTCACGACGTAACGATGCTCAACCCTTCGGTTCCACCCCCCGCGTCCCATCAACCCCCTTGAAAGTACCCAACTGTTCGCCGAGGTGGTCTCGACGTTTCGCCTGCCCTCCCGAACCTCAGGAACCCTCCGAAGACCTCATGAATCCTAGTTCTACCGACGCCCTGGTGGTCCGACAATTGCCCCCATCTGACGTTGCGGCCCCGCTTCCTCCACCGTCTGACGAACAGGAGAGGCCACGCCAACGCCGCAGCGGGGATGCCCTGTTCTCCGACCCTACCCAGGAGTTTGAGATTGATTTTTCTTCGCAACACGGCTTCCGGGAAGCGAAGAAGAAAAAGGCGGCGAAGGCAGCACCTAAAAAAGCGGTCACTAATAACAACGACGGTGACGACACGAAGCAGAACGACGAAGGAGGCGGCGATGGTGGCGACCAGGGAGGCAACCACGGAGGTGACGCCGGGGGAGACCAAGGAGGGGATGCCGGCAATAATGGCAGCGGAGCCGGAGGGGATGGTGATGGCGGCGACAAGAACAACGGAGACAATGGAGACAACGGAGCAGGCGACAATAACGCCACGGGCGACCCGAGTCCTGCGGATGACTGGGGCACCTTCACGTCGGCGAAAACGAAGAAGGGTAAGAAGGGCGCCGTGGAGGAGTCCACCAACTTCCCTGAGGTACCATCATCCAAGTTGGACTCGTTTCAGGAAATCACTCTCGACGACCCAGGTATAGGGTCTGGGACACTAGATCTCAATCTCGGTTCGACGGATACCAAGGGGACAACATCGTTTGGCGCCTGGGGGTCGAGTTGGAATACTGGGAATAGCTTGGATTTCGCAGGCAGCAAAGACTCCTTCGGGAATGCGGCGGCCGAAAACAAAGAGGATGTCGATTCGAACCCCTGGGGCCTCGGCAAATCAAAGTCGAAGAAGGATGATTCCTTCGATTTCGGGTTCACCTCGGGGGGTACAAAGAGCCAAGATCTGGGTACCTCCGGAGCGGTGGATGATCTCACTGGCGCGTGGGGCCTGAGTTCTACAAAGAAAAAGGGCAAGAAAAGCGAGCCAGAACCTGAGCCTGAGCCTGTCCCCCCTCCGGCTCCTGATCCAGAACCTGCCGCAGAGCCTTGGCTTGCTCCCGCTGCAACTGCGAAGTCCAAGAAGAAGAAGAAGAAGGGATCAGTAGATCCTGATCCGCCGCCGGCACTGGCCCCGCCGCCAGTGGAACCCGAACCTGAGCCGGAACCGCCCAAAGAGGAACCGAAGGAAGATAACCTTTGGGATGCCTGGGGTGGCGGTAGTAGCTCCAAAAAAACCAAGAAGGGTGCCGTCATGGAGGTCAAGGAACCAGAACCAGAACCAGAACCAGAACATGTGCCGGGGCCACCCCCCGAACCGGAGGCGAAGAAATCCGACGTCATCTGGGGTGCCTCTACGACATCAACGTCCAAGAAGGACAACAAGAAGAAGAAGAAGAAAGGTGTATCTGCGGACCCAGAACCTCTCCCAGCCGTGCCTGACCCAGAACCAGCCGCTGAGCCCGAGCCCGAGCCTGAGCCTGAGCCCGAGCCTGCGCCAGAACCGGAAAAGAAGGCCGATATCTGGGGTGACTTCACCGACACGACCTCCAAAAAAGATAAGAAAAAGAAGAAAGGCGTCGTCGCCGACCCGGAACCTCCTCCGGCAGTTCCGGACCCAATACCCGCGGCAGAGCCGGAGCCGGAACCGGCACCTCCAAAATTTGATGACGCATGGGGTGTGAGCACTTCCGCTAAGGATAAGAAAAAGAAGAAGAAGAAAGGTGCCGTAGAGGAAGCGGCGCCTGAGCCGCTGCCACCTGCACCAGAGCCGGCCAATGAAGACAGCTTCTGGGACGACCTGGGCAGTAAAAAAGAAGAAAACCCCAAGCCTGAGCCTGAGCCCGAGCTCGAGTCTGTTGATATCTGGGGCACTTCGACGTCCAAAAAAGACAAAAGCAAAAAGAGTGCTCTCTTGGACCTCGACCCCGAACCTGAACCCGCAGCCCAGTCAAGCGGCTGGGGCATATGGGGCCTTGGCGGCTCCCAAAAGGATAAGAAGAAGAAAGGTACTAGTAACGAGTCGGATCCTGTGAAACGGCGGTGCCGTTCGATCGGACTTCTCGACAGCAACCCTCTACCCCTTCTCACGGAACTCCGAAACTGACAAGTGTAAAGGCAAAGAAGCGAGCGCCCTAGTCGAATATGGAGAGGAGCCCTCGCCGCCAATGGAGGTGCCTCCCGCGGTTCCGGACGTAGACGAACCCGTCGAACTTGATGAAGGAGAGCCACCCTTAGACTCGGTGCAGCCAGATCCTGTCGAAGAGGGCCAGGATACCAGCGCCAAAACCGAGGACAGCGGCCTGGGCTTCTGGGGCCTCTCGTCGAAAAAGAAGTCAAAGAAGAACCGTAAGGATATATTTGGCGAACGATGCATTACCGCGCGCGCCATCCCCTCCAACACTAGACATGGACATGACTAAGCATAAAGCAGAACCGGAACCGGAAAAGGAGAAGCTGTCCAAAACGAAAGAAAAAGAACCCAAGCTAAGCGAGAAGGAGTTGAAAAAGCTCGAGAAGGAAAAAAAGAAAGCCGAGAAGGAAGAAGCTGCCCGCAAGGCGCAGGAGGAAAAGGAAGCTGAAGAGCAGGCACAGCGAGAAGAAGAAGAGCGGCTTGCCCGCGAGGCGGAGGAGGCTGCTGCGGCTGCCGCGGCCGAAATAGCCCGGCAGGAAGAAGAAGAGCGCGAAAGGGCTGAAGCCGAGGCTGCGCAGATCCTTGAGGAAGAGGCACAGTTAGAAGCTCTACTCGCCAAGAAGGCCAAGCGAGGCAAACTGCCCAAGAAGGACCAAACCACTCTTGACGGTCTGCAGGAGGCCGCTAACAAGCGTGCTAAGGAGAAAGCCGCCAAAGAGGAGGAGGAAAGACTCGCCGCTGAGGCGGAGGAGCAGGCGCAGCGGGAGAGAGAAGAGGCCGAAGCGGCAGCAGCAGCAGAAGAGGCGGCAGCGGCAGAGGCAGCAGCAGCGGCAGAGGCGGCAGCAGCGGCAGAGGCGGCAGCAGCGGCAGAAGCAGCAGAGGCTGAAGCGGCGGCGGCGGCTGCAGCTGAAGCATCCAAGAAGAAGTCCAAGAAAAGCTCTTCCAAGACAGAGAAGGAGTCCAAGGCCAAGTCAAAGAAGTCGTCCAAAGACAAGGATGAGGAGAAGAGCGAGGATAAAGAACTGGAGGAGGCCATCGGGGAACTCAGTCCCGAACAGGTCGAGGAGCTGCTGGCGGCAGAAGAGCCTGTCACCAGCAAACCGAAGCCCGTTAATGATGCATTCAGCTTCTGGGGCATATCGACTTCAAAGAAGTCCGGCAAGAAAGGTTCGTCCCTATGCCATCATCCCCTGTACCCTTCCCCGGTGGAATCAACACCCACCCCCCAATATAGTCCTCTTCCCTAGATGTTCCATCACTTTATGATCTTCACCGAAACAAGCAGCATCTCACCTCGCGGTACCGAGATTGCATTGCTGACTCGTCACTGGGTTCAGAAGGTGCTAGCATCGACGGGAATGACACGCTCGCATCTTCTTCGCCCGAGGATGCATTGAAACCGTCCTCAGCCCGGAAGGTTGTGAGAGGCAAGATCGCTGACAGGTTAAAAGCTTTTGAACCCGTGGAAGAACCTCCGGTGGAAGAACCTCCGGTGGAAGAACCTCCAGTGGAAGAAGCGGTACCAGAAGTAGCGGCCGAGCCTGAACCTGAACCGGTACCCCCGCCTCCGCCCCCCGTCCCGGCCGCGGCTCTCACGAAAGAAGAGCGCAAGCGACTCAAGAAGGCAAAGAAGGCTGCACCAGCCCAAGCTGCGCCTGAGCCTGAGCCTGAGCCTGAGCCGGAGCCGGAACCCGAACCTGAGCCCGAGCCAGAACCCGAACCTGTAAAGAGCCAAAAATCCGATCTTCCGGGCTCCTTCCCCGAAGATGACGAGATTGTAGAAATCATCGACCTGGCGCCACCCAAGAAGAGCAGCAAAAAGAGCAAGAAACGGGCAAAGGAGCCTGTACCAGTAGAGGTCCCTCCCGAAGCCCCTCCTGAAGAACCCCCCGAGGAACCTCCCGAGGAGCCTGCCGAGGAGCCTGCTGAACGACCTGCTGAGGAGGAATCTGCCGAAGAACCCGCCGAGATACCTCCCGAGGTACCACCACCTCCTCCGGCTGTCCCTGATGTGCCCTTGACCCCGCCATCCGAAGAGTCTAAGCGTTCTCGAAAGGAACGAACAAGGGTCAACCGTGAAGGACCATCCTTGGGCGCATGGGCGGCTACGGCGCCACGCGAGCGGGAAAAGAAATCGTCCCGGACAGTGTCGGAGAAGAAGAAGAGGGAACGGGTTGAGAAGGAAGAGAAGGTCTCGTCGAAAGGATCTAGCTCGGACAAAGCGGAACGTGAGCGAGACCATGAACGGGACCGTGAGCGACATCGAAATCAAGACCGGGATCGAGACCGAGATCACGACCGTGGCGACAGGGCCAGGGAGACGTCTGCACGGCCAAAACTCATGTCCATGTTTAGTACGCCCCCTGTCACGCGAGCCACGACGACCCGCGACCGGAGACATGCATCAAGCACAAAATCATCGCGCCGACATTCGGTCGACGTTGGCGGCTTCACTTCGCCACCTCCAGAGGAAGCACCACCCATCTCATCTAAGGCCGCGAAGGTCCTGGGCATCAAGAACTCTAGCAGATCTGCAAGGCGTGCTCCGCCCCCAGAAGACGAGGACATTGTCATGGTCGGCGCCAACGGAGAAGAAACACCTTCCCAAAGATCGCGTAGACGCTCTAAATTGCCCAGGGAGGACGATGTTGTCATGGTCGAGGCTGATGGGCCGTCGGACCCCATTGCTCTGAAGCGTTCCAATTCCAGTGCTAAAAAAGGATTTGGTGGCTTCTTCAGCAATCTGAGGACTCCCAAGTCTGAGCGCCCAGAACGTCCAGAACCGCCTCGGCGTCGCAATACGTACGCCATGACGGACGACGAGGGAAGGCGGGAACACCGCCATAAAGGATACCCCGCTGACTATGGGGCTGGTGACGCCGCGGCAGCTGAAGAGGCAGAACGGGAAGCGCACCGGGCTGTTCGGAGAGCGAGAAGGGCTGAGCGAGAAGCAGCTGAGAGGGAAGCAGCCGAGCGGGAAGCAGCCGAGGCTGAAGGGGTCGGGCGAACAGCTGAGGAGGCACGCCATCACAAGGACAGGGATCGGCGTGAGCGGCGTCGAAGGTACGAAGAGGATGCCGAGGCGCGTAGGCAAGAGGAGAAGGAGGCGAGACGCGCAGAGAGACGTGCGGCACGGCAGCGGGAGGAAGAGGAGCGTCGCATGGCCGAGGAGGCAGAGGCAGAGGCTAGGCGCGCCGAACGCCGTCGCCGGCGTAAGGCACGTGAAGCGGCCGCCGCTGCGACAGCTGAAGAGGAAGACGCCGAGGCGAGGCGTGCGGCTCGAGAGGAACGTCGTCGTCTACGGCACATGGAAGCTCCAGATGACGAGGAAGCACGACGACTCAGGCGCGAAGCCCGACGAGCGGCACGTGCTGCAGGTTCTGGTGGTGGTGGTGGTGGTGGTGGCGAGGAAGACGATGGTGGGCACCGCAGCAGCCGTCGGTATCAGTCTGAGACAGAAGGTGTTTATCCAAGACACCGGTCCCACCGTGGCCACGAGTCCAAGCCGATGTGGCCCCACTCGGGCACTTCGTCTTGGGTGAAGGACCATTCGGATGCCGGACCACCACCGGAAGAGGGTACGGCGCAGAACGACGAGGAGGCTCGCCGCGAGAGGAGGGAGCGACGCCGGCGTGCCAGGATGGAGGAAGGTGGCACGGCCGACGAAGCTGATGATCAGCGGCGACGACGTACGCGACGTGAGGAGCGAGAACGGGAGAGGGACCGGGACCGGGACAGGGAGCGGCGTCATGGTGGGGGAACCATCGGTGGCACATCCGAAGGTAGCGACGAGCGGCGTCGGGCCTCCCTTTTCATGGACACGACACCGCGCAGCAGCTGGTGGAGGAAGATCACCGGTTGATCCGGTCGATTGACGGCGGTAAGGGGTCATTAGGCTTCGCATGTCTTGTCTGTCCGTATCATGTGTTTTTGTACCCGAGCAGGCCAGCACATCGGGTTTTCCGTTGTTGACACTCCCGCCTTGCGGCAGGAGACATATACCCCAACCTTGAATTTACTTGTATTTTTGGCCATCTTAGGTCGTAACATCGTACTGGTCTCGGAGGTCCTAAACCTGGTCTTCTTTGGATTATGCATGGGGCGAGTCGGGAGGAGGAACGGCTGGACAACCTTCATATATACTCACCCTTTTTGAAGGTCCAAATGTCATGCACTCCGCGAGTTCCTCGTTGGGTCATTTCTCGATCTATCTCTATGCGGAGACCACTTTGGGCTGCTGGCAGCCAATGCACCCGATGAAGCTACTATTTAAGTACAACACCTGGCTGGCTATAGCTCGTCAACGATATTGGGCAGCGACGCGGGATGAGGGGACTTGGCGCGTGAGAAGAGGTTATGGCATGCCGTCAAAATGGTGGGCCAATGGGACTGATTGCCACGGTAATGGAGGTGTGAGAGGTGAGTTTACTCGCTCCTTGGTCCTCCATAGCTTGACGGTGTGACGGTATATGGATGGGTTTGATAGGTGATTCCTTTTCTCTGGACAACCTAGAGCGATGCAATGAAGTTACGCAGACCAGTTGTTCGTGAACACGCGATCTTCTGATGCCCATCAGATGGTTGCATAAGGTAGACGGGTTCTATACAGGCTGCCCATCTTCGCCCATCCTCAACAGGGCTGTTGTTACCTTTGGGATCCATCATATCTACAACAATGGTATGGAAGACCGAGAGACGGCACACATATGGAGAACTGGAGGGGGGTCAGAGTGCCATGTCCGAAGAGGAAGAGGGGAGCAAAGATGTAAACAGGAAGCAGCGCAACGGAAGTAAGAACAAAAGAAGAAAAAAACATACAACACCGGGTATTCGCTGGTGGTTACCCACCCAACTACTAATCCGGCCCTCACTGGCTTATCTAAGGGAGAGCGGACGGGATCCCGAGTTTTCCAGTGGGTATGGTCGTATGTGTCTGGTTATGGTGAGAGAGATGCTTATAACGTCTGTCATCGTTGGCTGAAGAAAGAGGATAACCCTTCCAGGGTCCCTTTTAGAAGCCGAAGAGTTCGAGTAGGTAGGCGGCTACCAGTAATACTACGTGGTACTAGTTAGACCCGGTATAGGAGGTAAATAGAAATATGTATAAGATGGAGGAAATCTGCCCCGAAAACGGCCCATCGCTTCTGGATCGCGACAATGCTGATTGCTTTCTAAGTTCGGGGGACGATGGAACCCCGGACCGGAGATCGGGTGTGCGAATCGGATCCGGCACGATGGCGTTGAGCTCGGATGACAAAGCGAATCACCATAAAAGGAGTACAGCTAATTACAAGCCGAGAAAAAGCACGAACAATCATGAAGCGTTTCGAACTTGTCAAGTCCCTGTACTTCGCCTGGAGGAGAGGACTAATGTACGTGTAGTATCCTTGCTTCACATTCGACACCCTGGCAGCCACCGGCTCACTAAGCGGCATGATGGATGATGCTCTTCCGGTTTCCTCTCCCCGCGAGGAACCCTGCTATCCCGGCAAGAAAGTGCAACAATGTCTGGCGGGATAAGGCCGGTTCTTGTGGGGAAGTTTCGGTATACTTACCCCAAGGGTTAATTCATTCGATTTTTTTGTGAAACTGATACGGTGGAACCAGAAGGTAGTGATCCAGGCGAAATTAACCTAAGGTATAGATAGGTTTTCAAAAGTATCAAAGTACTCAACTTTAAAAATACACCGAGATTCTTATCCACCCACCATAGCGGCCCGCGTTACACCGAACCCCGAACGGCAACGCTAGAGCCTCCTCTTCGAGACATGCGCCGGCCCCCCAGAAATGGACTCTACTATATTTCAACTCCATATCAACACGCCCTCCCTCGTCTTTGTATTGGCCACGAGTCGTCACTCTGTCCTGTCCTGAGATTAGTAGCTGGATTGTGTAGGGGTCGCCACCAACTTATCACGAACGTACAAAGTGATTACGATGTACATGGCTAGGTAGGTAGGTAAGGTAATTACACATTCCTTACCTAGGAGCTCCCCACTTGAAGTGGTTTTGGCGCTTTGCCCTTATAAGCTAGGACAGAAAGGGTACAATAATGCCGGTCCGCTTGGCGGCGTCTGGTACCTCAGCTCGGGCAGCCACGTCTCCGTTGCTTGTGCGCACAAGGTCAATGCCGTCTGTTTCCACTACAACCCTGAACCAGGAGGCGATCATATCGGCCCTCAGGGCAGGCCGTCGATCAGGGGATGGGCAGTGCCGATACCGGGTCAGGAAGACACCGTCAATGAGCATGGACAACGGGTGTCCATCTCCTCATCTGTAAATCGGACTTTCAGCGTCGATATACCAATTAGACGCTGTCTCTTTTGCTTGTTTTCTTACTTCTGCTAAGACCTACAGGCGCCAGCGATAATTGGACATAGGTAACCGACATCCGCCCCCATGCCGGCCGGTCGGTGACATCTGCAGCAAACCCAAGCCCCCCCCCCCCTTGTTTGCATGATCCGAAGTCGCTCCCGCGTAGGATGCATCTGCCCGTCGGTTATGCACAGTGCCAGCCCTCGGTTCACAAGTTCACAGCCACCCGATTTCCATTCAGCGATGCCGCCTAACACATGGGATGACGATGACCAACACGATGCAAGATCAACTACGAAGTACTTCTCCGTATGAGCACACAGTACGCTCGAGACCGTCTCATCTCTCATAACTGGAGCCCTGACTTGGGTTGCATTTTATCCACCTCCTGCTTGCCACCCAGGGACCGCATTGTTGGGTATGCGGCCCCATACGGCTCGGCACACCTTTCTTATTATAATGGCTGTTGTTGCGAATGTTATCGCCATGGATTATGCTACAGTATCTCCCCGCATGACTTTTCGGTTGCATTGCTAGCCACTTTTGGTTTGGCAACGACCGACCACCAGGTGTTTTCGTCTCGTGTCCGAGCTTGGAGCTTATGCCGTCCGACGCTCTGACAGTCCGGTATACCATCCTTCGCCTATACCCTCATGCCGGCACTGTATCGCGATCGCACATATGTACCAATACTGCACCGACAAGGTAATACACACGCAAGTTAACATGGAAAAAAAAACAAGGAGAAGGAAGAGAAGGAACCAAAAATTTCCGAGGCACGACCAAATGTCATGACTGATCTTTTGTTTCGGCTCTCACTTCTTTCTCCACCATTTCTACCACCGTCCCTAGACGCCAACTCTATCAGCCCGGCTACAAAAGGAAACGTTGTCTGCCCTAAGGGTGGGCGGCATGAATACGGGGAAATGCAACCTGTCAACGAGGTCGGGACCGGACGGACGGATGGCTGGACTTACTGTGCATAGCTACCCTATATCACTCAACACATATAGGCTTCGCTACTACCTATATTGGACTTCGGCTATATATCCACACACTCTCCAACAAAGACCACCTTCGCACGTTCTCGCATCGGGCCGTGGGGTCCAACGTGACAGACGACCTGTGAATGGAACGACTGAGGATTGGATGATGACCGAAGAAAGATCATCAAACACCAAGCGCCGTGTTGGACACCACCCTGAACCCTACCACACTAGATACGAAGTACCTATTTCCCTCCAATACAACGCGGCGGGCGTCTGACCTGTGTGCAAAGGGACGGGGAGTTGGAAACCTGGCTTACTATCAGTTGTACGTGACCCGTGACGCCATCGTCTGAAGAGTAAAATCGATGCTTACTCTGCTGCATGGTCCCGCGGCCTTGCCAGAAGAGTGACCTTCAATTGTATGGTTTGCTATCCAGAAACCAGAAAGTCCCAAATTCCGAACCCGAGGCAAACCCAAGTCTCTAGCACGAATAAACCTTCCCAAACCTTTTTCTCATCCCAGCGCCGTGTGGATTCCCTCGGACATCCTGTCAACAGTGCCTCAAAGTACACAAGCTTGGCAGTTTGCCTGCAGTGCTGCCCGGGACCGGGTTTGTGGCTTGCGGCGTATGGCATCGTCGTGTATACCAAATAGGGATCCATCACTCCGTCACTCATCCTTCATGGAACGGAGGCGAGCCCTAAGAGCCCGTGCGAGAGATGGCTCAACCGACCGAGGGGCGTATCCCTCCTGTTCTAACATGTCTCCCCCGAATGACAGATGATGGCCCCAAGTCCCGTGACCTGCAATTCTGGAACGACTCGGAGCCAAGTTGTCGTTATCATAAAATCGTAATTCGAGTCGTTGAGTTGAGCAAAGTCAGCTTTGCCGATGGCCAGCCCGCGAGCAGCAAATCAGGTCATCGCGCCGAGTGTAAATCCCGCCGTCGGTCGAGGTGACGGCAAGTTGGTCCCGCCGTTGTTTGTGCCGCAACGCCTTGGAACACCTTTGGTCGGTGCCTATTTCAAGTGCCGAAGGCTAAGACGACCTCGGACCTCGTCTTAGCCACCGCACAGCGGACAATCGCCGGGAACAACGATATAGCGCTCGTGGGGTCCCTTCACACAGGAGCTTTTCTGGCTACCATCGGTGGAGGTCCTGAAGAAGTGTGCACCGGGGTCGACGCACGAAGTGTAGACGTAGTAGTTTTTGGTGAAGTCGCACATGTTGTGGTGATTCGTTCCCCAGATGGGCGAGAGTGACCGGATAAAACAGGGTCAACTTCGAAGGGAGTTTGGAGATAGGGCACGTATGTACACCCCAAGCGACGAGAGAAGGAGATATAGTGGTCGGTATTGGAGACTGGAGAATGGAGAACGAAGCGTGGTATGCCCAAGGTAGGATGCTGAGACTGGTGGCAGGACGGGTTATCTGATAAGATGTGACGGGGTTTCGATGATGGGGGTCAAGAGATTATGCATATGCACCTCGTGGACCACCAACGTACTCGGCTTGTATGGGTGTCTTAGGACTGATCCGTAACCTGTGATATGGCGGTATTTCTCGGGACAAGAGTCGACGCTATCGTACAATGATGAGGCTGGACGAGACGAGGGCGGGAATGGTTCGATGGATGCCAAATGCTCGGAGTAGAGAATAGTCTATATAGAGTGAGTGGGTAGAGGGGTCTGAAAGAAACATTGTCCGAAGGACAGACCATGATTCAGAACGTATTTGGCCAGCATTAAAACCCTGTCTGCCCATGTCGTTCTGAGAGATGTGACGAAGCCCGGACAGCAAGGCGGGATAGAAGAGGGGAAGAAACGAATCAGGAAAGATGGGAAGGGAAAAAGGATAGTTAGACGTGGTCTGGGACGGCTCCCACGTTCATCTCACGGACAGGGTGCCCTGCAACAGTGGACCGGAGAATGACTCTCAGATTTCCCCTTCAGGCGACGGGACACTGGATGCTTCGACATGATAGAATACCTAGTATGGAGGGTGTGTACGTTGTACGCAGGATTAAGGGGTGGGTATGTATGTCTGGGAGGGGAGAAAAAAAGGCAGACCGAAGGGATCTTTGACCCCCAACCCAACCGCAGCCTTGACGATGCGGGCTGCCGTCAAACCCAAGACCCAAGACCTTCGTCCTCCCTAATTCCTACTGTATTAGGACACCACCCTGCCGATGAGGGGTGTGATGGAAAAGAGAGCGGGGACTAAAGTGATGGGTGAGAGGGGTGGGGGTTGCACACGGCCGGCAGATGCCAGGGAGAAAAGAAGTGCTCGGGAGGGCGACACACTGAGTGGGGAGGGCCGAGACGAAACTGACATACCTAACTGGTGTGTGTGTGTGTGCAGAGTCTCGTGTGTGCAAGTGCAGTTAATGTCCCCGGTTGTTTGTGTTGGCTGACTGGTTTCTTACTCCTCAACTCCCGCTCCTCTCAGACAAAGGTGGGGTGGTTTATGGTGTAGCATGGAGACATGACATGGACATGGACTGAGCACAAGCATGGGTATTGGCATAGGCATGGGCATGTTTGATGTGGACTTTGAAAGGGAACGTGGGGAAGGGGCGTGTGTGGGACGAGGTTCTTGGTATCGCCATACGAAAAAAAAAAAAAAAAAAAACCCCAACCCCAGATCACCCACATGAAATCGACGCATTGTCGACGCAGTCTCGTAAAAGTGGATGTAGAGAATAATCATAACCATATATCAATTACGCGAGACTTGAAGACTTCTTTGCCGTAAGAGTGAAACAAGATACAACACACGTGCATACCTCGTACGACGACCACCGCGTCAACCGTTCTTCACCCTCAGCAAGTTCGTCCAAATGACCCCATATGCAATGAGGCCTCTTAATGGTTCTTTCTTAGCCCTTTTACCCTTCTGCCGAGATACTACCAGTTATACTACGTTGGTAGCACCAAGATCATATCGTACATACCTACTCACCGCTCTCATTCCGCTAACCCCGTGCCCAGAGAGTAACGAGTCAACCAAGTCAGGACTCAGGCCAGCGACTATGGACTCGACCACCATGGAAGAGATTGACGCCATGCTTCTTGAACAGCTCGGAACTACCAGAGCCGAAGCCGGCCCCCTCGAGGAGGACATGTCCGTGTGTCCGCCTCATGGCCCATACCCCCCAGGCGCTTGCCTCATCACGACTCCCGAGAACCCCTACGAGGATTACAACGAGGACGAGATAGTCTCTCTGATTCATCAAATCTATCGCATCTTTCTGAAGCTTCTTTCCATAGAGCCATTGGATGTCACCTTTCCCCCGAAGACACCAGGAGACACCCCGACATCGACAGGGTGCGCCTCTCCGAAGAATTCAACATGAGCCCCGACGCCATCTCCCTGGTCGAGCGCCTGCCGTATCCAAATAAAAGCCTCAGCAGGGATAGGTGGCGGCGCTTCTTCTTCGAAGCCATTGCTGCCAACTACCTGAATGAGGACGAGCTTTGAGACCTTCGAGACCCCCCCGTGACCCTCGAATATGGCTAAATGATGTGTGGTACTACTTCTTCGACCGCTTAGATGCCATTCGCACCTTATCTGGCTTGGCAGAGCTCCCTGCCAAGGGGGACTGGATTCCGTCTGATTTTGAGCGGGAGAGGCCCGACGATCTCAACCACTATCGCAACTGCCCGGCATACCATGCGCCATTCGTGCTGAGCACCTACGTCCAAGACCTTTGGAACCTGAAAATCGTACCTTCGGGGCTATTTATCCATCATGGTCAGGTAAATTAACCACCCCAGCCTTGCCTACGTTTCATTTTTCCATCTCTTTCACCCTTGACTGTTTCAGTTTTGACCACTGACGGAAAAAGAAAATGGCTTAATATCTACAGACACTCCAGGGAATGAAGCGAGTGGAAGACGAAGCCTTCAACGAGAAGGAGAGGTTGCACAGGCTGCACGTGTTGGAACCTTGCAAGCCCGGGGGTCTCGACGAACTGACGGAAAAGTGGCGTGCCGATCCTGAACTTGTTCCTGATATCTTACCGGGCACAGGCGCGGATTCATGATGTTGAGTGAGTTGAAAAGCTTACACTTTATCTTGGTCTTATTGCATCACTCGTTCCCTATGTCGCCAGTCTTGAAAGATACCTTAGCCGGTGCTCAACACGGAAAACGGTGCCTGTGTGATTGTTTAGTTAGCTTTTCCTGCGGCGAGTAAGAGGTCGACGAGAGTAAAAAAAGGTTGAGGTAAGGGGGAAAAAGAAGAAAGGAAGAAAAAAAAAAAAAAAAAAAAAAAAAGAGAAAAACAAAGACGCGTCATATACGGCATGGCTCCATGCATGCTCCTCTATAGAGATGTTACGCATGTCGCCATCGTCGTCCTCGTCCCACTAACTCTAAGCTTGGGGCCACCGTTGGCGCTGCATGAGTAAAATCGCTTGCCGCATCGCCAGTTACCTCCCACGTTGACCTCGGGACGCACATTCTGCCTGCTCGGCGACGTGACGAACGGGGACCCACCGGACTCGGCGTTGCTTTCCCCGGCTTCAACGTCGATGCCCCTCTTATCCATGGCAAGGTCTTGTGCAGATGGGGCGACACTTGTGGCCCTGCTCGAGACTCCAGTCCAAACATGAACCCATCGAGGCTTTCCGGCTCTCGGACAGGGCGGCATACATTGGCGGAGTAATAATCATCCAGAAGCAGTTGATGACATACCTAGCTTGGACCCCACTGGTTCACCGGTCCATCGGTAATTTTTGACGCATGGCATGAGAGTAACCGAGCCCAATGTGGTGTAATATATGATTCTCCTAAAGTTTGGTCTATGCCCGGCCGAGACCAAGGTCGATTGTTCGCCTAGGGGGAGAACTGATGTGAAGCCAAGGACCGCAAGCACCAACATGCTCTCAATGTCATGGGCTCAAAGATCCTCCAGTTTTGTACGACGTACGAAGCAAGTAACTGCTTCGTACATGTCCATATCCGTCTTGTTTAGAGGAGACAGCCGAGGAGCCAAGAATCGGTCCATCTTCAGCCCTCCGAAGATCATTATTAGTGGCATTGATCAAACATCAAACTCCAATGTACGTGGTTCCTTGCCAACGTCAGCACTCCATCTAGCTGACTAGCACCAGCACTAGATACCGCACATACCTTCCTGGCTGGAGCTATTGGCAACTGATCTGGGGCATTGGGGGTCCTAGGGGACTTTTCGTAACACCACCGTCTATTTATATCCATCTACACCAAGGGTGATGTATGTAGACTTTTGAGATGCATGTATCTGACGACACCCAAGAGACCGTCCTCTAGTACCACCACAGCGCAAGTCGTCCATGGCATGACTAGGGATGAATATCGACCCATAGCTACGATCCTCGTTCCACGATATAATCTTTCATGTTCAGATGCAAGTAATTCCCTCTTTCTTCCTCTTCTGCCACCCCTTTACCAAAGTGGCCGCCCGCTTGTTTGGCATCCGGGTAAACGTTACTCGACCGGCACTTTGTCAGGCCATGGAGTCATAGCTGACGCCCGAGGCCTGGGAAGGTTGGCCAGATACACCGTCCCAATACACCGGAGGGCCGTATACATATACATATACGGAACAACGTGGATGCCATGTTGCAACCCAACCTCCTCCCCTGGACTCATCATCATCTGATGGGGTAGGCTTGCCACAAATGTTCAAGGAGAGAAGCTTGCAGGCGAGGTAGCGGCCGTGGCACAATTGTCTGCTGCAAATGACTCGACCACTTCTTCTTCCTTGTGGACTGTTCCTAGGAGCCCTCGGCCTGTTTTTCGTGTTTGTTTGAGTCGTTACCAGGGGCCTTGTCTCGGGCCGAGGAACGCTTGGCCCTGCAACCGGGCTATCAATCCAAGTTTAATCCCGATCGGATAGAGCGTATGCCGTTCGTATAGTCATCCATGACAAGACCGTGGACTCCTGCATTTTGATCAAAAGACGCCAAAGAAAAGAAAGTCCGCGCCTCTTCTATACCCTTTTATATATCCGAGCATGCTGAATTTGCTCCGCGCCATGTTTTTCCCCCCGTCAAGGCAGGTCAAGTGTGATAATCTGCATACAGGCCGCTTCTTACAATGTTGGGATCCTCATATGAGGTCCATATATACGGTCTGGTCGGTGTCTCAATCATCGAGGTGATATAAGCTCCGAAGAACGTTCCAGCTCCATTCAGCGGCGGGGTCCACGCTCTTCAGGTCGCGGATCCAGTCGATGCAGAGATTGACGGTCTGAGTAGCGTCCAGGTCGAAAGACTCGTCACAGAACTGGGAGCGGATGTTGGAGAGGATAGGGACTCGTTGCGACAGGTGGAGCAGAATCAGGACGCCTAGTAGATTATGAATCCAGAAGAAGAGACAAGGGATGAGGCGTTTGCGGTAACAGGTGGGCGACATGATGATGGGCCACTTCAAGCAGGCCTTGAAGCACTCGGCAACACCCTTCGCGTCTTCGGTATCTATCATGTTGGCGTGGTGGAGAGCTTTGTACACGAAAGGGCGGTAAATCAGGTACTTGGTGTAGTAGTACCGCGTGCGCAGCAGGGCAACTTGGATGTCGGTGGCGTATGGATGCGGGACCGGGGGGCGGGAGAGATCGGGGGTGAACATGTCGTGTATGGGCGGAGGTGGGTACATGCCCGGAGCCGGGCTGAATAGATCGGGCACGGGAGCGGAGAAGGCCGTAGCCCGTGTGTCATCCCAGCGGAGGTACTCAGGGAGCATTCCCCTCCATTGCTCGAGTTGGTGAGCCAACTGTTTCACCGTCACCAGAACGGAGGAGGATCGGGAAACCGGTTCGGACGTCTGTTCGGGTGACGGCAACGACGTGATATTCACGGTTGTGGTGGGACCGATGGCTGTTAAGTGGGGCCAATTTAAACTGGGGTTAGTCACTGTACGTACGGAGTACACACAAGATGTGCTGTAACCGGACAGCTGTACCGTACGTAGGTACCGTACGTACCTTAGGTACTGTACGGACAGGTACGGATACGGTAATTACTGTAGATCGCTGAAGGGGCAGTGAACGAATGGTATGGCACAAAGTGTGGGGAACGCTGTTCACACTGATGCGAGTTTTGTGAGGTGATAGGACAGACCAGGCGCTACCTGGTTGGACCATGGACCAGGGAGGAGGGCAAGAGGGACCTGAAGGGAAAGGTAGAGCTTTTTCTTCTGGGAGGGAGAAGGATAAAAACGGAAAGATGAATGGCGTCGTGTAAGGTACGTAGGTGGTGTACTCGCCCTGTAACGGAAGTACATCTGTTCGATTCAGGATGAAGAAGTCAGGGTCCTTCACGTGGGTTTCCCCCCGGGCCAGGGTTCGTTCCTGACGTACTACGTCATACCCTAGGCACCGGGCGACGGCACCGGGCGCTTTGCTCCTGCTGCAGGGCAAGCGGACGTTGCAAACCCAAGGCAAAACAAGAAAGGAGGAATCCATATATAGATGGAGCGGCTGTGCCGTCTCCCAAGTGGACAGAAGGAAAACTTGAAACAAGGACAACTCACCATTCTGCAGCGTATTGTGGAAACCGACGCATAACCGCCGGAGTACGATTTGCGAGGCAAAATGCTCCTGGAACCGTGACTGCTGGTTCCCCAGGTAATCCTCTTCGCAGAAAGGTCCGCTGAAGTCGGGAAGGCCGACCGTCTCCTCTAACTTTTCTAGTCCTGTCAGAGGAAGTTCCAACTCCAAGTTCAGACACCTGCGACTTGTGTCAACCTCATCTTCCTCTTTTCACAAGTTATGGGCTGGCCCCAAGGAAAGGCAGTCTTCCTTACGTTTCCATGATCGAACAGTGCCAGAATAGTCGTCGGATGAGATCAGCACGGGGCGACGCCAACTCCCCAGGGTTGCTATTTGCATCTTTGTCAGCTCTCTTTCTTCATTCCCCCTCATTTGTCCCTTTGGCCCGCGTTCTGCGCTGATGTCCGTACCTAGTAATTAGAGCATGGTAGGCCATCGATGCGGATATCGTCATGCGCCAGAGTTCCTGGTCAGGCGATTAGTCAAACTTTCGGGGGGAAGAATCTTGTGTGCGGGAGTCTGTCTGTCAACTCACAAGATGCCGTGAACAGCTCCCGAGGTACAACCTATCGACACGAAAGAATTGGTGGTATGGTTAGTTTCAAGCCTAACTCTGAAGAAGTCATTCCGCCCAGTTTCTTTGATAGTATGACTTACCCTGCCAGAGCGTGGATTTGGACGTTCTCCAAGGTACAGTCCGTTACCGAGAAACCCATTCGCTTTCGGCCTTCGTTGAAAAATGCCAATCCGGGGGGTCTTTCCACGGTGCCTCCCTTCACACCTCCCGGACGACCCTTGTAACTGGTTATGGGAATTCCTTGCGTGTCGGCGATAGCGACCTCTCCCAAGGCGAAAACCAGGCATACCAAGGTCGACTCGACGCCATCGTCGAAACCGTCGTTGAAGACCTTTGTCAGCGCATCGTTGGTGAAACTCTGTCGGTCCATAATTGGATACATGAAATTGAAAGTATCGAAATAGACCTTGGTAAGGTTCTGCATTGTTGCCCAGTCCAAGTCGGCCAGTTGGAAATTGCTCGTCGCCTGGTGCGCATCAAGGTGCAATCCCAGAAGCGCGCGCTCATCCATGGTCATCGATTCTAGTCCTTCAGTGGGAAGCTTCCGTCGGCTCATATGCTGCTCGAGTATGCCTGATGGAGGGTCCTTGTCCGATATGACCCCGTGGAGGTTGGGAATTTCGGGTCGGGCCGAGTCGAGCATCTGATGCACTACAGGCCACGCCATCAACTTGTGCACCGCTGAGACGTACCTGTATGGGCTAGGTCGGCGTGTTGGGCTGGCCCTGCCTGACTGGTGTGTAGAGGGTGTCAGGATTGAGGACGTCGTCGGGACCGAATCACCGCTGCTTCCCGTCACAACTGTCGATGGTCGCGCATCCGGACGGATGGGTTGAGAGCTCTCGTAAACGGGTATCCCATGGCGGCCCAGGGAGTCGACTTTCCCCTCTATGAGTCTTAGGCGGTCGAGGATCTCCACTAACGTCTTGTCTTTCCTAGAGTCGAAAAGTCAGTGCACATACAAAGGAGCTATACGACGAGAGATATTGTTCATAGCAGTCAGTACCCGGGAGTGCCTTAACCTACTTGGTGGGCTGCGGTTCCCGATATCGACAGTCAAGCTTGAACCTCTGGCATGTTCCACATTTTGGGCGTTGTTCGTCGCATTTTTGCTTCCTGCTGCGGCAAGTTTCGCAAGCCTAGAGCAAAACCCTGTTAGTCACGATATTCACCTTCAATCACTGGACGATATGCAGTGAGGTGAAACCCGGGCTGCACCGGCGATGGTGCTCGCTAATACATTCCACCACCATACAATACTGCACCATCATAATCCTCTACTGGGCTGTTTCTTCTTTCTTCTTCTTCTTCTTTTTTTTTTCTTTCTTCCTCTTTTGCCTTTTCCCCCCTTTTTTTTGGCTTAAAAGAAGGACCCCCCTCTTCCTTCCTCTTCTTCTTTTCTTTTTATGTTGGTTGTTTTTGCAGGCAGCTGAAAGGGGATGGTTGTGCCTTACCTGGGCTGCGATGGCACCCCTCTCTTTCCGTTGGTTTGGCGGGCCCCCTGAGCCAACAGAGTTCGAGGCAACCGACGACGGTTCGACATCCATCTTCCACACAGTGAAAGTGTACCAAGTGGTTGACCAGGGAGGACGCGTGAGGTTTCTCCGAGTGGGTTGCTTCTCGCGTCACGCAATATGAATCGGGACTTGTACTTTGGCGCCGCGGCGATGTACAGATTCCGAGGGAAGTTGGGCCCGCATTGATCATGCACTCCATCTAATGGTCGCCAAGGTAGTTGAGGAGGAGCGAAGAGCGAAAGGGAGGCCCGCCAGCCATACAGTTGAGCAAAGGCGATATGGGCAGCCAAGGCCAACCGTACGTGTTACCGTCAATGAGAGGGAGAAGGACGTGCGAAGTAGGGCGACGGGACAGTCCGAATACTGTGCTTGTTTTGATCGACCAAGTAACCGGATAGGGCTCGCTGTGCACGCTCCTCTTTTCCTTCCCTTTTTTCTTCTCTTACTCTTCCTCTCTGTCTAGAAGCTCATGTCACTCTGGGCGGCGTGAGTTGAAAGGGGAGCGCCCAACTAGGCCTCGAGGGATAATAGGACGGAATCCAGCCAAGGGTCGCGATTTAACTGGGTGCAATCGTTGAATCGTATACGAGGCTGAAAAAAAGAGGTGTGTGCGATACGACAGCCGATATGCGTTCCGCGGCTTGTCAACACGGCGCGGTTAGGTGAGAAAGCCGAGCGATTTTTTTTTCTTACGCCGGTGGTGGTGGAAGAGGGCACAAGTGCGGTTGGGTGCAACAGTGAAAATAAGACATCATCCGGGGCCTAACCTGGGCCAGGAGAGGCAGGTTAGCACGGCGCCGCCGTGCGTATGGGGCTGGGTATTACGGAAGAGAGTCCGACTCCGATGATGGAACTTGACTGCACAGAGCGGCGGCACCAGGACGCCGATGCAGCGAATAGGCAGGATACAATAAGGGTGCTTGGCCAACCAAGGCGAGAGGAAGAATTTGCTATGCCCCCCCCCCCCCCGTGGCAAGAGACCTATAGACAACAGCAAAAGACCACAAGGGAAGAAAAAGAAAAGAAAAAAACAACCCCCATCCCTTCGGGAGGACCTTCGGGAGGGAAGACGAAAGACCATGTTGCCCACTCAAAATTATTTCAGACCGACTTCGTAGGGCGATGGAGGGGGGAAATGACCTGGTCTACTTTCATGTTGCCGTTGTGATGACATAGTCTGAAGCCAGTATTACTGATAGGACCGCTAAGGGCAAATGTATAGGAGTCAGAGGTTACGAAGAAAAACTTGGAGAGAGGGGCAGAAAAAGACATGTGGGTAACCAAAAAGCTTCCACGGTTTTCCATCCCTAGGGTTCAAGAGAAGACGCGGAAGCAAACCGATGCACGAATATACCTTGCACGTACGTAGTGAAGTAGAACTACGAAGTATAAAAGATACTGTCTCCCCACCGAGAGGGACGGGGAGATATACTTTGTTGAAAATCGGATAGACGATCCTTCGATACCTGTAATCACCGACCCGTCCCTCTTTCCTTCCCTCTTCTCTTCTTTCCCTCTTTGCCTCTTCCGGGGCCACATAGGTCAGCGGGGTCTCCCATAGCGGTAGTCCTGTCGTGGTGCCACGGGCTGATGGGAAGGCGGCAAGGTCACATGCTCGGAGCACCACCGGAGAGGGCACTAGGAAAGGCGGGGTTTAGGGGAAGAGGGGCGGAGGATACTACTGCTAGTGAATATGTTCAAATCGGAGGCCTTACGGCAGAGGAGTGGGAGGCAACTTTTTTTTTCATGCCTTTCTTCCTGCGGCCGAAAATGGTCACGCTCTTGCGTCGCAGCAAGTAGCTATTTGTCGTTCGCCGGGTGGCCCGTGCGTGTCTATCAGAACTCGAAAGCACGGGGGAACGAGACATCGGTTGTTCGAACCTGGCGATTCGGGTCTCGTTTCTTTCCTTCCTTTTGTCATCTTTTTTTCTCCTCTTCTTCTTTTCCCGCTAGGTTTACACTAACAACCGCACTAATAGGCATGCAACGTCCGGCGACGCCAATATGACGTTAAGACAAGCGGTAAGAGATTGGATATAGTCCGATAACCATTCACCAAATTGTGTTGGCATTGTGGGTGAATGTCGATGAATCGGCAGAGCAACTCGTAGCAGAATAAAATAGAGCAATTTTAACAAGAATTAATAGACAGGGTGAGAAAGAGTGAGAACACATTGCCAAATTCTGCAGCCGAGAACGTTACCTACGTTACCGAATAACGTAATCAAGGGCCGCCCCATTGTCCATGAAAAGTCTCCGTTTCAACCGAAACGTTGTCATGCCCTTTTCGTTTTCCCCCCTCCCACCGTCCCGGCTTGTTCCAGCTGCGCTGCCATGGGGCACGCTGTCGTAGCGGTTTTACCAGGGGCTTCCAGGGACAGAAATGCAGCAATATCGAAACTGACGTTACGGTTTATGGAACTAGCGACGTCATAGGCATGCAGCCTTGCGTCAACCAGCAGCAAGCTTATCGACCCCTGTAGCCCAAAATCAGGATATTGGGCCAGATAGTGGACCTAGGGCTTTTCGTTGTCCAATCACGCCAGCTTATCTCACGTTCACGGAACCCACAATGTAATTATGGCTTTTTTAGCGTCCGCGCGGATGCCGTGGTTGGTGTGTGTGTGTATCCGTAACTTTTCTGCGAACCAACATAACGTGGAATATACCCTCAATTTCAATTGTTCGGTTTAGTCGGCTCCCAGAGATAACGGGTTCAGCTCTTACGATATAGGACTATAGGAGCGAATATATTAAAACGCCTGGATATATATGGTTTGGCAGTCGCTGTCAGAGTAGACTAAGCCAAGGTACCTAGACAACTGCTAATAGATGGTACAAGGTAACACGATACCAAGCACTTCCCGTCATAAGGTAGGCACGATTTCACAATTGGTTAAGCATTATACCCCGTACAGTGTTAAAAGTCGTCTCAGCTCCGAACTTGACGGCAATTGTGGGCCTCAGGACCCAATCCCCGGTCCACGCCTCCATATCAAAACGGTGAGTCGCCGTTTTAGCGGGGCAGTAATGCTAATGCTCAAAACGCTAGTCCGCTTTCGGTCCTCCGACTCCCAGCCTCCACCACGAATCCACCACCACGTCGATTACAGAACGACCTCCAGGACGATGTGACGCGATGTGAGCTTCAACGTCTAGCTTGCATAATTTTCGAGCATATGCTTCTACGAAGCCGTTGATGAAGCATATTTGCGATCAAAATACCTTCCCAATGCGACAGAATCTACGGGGACGACCGCGAATCGCGCCAAACGACAGAGCGTAACCCGGAGGACAGGACATTTCGGAGAAGTAGCAAATTTAAATTTTTTTTGCAAATCTGTTATTGTATGGGTGTACGAAGTCCACGAAGCTATTTCGAATTGGACGTGTCTGAGGGCATATACTTGGAGAGCGACTGCTTGATTTACTCGGGAACGAACCCAGGACCGGCCCTATTCCGTGCCGAGGTGTGGTCTTGCTTGTGTGAGTAACCAAGGCGACAGCAGCCCGGCGGTCTGGGGAAACGGTCTGGCCTCAGTTGTACCAAGCAAGGCAAGGGGCATGCGGTCTTGCTGTATATCTAGGTAGTAAGGACTTGTGTGAGACGTTAGTCGAGACGTCGAAGTCGAGATTGGACGTCTTCGTCCTGGAATGCGTTTTGGAGACGGCGGCGGGGTTGGGGACATAGCCTGGACTGGTTGGCCGATTATTATGATATTAGTCGACACACTCTACACTACTTCTACATCTCAAAGTCAAGTTCCCTTGTGAGGTGGGCAAATGTTCATCCGTGATGATTTTGATTGGCCAATTAGGTCTCATGTCGACGACGACTGACGACACAACCTCAACTGAGGCTCAGCAAAGCTCAACGGCATCTCGTTCTGCCCTATACGATATTCAAGAATTTAGACACACCTCAATTCTCGCTTGGAATTTGTAGGTCAGTCAATCCCAAGATAAAGGATGTGTCCAGATTGTCCGTTTGAGAAAGGACAAAAACAGTGTAGCATAGCAGCGATGGAACAAGGAGGAGCCCACTCAAATTCCACGCAATGTGGCTAAGTCTACACTGGAGAACAAGGAGAAGTAGAGGGCAAAAGATAGCTGACTTGATACTATGATAATGTAAAAGAGAACGAGCCAGAAATAGGCAAGAAAAAAAGAACTGCGCAGTACCGGGTTCGAACCAGTGCTGTTTAAGTCAGTCAGGGATATATCCAAGGTAGGAACTGGGAACTCACTCTCTGCCTGCCTCATGGGAGGGCAACAAGTTAACCACTACTCCAACTGCGCCAGTTATGTAAATGTTGCCGAATGTTTTGCGCTCAGCGTAACAGATAGGTTGGTGTTGTCCATTGTCCTTCTTTCACATTCTGCCAGCCTCCACGATATATGCAATTCAAGCCACCACACATTCCTCTGGATACAAAAGATTATTATAGCACCTATGTATTCAGACCGCATTGATTCTTACCACTATTGAGCTCGGTGGAAAACATTAAACTTCCAGCTTGCGGTGCCCTCGCTCCAAGTGAGGCCATGGGGACACCTATGCCTAGATACTGCCATCAAAATCCAGTAACTATCTCATCAAACCACATCAAACAAGAGCCCATACCTCGATGCTGGTTTCTGCCACTCCTAAACCTCGAACTCACAGTTTCCAGCTGTATCAAGAAACGCACCGTAAACCTCGTACAGATTCGATATCTACTGTCGTGGATGCCCGCACTAGTCTACCAACCCGCCATTTTGGCTTTATCATTGGAACAAGTTCACTTGTGCCGCCGAGTAAAACACATGCACCCTTGTCTGAGGCCAGAGCAGCAGATACCGTCGCCATTGCAGTCACCGAGAAAATCAAACTGCATGCTTGCCGGCACGGCTGGGCCTAGTTCCAGAGCCTGCTGAATCTGAGGGCTCTGATTTGCGGCCTCACATATACCCTCGAGCACCGTGGTGACGCGACGAATCATCACGTTAAAATGTAATAGCCTCGCAAAAACCATATCTTGCTTACGAGTTATTTCGGATGGACCGGTGTCCCAAGGGGCTTGCTCATATCGCTGTGCAAGGGCTCCGGCGGATCGTTTGATACATACCGGCATTCGGATGTCGGTAAGTGATCGAATTTGCATGTCGCCAGCAGCAGCACCCCCTCCTGCGACAAGGGTAAGCACCAGACTTTGGTCTTCATGATAACAAGTACTAACCTGGTCCCCCCCTGACTTTGTTTAAGCTCTACCATCCTAGGCACACAGACAATACCACAAAGCCAGGGGAGGAGGAAGAAGGCTTTGAGATGCAGTCCAAGTTTGCCAAGCAAGAACGAGAAGCAGTCCGCTGCTTTTTCAGCCAATTATATTGTCGGCGGCTTGGTCGGACGTCGAACGTCTCCGCCATTCACAGAGACCATCGTGGATGGAAGCGCTTTGGCGTATAACGGCGCGATGAGACCGTATATTCTTTACAATGGGCCATGGCCACCCCTTTCATTGGGAGCCAGATATGGATAAGTTGGGTGTTTACGTACCCGAGACGACCGATATGCATTTTAAGACGTCGATGAGCTCGCCAGGTTCATACTTGCGAATGAGGACACCCTTTTCGCGGGGGCGGCAACCATCGCCATCTTGGATGCAGAAATCAGACCTCGTCCCGGTCGAACTGCACCTGTAGAAGACGTACTGTAGTCATCGAGACATTGCCTTGGATGTTTGCAGGAGAAATAAGAGAAGAAGAGAATATGATCGACTCATAAGCTCCGCTCTGAAGCCGAGCGTAGTCCCGGATGCGCGCGGCTTACATACTTTGGGACACGAGAGCGTGAACTTGGCCGTCGTTCAAGTCCGACGACCGGCACTTGCTCAAGTTAAAGTTGAGCGTTGCAGTCAGTCATGATCGTATGTATCCGTATCGGCCCAGCAAGTTCGAAAATAGCTCGGGCTGGCCGTTGATCTAAACCGGTGTAGACCCCAGCCAGTAGGGCAAGCTAATTAAATGCGCATTGCAAACTGCCTTGCAGCGTTGTTTGCTTCATGAACACAAACCGCAGCGGAGGTCAAGACTCGGCCGACAGATGCAGTGGCCAATTCTCACAGATGAGCGGAGAAGGTCGCACGTATCCCTCGAGTCAGCTACATCATTTTATCGTGGGATTGAAGCCCTTGTCTGCAGGAATACGAAAAAAAATTCGAAGAAATAGGTGCGCGTAGGGAGCGAGGTTCGCCTGGAGAATCAAGCTTTTATTAGGCAAGTGATTCAGGTGTCGAGGATCACAATCATCCATCCTCGAGGGAGACATGAGAAACCCGCATGCGGATTCGTCCATGGTTCTTCGAGGTACTTCGTAAAGTGCATGCATTAGCGTCCTTCTCGCGGAACTGCTGGACGAATTGCGATGCAGCGGCACTGGCGCCATCCTGCTCTCCGTCCAAAGTCCATCTTCGTGTGTGAATCTCACCGCTTCGACAACAACGAAGGCTAAGGTCAGGAGTGAGAGCAACTCCACGTTCCCAATTAGCCAATCAAAATACAAGGTAGAGTTACTCTGGAATTGGGGTCTGTCTCAGGGGTAAAAACGATCCCCACCCTTCCTTTCTTGCTTGATGTACGTGTAATCTGTAATCTGAAATTACTCCGTACGGATATGTCTTGGCGAGTCATGAGTGGAAGAAGATCGATTCCTTCTCTCTCTCACCTTCCTTTTCCCCCTTTTCTTCATCTTCCTATCCCACGAACGCGGTCTTGAAGAAAATACTTTGTGCAGATACGGCAGGGCCTGGATAAACCACACAAGTGATCACTTCAGCGCCTCCCGAGTTTGGATAAGCATAATGTACAGAATACTTCGTTCGGCTGGGGAACGAGGGCAGTGGATCTTGAATCTGCAAACCCTGGAGGTTGACCACCGATCGGCGAACACGGTTCATTCAAACAAACCAGCCACTTCGATGTCCTCCCAGCGCCTCAGAACGGGAGGCTGGAATGAAGACCCTTCAAAATGTCTTTTTCGCATTTGTAATCCCCCATGCACCAAGAAGCGGGAATATGAACGGATGCTCGATACCAAAGGTACGATAATCTTACGGAGCACTTCGCCCTTCGTATTTCACAGTACATTTTGCACTATCTTAAGTAAAAGGGAGGTTGGGCGACTGCTTGAAGGAGCTTGTCCTTATTCGTATTGCGCATGGACACGCGGACTCTCGTTCCGCAAGAAAATATTAGCAGCGTGCCCTTGTCATGGAGTGACTTCGTAAGGTATGAGTGCTTCATCATTAACGAAGTACCCCTTACTCCTTCCTTATGTGCAGATAACGAACCCCTGCCACCGTTTGATGCGCTAACGCAAGGTACCAAAAGTCTACTCCGCACAATCTCTCCTGATTGGCCTCCCACGTGTTCCCCAGTCGAGGACGAAGACCCCCCTTTTAACCTCGGTGGCTGGCCGTTGGCGCCGGGGCGGTCGTTGAAGGGTGACCCTTTATTACCTTATTAGCCTCTTGGGGCAGTTGCTCAGGGGAGGCAAAAGGGGGAAAAAGGGGGACAAGAGACAAGGGACAAGGGACAAGGGGGGTTTCTCCCATTCTGTCCACTCGTAGCCGCGCGATCCCACCCTCCACGCTCTTCCTTGCCGCATTGACCAGTCTGCCGAACTGGACCAGGCCTTGCTCTGCTTTTCGTTCGTTGCCCTGAAAGAACGGACCATGGCTCATTTTATTGAACTACCGTTGCCAACCTGTCAAACCTGCGGTCGTTCCATTCACAGCGAGATAGGGTCCCGGGACTACGCCTCGATTTGTGTTAGGTATCTCGCCTCGGGGGCTTTTGTCTTGCCCTGGACTTGAATGCCTGTTTGTCCCTATCTAATGAATTAATACCGGATGGACGCCCGCGATCTCCCTCGAGGGGGTCACCTCCCTCGTGACAGCGTCGAGAGCCTTGGCCTGTTGGGACGCTACACTGACTTGCCTGAGACGTCTCGCGCTTCAGCCGACCCCGTCCACCGTAACCATCACCATCATCATACCAACCACGGCCAGCAACATCAATACCCTCTAAACTACCGGCATCAACAGTTCGACCTGAGATACCCTCAATTCGATAACCACTACAACCATTACGACAACGTCAACGCCGACAACTACGACGACGACGACGACGACTACAGCCACTACATACGTATCGACGACAACAACGAGCCTCCTCACGCTGTCGCCGTCCACTCTACTGGGACCGACAAGCTTGCCCCCCTTCAAACAACTACGGAAGGCCTTTCTCGCGGCCTGCCCTTCCGCAGCGAGGGTTATTCGTCTCCGGCCTCTTCTCCCCGTCCAGTCTCTCCTGGTCACGTCCGATCTCAGTCAGTGGCCGCCGTAGGTACGCCGGCACTCTACAATACCAACACCATCAAGAGGAAGCCGCTGTCTTCCTCTGCTTCGCCCTTGGCTATTCGCTTTTCCGAAGGTGGACACGGTTTCGACAGCGCAGACCTTCCTAGACCCGAGACCAGATTTTCTCGCTCTATTCAAGCCGACTCGCCTACTCTTTACGAGGATCCGGCGGCACATATCCAGCCGTATCAGCCCGATACAACGTCTCCCTTGGCCGATTATTATACTTCTGTGGAGAGCGAACAGTGAGTTTTTTTGTCTTTTGTTCTTCTTTTTCGCTTTCTCTTTCTTCTCCTTCTTTCTTCTCCTTCTTTCTTCTCTCCTATGTTTGTCTCTTTTTATGGTTCGACTGGCTTCCGAAGCGGGCTGCTCATACATAATGCAACCATCCCCAAGCACCTAATCTAACCTATCTGTTCTCAACTAGAACGCCGACTGAGCAGCCCGAGAAAAACAATATCCCCGAAAAGAGCTTCATCGAAGAGTCCCAAGGACATCCCCACGGCGGTGACGAAGGCACTGATCGGGCCCGCTGGCCGTCGCGAAATACCTCCATCAACAACCCGGTTGCCGTTAAATCTGGTTATCCAGTTTTACCACCGGAATATGGAGACGTGACCGCCGACGACAGCCTGACGACAAAACCTTTAGACACCCGTACTGCCAGACCACCAGACATCGTGGAGGAAGGGGAGGACGCGCAATCCGAGTCGGCATACAGCACCAACTCTAATGATAATTCTACCATGTCCATTGTTGCACCGAAGCCGACGCCACCACATCTCAATTTACAAAAGGTTGAACGAGCCAGCCTCATTTCCACACCACCGACAACCGCCATCGATTCGAGCAGGCCACCGGACACGAGCAAACCACTTCCCAAATCTCCTGGATCTTCCAAGTTCGGATCCTTCTTCAATTGGGCTCTGTCACCGTCGCCCTCGACCACCGAGTTCTCGTCGTTGCCGTCGCCGATATCGACCAGGCATCCGGGCTCGGCAGATGTCACGAACCCATCTACCAATTCTATACCACAACGAAAGGGCTCCATGCCAAATGTGGTCCCTGTCAGCCCACTGGGATACTGTGAAACAAGCCTACTGACACCGCCAGCACTAGTACCAAGCTCATCGACGCCGGGTCAAATACAGGAGATGGAAGACGAATTGAAGGCGATTAGCGCCGAGCTGGCCGCCTCCATCCGGCGCGAGATGGACCTGGAGGACCTGGTCGACAGGCTTCAGTCCGAGGCCGGCAACCCGCAGGCTCCCAATAAGAGAACTAGCGACTACTTCTCCGATTCGGGAGCCAGCTCTACCAAATTCAGCGAATACGATGCGAACAAGGAAGAGGTGGAAAGAATTCAGAGGAGGACGGAGCAGGAGAAGGCTTCCATCAGACTCGAGCTGACGAACAAACTCCAGAATGAGCGCGACAAGAGGAAAATGCTGGACCAGCAAATCAGGGAACTGTCCGAAAAGGCGTCACAAATGGACATGGCCCAGCTGAACAACGTCGATGCGAACAGCCGTGTGAAGGAGCTGGAGCAGACGTGCGAGGATCTTCGGCGGAGGCTTGCGGACGAAAGGAAAGTCAAAGACAGCTTCGAAGATCTCCTCTCTGCCCTGCGGGGGGAGTTGCAGAACGCTTCCAACGAGCGCGACAACCTGCGAGACGAGGTCGTGCCCCAACTCCGGGCTCGTTTGGAAGGTCTCGAAACCGAGGCCGCCGAGTATGCCAACCTGACCTACGAGTCGACCAAGATGCAACAGGAGTTGCAGTCTCTAAAGACCGAGAACAAGAGCCTCCGGAACTCGAAGCAGATTTCCGAGGGCCCCCCTTCAAGGTCGTCCGTCGCACTTTCAAGATCGAATTCCGTGACGGGAGGCTCTTTCAAACTGCAGAGGCCGCCTACCGGCCTATCCAGGTCCAACACCGTGAAAGGTGGAGTTGAATCCCGCGAAGCCCTGGCGGAGCGCCTAAAGGACGTGGAGGCCCAGAGGGATGCGCTTCACAGCGCTCTACGGAATCTCCTCGAACGGCAGGAATTTCAGAATCGCGAGAACGAGAAGAAGATCAGAGCTCTAGAGATGGAGCGCGAGCGGCTTCTCTCCGACTCCCCGGTAAAGGGCGGGTATGAGAGGGACGTCTCGAATCTGCGGCACGAAATCAAAATTCTGCGTCGTCGCGCCGAAGAGGCCATGGAGCACAAGTGGCAGGCGGAAACGGGTTTGGCCGGTCTGAAGATGGATCTGGACCGGGCTGAACAGGAGATTGCCTCGTTGCGTGCACTCCTCGAGGAGAACGACATCACCATCCCCTCTTCTTCAGTTTCCCGTGTCAATGTGGGCGATTCCGAGCCTGCGACGGTTTCGGCAGCGACAGCGACAGCGACAGCGACAGCGACATCGGGATCGCTCGAGGCGGCATTCAAAGCCCTCCAAGGCTCCCATCAGCAATCTTTGGCCCGGATCAGGGAGCTGGAGGCGGAAGGCACCGCCGTTCTATCAGAGAAGACGCAACTGGCGCTGCAACGGTTCGAACAATCTCTTACTGCGGCCATCTTGGAGCGCGACGCCGCGCTGCAAGAATCATCGAATTACAAGGGCCAGGTCGACCAGTTGCTTGCGAGCGAAGCTCGGCAGCTGGAAGGCGAGCGTGCCCTCGCCGACGAGCTCAGCCAGTCGAGCCGCAGGATCGAGGAGCTGGCCGCCCAGGTCCGCCAACAGCTTGCCGCCAACGCCGACCTCCGCCAACGGCTCTCCGACACGGTAGCCCGCGGGGAAGCCGAGCGGAAGGCGAACGGCGAGCGCATCACGAGCCTGCAGAGCCGCCTGCGCCACCTCGAGGAGCAGGTCGTGCTGGCGCAAACCGCGGCGGAAGAACGCGTCGCGCGGCACGAGGACCAGATTCGGGAGCTCAAGGAGGCCCATAACCTCCAGCTCCGCCGGGCGCCGCCCTCGCCCCTCAGTACCGGGTCGCGCTCCCCCAGGAAGCAAAACCTGCTCAGCCCCATGGCCTCGCCGTTCTTCCCGCGGTCGCCGCGGTCGCCGCGCCACTTGGCGCACAAGTCCATCGGGGACGAGGTGCAGGTGGACCAGCTGCGCGCCCGGGTGGCGGAGCTCGAGCAAGCCCTCGCCGAGGTGGATTCGGAGATGGAAGACGTCATTGCGCGCATGAGCACGGCGCAGATTGAGGTCCTCACGCTTCAGGAGGAGAGGGAGGCGGCTGTTCGTGAGACGCGGAAGCTCCAGCGGATCCTGGAAGAAGAGAGGGTCAAGGCCTTCGAGGATCGATTCAAGTCGTTGACCACCAACGTCTGAGAGAGGGTCCGTGAAGAAATTTAGCGAAAGGGGAAGAATACTTGTTCCCCTACCGCATATTGCATCATTTATGTGCTCATATCTTTGCGCAAAGAGCGGATTGCATTTGGTAATGGCGAAGTTTGGAGTTCAACAACATGGAATGTATGGACATTGAACGAGGCCGTCGTCCGAGACGCCTCCCTCATATTGTATAAATTGCCCATCTCCTGGGATTCTTGTGTAACAGCCACAAATTACTATTTCTCATGTAATGCTAGGGGTCGTATAGGCCACCCCTATTTCAGGTTGGGGATTATCAAAACAACATTGGCGGGTTATCCTGGATGGCATCGATATCGGTATCCTCAAATATAAAAGATGAGCCATTATTGTGACGTTTCGCCTTTGCTTCAGATGGATCTTGTGAATTGTTAACTTCGTTCTATGGATTAGGGATTGAATCCAAGTGACGATATATAAAGGTATGTCATGAGCATCATCACGAGTCATCGCCGTCTCTCCTGCATTGCCCTTACCCTGACCCTCATTATCCATCGTCTCGTGATTGTTGAAATATTTCCGCTCTTGTCACCCCCAAGGGGATATGATCGTTATGTTTTTCTTCTTCTTCTTCTTTTTTATATATTTCTTTTCTTCTCTCTTTCTCTTTCAGTTCTAGTACGAAGCAAGAGATCGAGGACCAAAGAGGCGGGAATGAAAAGGAAGCGAACTTTTGGCAAACTAAAAAAAAAAAAAAAAAAAAAAAGGCCGAGATTAAGAAGGAAAACCAAAGAGGGGGCAAAAAGATTAGCACAAGGGCCACTCGCTGAATTGATCGTCACCACCCGTCAAATATGTCGTCAAAATCCAACTCGGGACCAAAGTCGTCCAGGTTGATGATGCGAGGACTGGTAGGGCCATTCTATGAGCCGTACTGGTTGACGTACTCAGCGACTCGGGCGGCGAGTTCATCGGCCTCGGAGCGCGTGGCAGCCTCGGCGTACACGCGGCAGGCGTTCTCCGTGCCGCTAGCCCGGGCGAAGGCGCGGCCGTTGGTGTACTTCTTGACGCACTCGTCGATTTTGTCCTGGAGCCCCGGCGGGTTCTCGAGGCGGCGCTCGGCGTCGTAGGTCGTGAAGGCGTCCTTGTTGGCGACTTCGACCTTGACGAGGCGGTTGGGCAGGTCGGTGTAGGTGGTGGCCCAGTCCTTGAGGGACCATTTCTTGTGGGCGAGGATGACCTCGACCAGCAGCATGTCCGACAGGGCGTCGCCGACGGTCTGGTTGACCAGGTCGCTCACGGCGGCGAGGGTATCGAGGGCGTCCTTCTGGGCGGGCGACTGCGGTTCGGTATCCCGGAACGCGCGGCGGGCGTCGATGCTGAACAAGACGGTTCCGTGGCCGTTGGCTTCGAAGTAGCAGCCGATATCGAACTTCATGGCGGCATGATGAAGGTGCTTCACTCCTGTGGGCGTGCAGACCACGGGCAGTTGCAGGTGCTTTTCAATGTAGTTTGTGCTGGCACCGTTTGCGTAGGCCGTCTGAACGACACCGATGCGGAGCTCTTGATCCAGGCCGGCGGAACGTACGAGATCGGCGATAAAGGAGGCGGCCAAGGACGATATACGGTCGCCGTCGAGCATGAAGAAGCCAGTATCCGGGTCGGTCCAGTAGTATATTAGGCGGTCGGCGTCTCCGTCGAACGAGCAGTACCGAGCTCCGGGAACGGGCTTCGGGGAAGGAGGGGCTCTTTGCTTGGTCTTGACAAAATCGGCACCGGACTACAGACAGAAAAAAAAAAAAAAAGAACGCAATGTGAGTCGGGGGTTCGGTCAATACAGGGGCAAGAAAGGCTCACCTCCTGGTTTAGCAACTCGGGACGGAGGACATCATCGTTGACAATCTTGACCTTGAACCCTGTCTTGTCTCGGGGCACATGTTTGAGAAACTGGGAAAGTTTGGGACCGCCAACACCATTGGAGCAGTCTACGATCAAGTCGCCCTGGACCTTGCGGCCCTTCAGAGCCTTGACAAAGGCATCGGCAAATTTCTTATAGTAGCCCTCTTCGGTAGGCTCGCCATAGGCCTGGGGGGTGCCGGAAGTATTGATACAGCGGGTCATGTAGTGCAGTTGCGGGGTGGTGAGGATCCCACAGTCGTGGTAAGGGGTATCGGTGGCCTCGAAAGCGTCGGAGAGGGCAGCTACTAGCTTCCGGCCGGAGGGACGGGTATCTCGGGCATAGATGACGTCTCCGGGCGCGCCGAGGTCGATCTTGAGCTTGCTGGCTAGCTCCTTGTAGGTCTTCAGAAGATCGTCGTGAGACTTGGCATTGACGAGTTGGGTCGCGAAGGCTTCCCATTCTTGCTCGAGCATGTCTCCGGAAGGATCAACGACCTTGACACCGTTGTCAGGGAAAGGGTTGTGACTGGCGGTGATCATGATGCCGATGGTGGAATTGAGCTTGCGGCTGCGTAGGCCGGCTAGGAGGCCAACGCGGAAGGTGACACCATCGAGGAGATCGGCTTTCATGCGGAACCCGGCTGTGCCATATTGGAAGACATGACCCTCGACGATGGGATGCTTTTCCGAGGCGGCAAGGAACTTGGCGTCCATTGCTCCTAGAACTCGGGGGGATAGAGACAGAGTCGGACGGAGGTCGAGGATGTCGGGTTAGAGCTGGAAGGGAAGGGTCCGGAAGCCGAGAATATGTAGCCGTATGAATGCTATGGAGTAATAACAAAATGTCGGAAGTTCGGTGTCGTCTAGGAGGGGAGTGGTGTGGGTGTGTTGTGTGTGTGAGAGAGAGAGAGAGAGCGAAACAATACGGAGTAAGCAGAAGGGTGGTTAAGTGGTGGCAGTGTCTTGTCGGGAGAACTATAGGTAATAAGTAAGGTAGAGGTACCTGTAGTGGGGGTGAGGGGGACTTTGAAGCTCCTTGGGGTTTGTGACCTGCTGGCGCACAAAGTACAACTGTATACTCCTATACTTACTCCTCGTACCGAGAAGTCATGTGGGGTGTATGGAGCTTCGTATTGAAACTGGGAAGAATAAGGTTAAAGAAAATTCGGACCCGTTTTAGCGGATCTATGCCGGATGGCTTTACTAAAGCGGTCTGTGAAACGTACAATGAACTTTGCATAATAATTACTTTACGGAGTAGGTACTGAGAAGAAGAAAAAACCACCTCATTGCTAATTACTCTTCATTATTATTCAGTTGGAACCTGGGGTGGTGAAGCTCGGTGTGAAGATCCCTCCCTCCTTGTCTCCGTCCATGCACATGCCCACGCCCCCCCAATCAAGGCTACAAAGGGTTACAACGTATGCCTAACCTGAACAAGACTAGTACAGACTGACCCATACGTCACGTGTCTTCGTGTCTATTCCGCTCGTTCTGCCTCTGGTTACAGAGTTCGTTTCGCGTCTCTTCACCTGCCAAAATCAATTCGGACCACCTACTTACCTTAGGAGGCCAGGTAGGCAATGCCCACTTACTTTTACATGCCTTGCTTTTCATTTCAATCTATGTCTTACCGATAATTTGCTCTGTTGCTCGCTTCTCATCCGTCTTCCTTTTTCTTTCTTTCTTTTTCCTTGCAATCCCTCGCCGATTCGGAGCACCACCACCCTACTATCCTGATGGGTTACTCCTTACCCAGATGTGGTGAACACCAACAATGGGAGACCATGACCAATTTTCTAACCCCCTCCTCCTTGACTGGCTGAAAAAATGGCTGGATCAAGCGAGGGAGCGGAGCACCAAGGGTGTCGTGGCGTATAAAACCGCGTACGAGTCTCTCAAAGCATGTCCCATCACCTTCACACACCCGCAACAGCTCCGCCAGCTCAGAGGCTTCGGCGACAAATTATGTGCCCGTCTTACGGACCAGATGAAGAAACACTGCGAGCAAAATGGATTAGCGATGCCAAGGAGACCGGGTCTCTCTAAAGAAGCTCGTGCTTCCCTCTCTGCTCTGACGGCTTCGGGAACCGCCAACACTGCCGATGACACGACAGCTACCGGCGGGCCCAGTAGGAAGGCTCGCAAGCCCAAATCATATGTTCCGGCCTATCGTTCCGGCGCCTATGCTTTGGTTCTCGCCCTTTCAACGCTCGAGGAAGGATCGAGGACGGGTCTGACAAAGAACGAGCTCATTGAGATAGCCCAGGATCACTGCGACTCGTCCTTCACTGCGCCGAGCGACACAACCAAGTTCTACACCGCTTGGAACTCTATGAAGACTCTTTTGGACAAGGATTTGGTCTATGAGAAGGGTCGCCCAATGAGGCGCTACTTCTTGACCGAGGAAGGCTGGGAAGTTGCGAAACGGATCAAACAGTCCCTGTCATCATCAACCAGAGAACCCGGGGCCTCCGAATCTACGGCGGCAGGGTCTGCCAGGGCGGCAGATGTAGTGCCCCGCGCCCCGTCGCCGGCGCCGCCGAACGAGAAGGAACGGTCCCCATCCGTCGAGCCCATGGATCCTCCACCCCCTAAGCCGTCCTTCCACAACGTAGTTGTCGACGGAACCGACGACGCAACGGAGGACGGCGCGTTGCCCAACTTCAGCCCGATCAGGCTGGCACCGGGCACTTTCACGGTACATCTTCTCCTCGACGTCCGCGAGGTGCGGGCGAAAACGGACCGCGATTACATACAGGACGAGCTCGCCAAGAAAGGGGTCAAGCCCATCGTGCGTGCCCTCGAGGTGGGCGACGTGCAGTGGGTCGCGAAGACGCACGACCCAGCCGCGCTCACGCGCCACGGAGCCGAAGGCGACGAAGTCGTCCTGGACTGGATCGTGGAGCGGAAACGTCTCGACGATCTCATCAGCAGTATCAAGGATGGCCGCTTCCAGGAGCAAAAGTTCCGTCTCCGCCGGGCCGGCGTCAAGAACGTCATCTACGTCGTCGAGGAGATATCCATGGATTCGACTTACTTCCAAAAATACGAGGAATCGGTGCAGTCGGCTTTGGCGTCCATGCAAGTGGTTAACGGCTACTTCGTCAAGAAGACGCAGAAAATGGACGACACCATCCGCTACCTCGCTCGGATGACCTCGATGCTGAGGAAACTGTACGAGGAGAAGCCGCTGCTCGTCATTCCTACCAAGGTGCTCACGGCGCAGAATTACCTCCCCCTGCTCCGCCACTTGCGGGAGACGCAGCCCGACAGGGACTACCACATCACCTACCCGGCGTTCGCGTCGCTCGCCTCCAAATCCGACATGATGACGCTCAGGGACGTCTTCTTGAAGATGCTCATGACCACCAGGGGTGTCACGGGAGAGAAGGCCCTCGAGATCCAGAAGCGGTGGAAGACGCCGTACGAGTTGGTCAAGGCGTTCGAAGCATGCGGGTCGGGAGAGCAAGGACTGAAGAGGAAGCGCGAGATGATCTCGAACGGCCTGCCCAGCATGGTGGCCCGGAAAAAGATTCCCAAGGCGGTCAGTCAGAAACTGTCTGAGGTTTGGGGAGACACTTCAGTCAGAAACTGTCTGAGGTTTGGGGAGACACTTCAGTCAGAAACTGTCTGAGGTTTGGGGAGACACTTGAAGCATCGAGACTCTGGTTTCCCCATATTCCAAAATCCCCGATGCAGGCATAACGGCTGTTGTATAACTAAAGCCACCCTTTTTGAGTTGGCTCTTAGCTATCGGTGTGCAACGGGGAAGCAGAGCATGTTTTAGGATACTCTGTGAGGGATGCACATTCCTCTTCACGACAAAGGTCATTATTATTCGTGGCTATGAATCGACTTTGAGAAAATTCAGAAAATCCACCGTCGCCCTGTTCTATTTTCGCCTTTGATTGCTCTCATTACAGCATTACGACGCATGGGATGCAAAGAAGGCAGCCATGCTCTTCTCGGCATACTTTGCCATCATGTCGACCTCGATGTTGACGGTCTCACCGGGCTTCTTGTCGGCGACGACGACCTTGGACTGCGTGTAGCTGATGAGCATGACCTCCCACCAACTCTCGTTGTCGTCGACGCGGGTGACCGTCAAGCTCGTGCCGTCAATGGCGATGAAGCCCTTGTGGACGATGTAGCGAAGGAAGCTGCGATCCCGGGGCTTGAAGCGAAAGGTCAGGGCGTTGCCGTCCGGCGTGACGGAGAGGATCTCGGCCGTGGTGTCGACGTGGCCTTGCACGAAATGGCCGCCCATGCGGGTGTCGGCGCGGACGGCACGCTCGAGGTTGACGCGCCCGCCGGTGGTGAGGGCGCCGAGGTTCGTGACGCGTAGGGTCTCGGGAGCGATGCCGACGGTGAAGGAGGGGGGTCCCGAGGGGTTGAAGGATGTGAGGGTCAGGCAGACGCCGTTGATGGCGATGGAATCTCCCAGGTGCGCGTCCGAGAGGAGCTCGGACTTCTCGGGAAGGGTGACTTTGAGGGAGGTCCCGCCTGTCTCGTCCTGGGGGTTGAGCTCGGTGACGGCTGCGAAGGTTGAGTGAGTAACGTGAAGGATGATGAGAGCGGAACAGTTTCAAGACAGGGGGGTGAAGTGAAGTCAAAGTGAGAGCGAGAGGTGGGGGCGGGGTTGAAGACATACTCCCGATTTCTTCCACGATACCTGTGAACATGATGGCTAGAAGTGAACTTCGGTAATACCCTGAGCCGATACTGATTAGTCTTTGCGACGGACGATCCGAGTTATGATTCTATTTCCATGTACCTATTTCCATGTACCTGTACTTATAAGACTGGGGATGTGAGATGGAGAGTGTGTGTGAACGATGAAAAGCAATGCGGTCGCTCAACGCACTGAAATCGCCCACCCATTACTAATCTCGTACGAGGTGAGAGTCCCACTGTACCACCGAGCCCGGGTCCGCTAGCTCCGGACCGACTCTGGGCAATTCGCAGTGCTGATACGCTAGTTTTTTAGTGAAGATCAGGGGGGCTCGTGTCCACCATGTCCACCATCGAGACCACCTCCACCTTGTCATCCTTTCTTGAGATCTTGAACCCATTTCTTTTTCTCCTTCCGCCGCCTCCGTTTACATACCCACGCATGCGGAGACCATGTTACGACGCCTAAGAGCGGCGGCGAGGCCGTCGCCCTTACTTATCTGCACTCTGCTGCTTCTGCTACTGGCCGTAACAGTCGAAGCGTCCATCGGCGACCGTCTGCCCGAGTTTCAAGAATGCGTTCAGGTTCGCGACAGCTCTACCAGCAATGGATCCCAGCCTTCTTCCTCGCTCAAGACTTTTAATGCAGACAAAAAATTAATGCATAAATGGTCAACTCCAGATCTGTAAACAAGAAAACTGTAACGCTGGAAGCGCGACTCCAATCCGTACGACTCTCGTCTCGTTCCCAGGCCATACGTTGCCTTCGCCATGCTAACACGCCCCTCACAGCCCTCCACCGCCGTCTCCTCTTCTGGACATGTCCCGCCGAATGCGACTACACTTGTCAACACATAATCACCAACAACCGCGTTGCAGCCGGGAAGCCCATCGTGCAATTCCACGGGAAGTGGCCGTTCTACCGCTTCCTGGGCATGCAAGAGCCCGCATCGGTCGTCTTTTCCCTGGGGAATCTCTGGGCACACTACCACGGCATCCGCAAGCTTCTCGCCCAAGTCTCCGCGACGTACCCCTTGCTGCCGTGGTATCGGACCTTCGCCGCCTTCGGCATCGCCTCCTGGATCTTCTCCGCCATCTTCCACACCCGCGACTTCGCCGCCACCGAGCAGCTCGACTACTTCGCCGCCGGCGCCAGCGTCCTCTACGGCCTCCACTACACCCCGATCCGCCTCTTCCGCCTCGACCGACCCACCTCGCGCAACCGCTCCGTCCTCCGGGCCTGGTCCCTCCTCTGCTGCCTCCTCTACACCCTTCACGTCGCCTACCTCAAGGGCGTCCGCTGGGACTACACCTACAACATGGCCGCCAACGTCGTGGTGGGCATGCTGCAGAATGGCCTCTGGGTCTGGTTCTCCTACCGCAGGTACAAGCAGACCCGTCGCCCTTGGGCCTTCTGGCCCAATATCGCCGTCGCTTTCATCATGGCCTTTATGAGCCTGGAGCTGTTCGACTTTGCCCCTCTGTGGGGTATGTTCGACGCCCACAGCCTGTGGCATCTGGGCACCATTGCTCCCACATTGCTCTGGTACAAGTATGTGGTCTATCTTTCTGTTTCCCTCCGCCGACTTCCTTGCTCGTCTTGTGCTGACTCTCGGCCAGCTTCCTTATCAAGGATTCCCAGTATGAAATGGCCGCGAGCAACAGGTTAAAATCTTAATTACCGAGACACGAAGCGCCAGTACTTGACGGAAGAGCGGTCATTAAAAAAAAATAAAAAAAATAAAAAAATAAAAAAAATAAAAAAAAAAAGGGCGCGCATACACAAAATATTTGGGGAAAATCAGAGCAATCTCGTTGTATCATAGAGCCGACGAATCGCGCAGCGACAGGAAGGTGTATGATTAGAAGTACGGAATAATACGAAATATTGCGGCAAAATGGACAACACAACAATACATCACATGGGACTCATAGCTACCCATTTAATTGCAACGGAAAGCCATCTATGTTATTCCATTTTAGCCATACCAGCAGTTATGTTCATATAGTGGAAACAGAAAAACTGTCCCAAGGGGTGAAGAAGCGGAGGCGGCGGTATTCAAACCGTCTCCGCCCCCCATTTGCTCAAAGCGCAAAACACCGTATAACACCAAGTCAGGAACCCGTCGATGGGAGAAGCAAAAGTAGCATTTTGACTCATCCGCAACAAAGCAGCTTAAGGGCACCATCGCCCCAAACGCCAACGAGCGAGAGGAGGAAGCCCACGGAGGCGATGCCGGTCTGCACCCGCTGCGCCTTCAAGAAGTCCTCAATCTCGCCACGCACCTCCTCGCCGTTGAACTCCTCCTCTTCCTCGGCATCGAAGTCGTCCCCGCCGCTGGCGCTGCCGGTGCCCTCCTCGCTGGCGACGTCGCCCACTACCTCGTAGCTGGCCTCCATGCGCGCCGCGCGGGCGGCGTTGCGTGCCGCCAGTCTTTCGTGCCGGGCCTGGCGACGTGCGGCGGTTTCTTCGCGGGACGCCTCATCGTCTGAGGAGCCCAGGATGTAGGGTGCGATTTGGTCGGCGAAGCTGGAAGCCAGGGCCAGGGTGGAGGCGTAGATGAGATACGGGTGGCGGTAAGAGCGCGGAGAGAGGTAGAAGGCTAGGAGGAAAGAGGCCGATGATACGGTCGTTAGGGATCGGAGCCGGAGTGACGAAGTCGGGGCGAGGTTTCGGTAGGCCCGGGCTGCAGAGGAGGCGGAGGGGAGCGAGAGAATGGAGGGGACGGTGACGGCCGCGAGCGAGCAGGAAAGGCCCTGCACATGGTGGGGGAAAAAAAAAGAATAGGTTAGCAGGCGTTCACGAGAATATATGCATGTTGGGGAATTGGGTAGTCAAGATGCCCTCGACGTGACATAGCCCTCGCTTGGTGATTATAGTTCGACCTGCGAGCCGGATGCGGGGACCCGATTCGCCTCCCTTCACGATGGCGTCACGTTGCGGGCGAGGACCGTGTCTTGCTAGCCGACAACAGTGGCGGTAGGAAAATGAAGGCTTTTCAGACTTACCGTCAATAGACCGAGGGAAACCGTCCCCACGAACTTCAGGAGGGACACTCCTCTGGAAGTCATGGTTGCGAATCTGAGGGTGGGTTTGCTCGACTGGGGGGGAAAGGCGAGTTGACGGCTTTGAAGACTCTTGGACACGACGGGGCGGAAGTTGATAATGCGGAGGAGTGTGGGGAGCTTGTTGGCGCTTGGACCACCATAGATTAGGTAACAGATAAAATACAGTGTTTCTGGGGATCCGCACGGGGTATCGAACGGTCAAGGCGTGCGTTTAGCCCCGTTGTGATTCTGTATCCCTTCATGCACTGTACCGTACCTATTCCCGACCTCTGGATGCCCACGTATAATGATGTTCTTCTGGAATAGATCAGACGCTTAGGATTCCGAATAGAAATCTACCGCTTGTCTACCTCGGATGTATGTGCAGGATAATGCAAGACTGGCTATATCTTAGACGGTGTTGCCTTTTCAGACGGTCTTTTAAACAACCTCCGAGTACCTTAGACATTCTACGAAGAAGTATTTGAACAACGTACCTACCTACCTTAGTTTTGGTCACACGTGAAACGTGAACCGAGGCATGACGGCATTCCGTCTATATGGAACTCAAATGTCCAACTCCTCATAATACTCTATTCACTGCAGAACATCACTCGTAAAACAAGTGTTCAAACAGCTACTTTCTGACTGACAAGGCCTTGTACAAATCATTGTTGTCACCATGCCGGTCCCCGAGTCAGAATACGTCAGCTCCGTGTGGAAGGACGGCATTTTCAGTGAGACAAAACCTCCCAGGCCCACGGAATGATCGAGGCCCAGCTAACTGGTTCAATTGCTCTTCCACCCCAGAGGACAGGGTTGTATTTGTGACTGGAGGGGCAGGAACCATTTGCAGTGCGCAAACACGAGCTCTTGTGCGGCTTGGTGCCAATGCCTGCATCATCGGGCGAAACGTCGAGAAGACGGAAGCAGTAGCGAAGGACATTGCAACTGCGCGTCCTGGGGCCAAGGTCATTGGCATAGGTGGATGTGATGTCCGCAATGTGCGTGTCTCTTATCCTCATCTGTCGTGCATCGGGCACCGTTTTGCTCACAATTACCACAGCCCCAGAGCCTCACAGACGCCGCGGACAGGTGTGCGAACGAGCTAGGCGGTATCGACTTTGTCATGTAAGTCCGACACAGGATCGAGGATGCCACCGCCAACTCTACTTCTTCTTCTCGTGTATTCTACGTTGCGGGAACTTTCCATTCTTTCAGCTTCGCTGAGACTTGACTAACATTCGGCTTTTCCTCGTTCGTGACGGACGCAGAGCTGGAGCAGCTGGCAACTTCGTCGCACCCCTGTCTGGGATGAGCCCCAACGCTTTCAAGGCCGTCATAGACATCGACGTTTTAGGAACTTTCAACACCGTCAAGGCGACCATCCCCTACCTCCTTGAGTCGGCAAAGCGAAACCCCAATCCCAGCCAGGACGGTTTGACGGGCGGCCGGATCATCTACGTGTCCGCCACCTTCCACTACACCGGCATGCCGCTGCAGGCCCACGTTTCGGCCGCCAAAGCCGCCATCGACTCGCTCATGGCATCCGTGACGCTCGAGTACGGCCCGTTCGGCATTACCAGCAACGTCGTGGCGCCCGGCGCCGTACAAGGCACCGAGGGGATGGAACGCCTCGCCAGCAGCAAAGCCGATATCGAGGCCGCCAACGCCGCGGTGCCCTCGGGTCGATGGGGCGTAGTGCGCGACATTTCCGATGCGACCGTCTACCTTTTCTCCGATGCGGGCAGCCACGTCAACGGCCAGGTCCTGCCTGTGGATGGCGGTGCCTGGCGGAGGCAGGGCAGCATGAACGTGGGGACGGATGACGATATGAGGTACCCAGACTTCCTCCTGGATGGGATGTTCTCGAAAAACGTCAAGAGCGGTCGTAAGGCTGCGTCAAAGCTGTAGGCGGCCTGAACTGTAAGACGGGCGGGTGGGGACGAGGTAGAAAGCGAAGTATTGATGCAGTTGGTTCGGCGGTGCACGAATACCAGTCCCCTGGCACCGGCCGGGTGCCATATTCTTGTTCACGCCCAGTATTTTTATGATGTGGTATGGCGCAGTTTCCATGCAGTACAGGGTACGCACGACTGCTACAGTTCCTATCACAAGACTCGCTTCGCTGCTCATATTTGACTCGTCTACTGGTGGTCGAGTGTCTGGGGACAGCCATGCTTTTCGCAAATGCAGCCATCGAAATGGGGAGATGGCGATAGATCACTTCAACGCCACAATACATCTTCATCCTGAGCTCATATAATAAGTCCCATAGAGAATAGAAAGCAAAGATAGATCCAACGGGATGCCTTTAAGCCCATGCTTTCCGGGTTGTGAACCAGCCGCCTGGGAGACTCGACCGCGTGCCGGACGGCTGGCATTCAAGAGAGGTACGTACCTCGATCTAGCTGCGCCACACCACCAGCCCACTACCTTCCCTTATTACCTAACCTTAGGTAGCCACAATTGAACCAAGCTACTCGACCAACTTCCCTACCTCGCCAGCTCTTCATCGACCTACTAATCGCGAACCGCCTTGGATTTACGCAATACGTCCTTACACTGCACGAGATCCATACGTCGAGGCTTTACAGAGCTTTACATTCCACCGCCACCGCCATGAAGCCCGTCGTAAGCGCGTTTCAAGCATGGTCTTGGTACGATGTTCCCCTCTGTTTTCCGAGCCGTCCGTCCCAGTCACTTTACAACCTCGACGTTTCGACCTTCGACCTTCAAGAATACCAACGGCAAAGCTAACGTTTGCGTGTCTTTCCGCTTCTGCATATAGTACCGTCATCTCCGTCTTCGCGATTTTCATCCTCGGCGTCCTCGGTATTCTCTTTAACGCGAACCACCACGAACTCGTAGGGGGTGTGGAGGACCCGGAGAACGGGCCCGCGGTGGCGGGAACCATCTTCACTGCCGTCATTGTCTACGCCGTACGTCTTCCAAACGCGACACTCCGTGTTCTACATGCTCCATGGCTGTCTACATTGGTGGACAGCGATGAAAGGCATACGGAGAGGGGACTATGGGAACGCATGCGGAGGTTTAGAAGGCCAACTGTACTGACGTCGTGGCGATTAGGCCTTTTTTGTGTTCTGTGGCCTTCAAGGGCTACTTCATCTGCGGGAAAGCCGACGAGGGGCGATTGCTCTATAAACGGACGAACAGACGACAACTGTGATCGGTTTTTCAACTCCTCCCGCGTGTTGCGCCGACGCACCGATGTCTCCTTCTCCGGACCAACAGGGTTGAGCGACGCAGGGACCGGCGTCGCAGACGGAACGGATTAATACGGATGGCAAGGACGTGACAGTTATGGCTGTAGACCGGAGGGGCGGTGCGCAGAGACAGAGGACTTGACAACTCGGCAACTGCGTTTCCGCCCCTCTTCTTTTGGCGTTTTGGCTCTTCATTTGGCAGATTTTGCAGGCTTACGGCTTTGTATGATATACATTCGAGCAGCATTTTCTTCCCACAGCGGGAAGATGGGATATACACACTCGCGCCGGACGAGCCGAGTTGGATAGGTTATTTATACCTAGAACTATGCGGCTTGGACTCGTCCTAGACACCTGCTACACGAGGTCTGTGGGTTTTCAATGTTGAAGTCACATCGATTTGTTTGACTGTCGGTCTCTGAAGATTCCCCCCTTCCAAATGTTCCGGGATGGCCCGCAGCGCGTCCTTGACCGTAGGAGTGTGCGTTAACGAGCGGCGAAGAGATAATCTTGTGGTTCTTAGCCCAGTATACCAATATCGTTGCAATCTTGCCGGGGCCAGTCATCATATGGGGGAAACATGCAACTCGACGTGCCCTTCGTCGGCGCCGCCAGAGGCTAGGCAAGCAATATCTTTACTCCACGATTTCGAATCGATTGCAGTACGGGCGAACTGTAACATGGTCGGCCGACGCGGCGACGCCCATGCCGGCATTCGGCCGAATTGCGAGGGGTCCTCTGTTATTGGCATCAGTACAGAAAACTGGCACTTCAATGCAAGCAAATTCGCTTTGTGATCAAGTCAAATGTTCGGCAAGAAAATATCGGAATGTCCTATGAAGTGAGAAAGCTGGAGGATGACCAGACCCAAGGGGGTGTGTTGTCAGTACCTAGCCTTCATCCGAGAACCACGGACTTCGTACAATTTCGTATTCAGACAATGATATTCCGAAAACTTCGGTACGCCCGGAACGTGAACACGGCCGTCCAGTCATCGAGGGGTATTGTTTCTTTGTCTTACTCGGCGGGGTGCAGAGTCCTACCTGGGTACCTTATGCTGCGGCGCACTTTCGCTGAAGTCAACACACTGGAGTTCATGGACTCAATGACGTCGTTGGTTTATGATAGACAATATGACATCAGCAATACCGAACGCATCAACCCCCAACAAATCCGATAAACCTTGACTTATAATTTATCGGTGCTCTATTCTTCACGACGGTCATTCCAGCACCTTAATGCCAGTAACTTCAGGAACAATTCATCCCTCATTGCCTGTAAATTGAACTGCATTCAGTGAACTCGACTAACAACTCGACATGACGGATCAGTTCGACCCTGGTATGTCGTCTCTTTCTACCCAATGATAGAGTCTATGGCACTTTAAGTACCCCATGACTGATTTAAGTGTCTCCAGAGCACCGGATTCCCATCCAGGAACAACAGTTCCCCGGAAAGGAGGGCCAGCTGCCCGATCCCAAGCCCGAGATTGACCACATCCCTACAGCTGACGGGGGCTCCAAGCCATACCAGGCCGCCGGCAAGCTCAAAGATAGGAAGGCCATCATCACGGGAGGAGACTCGGGAATCGGGAGGGCATCAGCGGTCCTCTTCGCCATGGAGGGAGCCGACGTGTTGATCGCATACCTCCCAGAAGAAGAGGAAGACGCTCAGGTGACCAAGAAGCACGTTGAGAAGCACGGCCGGGAGTGCCACTTGTTGCCGTTAGATCTTACCGATAGGGCCAATTGCCAAAAGGTCATCGATGTTGCCCTGGAAAAGCTAGGGCGTATTGACATCCTTTTCAACAACGCCGCGTACCAGATGATGACGGATGACATCACCAACCTCTCAGAGTATGTGCTCATCACCCTTCCGTTTCCCTCCTCGTTCGCCTCGTTTGTCCCGACGTCGCAGAAATGAGCGGGCTGCTTACCTCGAGTGTCACCATACAGGGAACAATGGCTTCATACTTTCAACACCAACATCCACCCGTACTATTATCTCGCCAAGTACGCGCTGCCGCACATGAAAGGCGGCAGCACCATCATCAACAACGCCAGCATCAACGCCTACATCGGACGGCCGGATCTGCTCGACTATACTTCCACCAAGGGAGCCATCATCTCATTCACACGCGGCCTCAGCAACCAGTACGTGGGGAAGGGCATCCGGGTCAACGCGTTGGCGCCGGGTCCCGTGTGGACGCCCCTTATCCCGTCCACCATGTCGGAGGAAGCACAGAAGCAATTCACGAGCCCCATGGGCCGGCCGATGCAGCCGTCCGAAATCGCGACGTGCGCCGTCTTCCTGGCGTCGACGGACAGTTCGGCTCTCAGCGGGCAGGTGATCCACTGCAACGGCGGCGTTATCGTCAACGGGTAAAGCGTGTGTAATGGCCGGTATGGCGGGGCTGGCGCCGTGAGTGGCACCAACCTTATTGTAAGCTGTAAGAAACGACGGAACATATAATTTGGGATGCAAAGGGATGCGGAATACGGTAATGCGGAACATGGACGTGGCTCCTCCCTAGAGATGGCCGAGGTCGTTCAATTTGCTACGGTCACCTAACCGAATAAGTAGTTGGCAATACATCTCGGGACGGATTGTTGACATTCGAATATGTATGAATGACTGTTCGGATCAGGTGTCGTTCACTGAAATGTCTACCCGTATGAAGTATTAAAGACCCGCCGCGGGCTTGACTGCTCTGAGGCTCTTCGTGGCCTAAGGTAGGTATGTAAGGTACCTACCTTAGGTAATACGTCCGCGGAGTGGATGAACTTTTCTAGAATAAGCAGCCTGCACAGTGCATAGGGCTGGTCTAGACGTTCCATTCCTAATTTGGAATAGCTCGGATCCATGGTGAAACATGGGGCAGGATCGAGAGACGCAGACCCCTGTAGGCTAACGGCCCCCTTCATTTCGCCGTACGGAGTATTTTTGGTTGCCCCCCATTTTTTGCGTTTGGGGGAGATGTTTCTTTTGTTTGTTTTGGTGTGTCTGCAGAGGTATTCTCGACAAGACACAATGTGACGGTTGACAGGACGGACTCTAAGGTATGCTGTGAAGGCACGTACAACGTCCAAGTAGCTAGGTACCTTAGGTATTGGTGTCATTTCTGCCTATAGTATGAAGTAATTAGTTACAATGCCTGTCGGGAGAGGAAGGTGGGGCATGGGTAGAATGCTCCTGCTTAAGATGTCATTGCTGCAATGTTGGTGTTACCCTTTCTGACTCGAAACGGTCGTCGCGTCCAAGTTCATCCGTTCGATGTAAATTTCAGGCGCACCCCTCTCATTCCCCCTTTACACTTCTGTTACTTTCTTTCCTCCTCTCTTCCTTCTCCATCACTCGACACGGCACACAGCATCAAGGACTCTATCCTTCCCATCACCCCCTGTCTCATACCTTAAGAGGCCCCTTTACATAATCTCCCGTCTCATAATTACATACCAGTTACTAGGTTCATACCTACCTTCCGTTGGATTGAGGCTCTGGACTCTTTTATCTCCACGTGTCGTGTCGACTCGACTAAGTGCCCTAGCTCAAGGGACCCTGCCTAGTCTGCCCGCACCACTCGGCTAGCCCCTTGTTCCGATAGTTTCCCGTTTGCCCAAGCAACGCGGAACCTTTTCTTCTCCCCAGTCCTTCTTTGTTATCCTTCACTCTCCTCACGTCACGCGTATCACTAGGTGCTTGACCTCCATTGAGTACCTTACCCTGCTGTCTGCCGATCAACAAGACGAGTGACATCTACACGCTGTGCGCTCTCCCCATCTCACCCTCTCGCCAGTGTACTCGTCGTCCTCGTCATTGCCCACCATGACCGCGACGGCCACGTACCAGCAGTTCCTGGCTGCTCCCAACTCGTCACTGTTGGCTGCCGATGCGTCTCTACACTATATCACCACCACGACCTCCTTCCATGGGCCGAATAATATCATCAAGCACCTAAGCACCCAGCGCAATAATGTCAAGAAGGAGAAGGAGGAGCTACTTCACGTCATTGAGGGTCCCACAGCCATCGCCGCCGAGGTAGACACCTCACTCGGATTTGTTATCAGCGGCGGAACATACCTACCCGGTCTCGATGACAATTTTGTTGCTGACCGTACCGCGTCCCTTCTTATCGTAGGTGATATCTTGCCTCCAAGTCCCCTTCTCTTTCCGGTGTTCGAACGCACGAGGGCGAGACCGGATAGGTTTTGTTGATGGGAAACTAACTTGAGGATACTGCAGATGCACATTGTGACGTTCGACACCGAGGGCAAGATCACACAGATCCGTCAGAGTTGGGACCAGGGCTCTCTTCTTAAGCAGCTGGACGTAATTGGGAAATCGGCCCGCAACTGGCCCATTCGCGACAGCGTTGACCAACTCAAGCTTGTCACCAACTCCCTCAAGTCTACCGGCGTTATTCCTACAGCTCCTGAGACGACCGATACACTCAGCCGTGCGCGAGGCAACTCGCAAAACGCCTTGCGCGATCCTCATGCATCCCTCTCTCTCTTCGAGTCCCGCGAAAAGCAGGCCACTGACGAGATTCCGGCCGTCGTATCACCCTACGCCGGAACCCGACCACAACAGCGCTCCTTGGCAGAAATCTTTGGCGATGAGCCCGCTGAAGAGGTCGGCTCGCCCAGCGCTGGCCGTGAGCGCCACTCCATTGCAACCAAGACCGGGGCGGGCAAGAACTTCCAACCCAGTCGCCTCTTTAATACAGATGAAGATACCCCCGAGGAGCCCGATACCCCTGAGACCGTCAAGAGCCCCGCGAAGGCTTCGTACCGCCCGCACCCCCAGAAATACGAGCATTTCCACTTTGCCGATGGCTCGGATCCTCAGGATGCCGCCGCCGCCGCTGCTACTGCGAGCAACCATAGGCCTCGGTCTCCAAAGAACAACGCGAACTGGTCCTTTGACGATTTTGTCACACCGCAGAAAGCAAAGCCGTCCAAGACTATCCGTCACCAGGATATTCGCCACTGGGATACAGAGAACAACGAGGCTGCGCCCGCCGACCCAGCGGCTCAGAAGCCGCGTCGGGATGCCGAGCCCCACTTTGAGTTTGTAGACGATGGCTTGCCTTCTGGCCAGCCGCGCCTGGTTGGTCGACCCAAGGGTACTGCACACAACGCCGGCTTGCATCTCTACGACAACAATCTCTACAACGAGGATGGATCAGCCCCGACTCCTTCTGCCAACCGTCCACTCGGTAACATTACCAACCTGTCAGATCGCCGAAAGGACTTTGACGCGCACTTTGCCATGACGGACAACTCCCCTACCACGATCAACCATACACCGCAGCCCAACATCAGCGATGACCGCCAGAAGGCAGTTACTATGATGAACGCGAACTGGTCTTCCTATGACAAGTCTCCCGCTTCGCATAAGGAGAACAAGCCCGAAGCGGGGAATGAAGACCGGGGCGTCCATATTTCTGGTGACAGCATGGGTGGCATGAAAGGCTCGAACCGCGCCTGGATGTTTGGTGGTGATGAGGACAGCCCCAAGCCTGCTGCGCAAAAGTCTACCACGGCACAGAAGGACTTCTGGGACTTCTAAGACGGGAGAGTAGGCAGCTGTGTACGGCATTTGCCGGCAATTCACGGGGTCATATGGCCGGCGACAAAGTCTTGCGCCCTGACGTTACGCATTTTCCATAAGTTTGTATTTGATGATGGCTAGGCCTACATGCGGCTCATGAATCATGAGAGAAGTCTGCTCTTCTTTCGCCGCGGACATGTATTCTCTAACTTGTTACATTGCCCTTTTTTTTTGTTTGTTCTTTCTTCCTTTTACTTTTCACATTGACTTCCGAGCGGCGGATCGGTCTCGTTTACGCAGAGGGGTGGTGGTATGCCTGCCGCATGGAGACTGTTTGCGTGTGGAGCGTAAGGTGGAAGGGAGATGCAAGGAGTGACACTGAGATGGAGATCACGGGTTCTCCGTTCCCATCGGACACCACAGTGTTGGACTACCCCGACACATTAGATGCCGGAGAGGGTATTTCCTCGATGTACAAAAACAGAACCAAAAAAATAGGAATTGCTAGGAACTGAAATCATTGCATGGCGCGTCATATCCAGTCATCAAGTTGAAAGGTCTAAAACTTAATCCCGTCGTTCAATTATGTCATTAGAGCAGGGGCGGCATATCGCGTGTTCAGGGCAAGTATTAATTAACACCCAGCTCTCTTATACTCGCGTTCGATACCTTACGTACCCGCCCCTTTGCTCACTGGCCCAGAAAGGTAGGGTACGACGAAGGGACGAATAATGGTCCAAAAAAGAATAGGAAAAAACAAAAAATTCAAGACATGAAGAAATAGTTTGTCAAAGATAGAGAAATTCAAAATAGGAAGACCGCAAATTCCAAATCCCCCAAAACGCCTTGGCTACTCATTCATAAACCCATTGTCTGCCGTTCCCTCCTCAAGCCTTCGGCTCGACCCTAAAAAAGAAAAGAAAAAAAGAAGAAGAAAAAAAAGAAAGCGAAAGAAAAATTGCCCTAGCATAAAAATTTATATGCCTTTTTCCAGGTCGGCCACGCCTTCTTCTCCTCCTCCTCCTGAGCCAATAGAATGGAGAGGTTGAACCCCCGGCGGCCGGTATCGACGTCCATGTCGCGAAGGCGGACGACGGTGGTGCGGTAGTAGAGCTTATGGCCGATGTAAAAGCCAGCGACGACGGGGGCGGCGAGGTAGCGCAGGAAGAAGGACTCGGCGAGCTGGGCGGAGGTCTTGGAGGCGTAGTCGATGGGCCAGGCGCCGACCCAGAACTGGGCGACGAGGACGAGGCAGTTCATGACGAGGCCGCAGTAGGAGCCGACGACGCCGACCTGGCTGCGCCAGGCGAGGTGGCTGGGGTCGCGGCCCTTGGCGCGCCAGGCGGCGCGGAAGCGGATGTGGGAGAGGCAGATGGACCCCCAGGTGAAGATGGAGGAGAGTCCCGAGGCGGCGAGGAGCCAGTCGAGGACCTCGGACTGGGCGTCGAGGTCGGCGATGTAGGAGAGGAGGCCGACGGCGCCGGCGACGCAGATGGCCATGAGGGGCCGGCCGCGGCGGTCGATGTAGGAGAGGAAGCGCGGGGCCTGGTTCTGGTCGGCCAGGGCGGCGAGGGTGCGGGAGGAGCCGAAGACGGCGGAGTTGCCGACGGAGAGCACGGCGATGAGGATGACGGCGTTCATGATGTCGGGCAGGACGGCGATCTTGGCGTTGATGATGGCGATGACGAAGGGGGAGGCGGTCAGGTCGACGGCCGACTGGTTGGACAGCAGCCGGCTGTCGTCGGAGCGGACCAGGAGGCCGACGAGGGTGAGGGCGACGACGTAGAAGAGGGTGATGCGCCAAAAGACCTGCTTGATGGCGGTGGGTAGGGATTTACGGGGGTTGGCCGTCTCGGCGGCGGCAAGACCCACGAGCTCGGTGCCAACGAAGGCGAAGGCGGCCGTGACGAACACGCTACAGAGCCCCTTGAAGCCGTTGTTGAAGGCTCCCGGGTCATGCCAGTATCGGCCTCCGATGTAGCCGTCTCCCGGGACGCCACCAATGTTGAGGACGATACCCAGGAGGCTGTGGGGGGGAAATATTAGTAATGCGATTCTTCATCAGTGGAATAAGTCGGAGAAGAGAAGCAAGCTTACATAAAACCGATGACGGCAATGACCTTGATGATGGAGAAGATGAACTCGGCCTCACCGTAGCCTTTGACTCCAAACAAGTTTATGCAGATGATACCAAGGAGGAAGATGGTCACGAAAATGGCCCGTTGGATAGATTCGTCCCAGTAGTTGATGGTAATGGATGCAGCGACGATTTCCAGGGGCAAAACGATTAGCCATTGGAAGGCGTAGCTAGAATAACACATGAAAATTAGCAACCAGAGTGACAGAGAGTGGTGAACATGGCTCGGGGGGGGGGAACTCACTTCCAACCCATTGCAAACCCCCAAGACGGGTCGATGAAGCGTGTGGAATAAGCCGAGAAAGAGCCAGCGACGGGGAAGTTAACGGCGAGTTCTCCAAGGGCCTGACATGTGCAAAAGAGCATGCCGCCGACGAGAGAGAAAGCCAGCAATAGAGAGGCCGGGCCGCCATTGGCGAGGGCTCTCCCTGACGCAACGAAAAGACCGGTGCCTATGGAGCCACCGATGGCAATCATTTGTAGATGCCTGCCCTTGAGCTTCCTGGACAGGTTCGGGTTGGCGGTCATGAGGGTGGCGGTGCGGAGATCGTAGTAGTGGGCGCCATCGACGACGCGCTCGTCGTACTCGTCGGGCGAAACAGAGGATACCTTGCCGGTGATCCTCAGCGCCGGGTCGCGCTTGAAGCCTTCCCATATGCGCTCCCACCACCTCGGCGAGGGAGGCGCATCGTAGGTGGGTTCCCGCATGCTGAAGTCGTGCATGCTATAGCTGCTGCCCTGACCGAGGGAATCCTCTTTGAACTTGAGTTTGTTGAGCTCGATATCCCGATACGGCGCCATCATCTACGGCGCTTGGATAATGGGTTCCTCTCTTCCAAGGCCCGTCGTCGTTTTATTGTTGTTTGCTCCCCGCGTACCCCTAAAAGTGTTCCTCCCGGGGGGGCGGGACTCGCCAAGGTTGCGTCGCCAAGTTATCCTCCTCTTTTCCCTCCCTTTTCAATTCCCCTCTTTTGTTTGATCCTTTGTCCTCTGGAAGACTCGCTGCCGATTTTCAAGCAAGGATGAACCGACTAAGACCGGGGGCTGCACGATTGATTCGCTCGGAAATGGGCAGGACGATAGGAGGTAAAAGGTCCAGGTGATGGCGTGCGCTGAGGATGTCGAATGAATTGAAAGGTAGGTGATTTGGTCGCTTCGTGAGTGGTGTTGCGGTTGCGTGTTGCGTGTAGTGTGTTAATAACTAATAACGGTTGCACGAACCAGCCGAGGGCAACAAGTTCAAGCCGTAATTATCGAGGGGCGGTGTCGGTTGCGACATGCCAGCAGTGAGGAGGGGTGTGTGTTTTTAAGAAAGAACCAAGGTGCGCCTGGGAGGATGAGCCGAGATGAGGAGGAAGTGGAAGC